CAGTCACGACAAACCCTGACAAGAACTGCGTACCAAGAATGATATCGTGTATCGGTTTCAATTGAATTGGAAGTTTGTACGCTGGGCAGGGCAAACCGTATACGATCAGGGTTTCGTTCCCGACTTCAGTGGTTTGTGATGTAAAGACACACCGTATACAATGCAGGCGGAAAAAACACCACCTTGCATGAAAGCAGCGCAGAAACCCGCGACCATAACGACCGAGTTTCGCGTTTTTCAGCATCACTTGTTGATCTACCGATCTCGTGATCATCTTCCAGTCGGTTCTTATATGCTCTATACAGTAATGTATCTCGCTTTTACGTAGCAACACGGCGTAATTGAATCCTCCAACACACCAATGACTAAGAGGACCAAGTGTCTTCAGTTCAAGGTAAATGTCTTCTTTCTGCAGCATGATGTTCAAAACGCCAGGAATTAAAGTGAACAGCGTAAAGCACCAACAAACGACAGTTAAAATCCGTAACGTGATTTTCTCGACAGTAGTGGTGGAATTTGTAACAGGCCAGGCGCCTATTGGCTTCAAGATCCATTGGTTCACCTGTATGCTGTACTGGCTGAGGTTACCAAATTTCGTCTTGATCGTTCTAAGATCCTCTGTCATTGTGCTTCCTTAACAAAGTAGAACTGAATCGACAGAAGAATATTCACGTAATCCGACGTACGTGCATACTTTGTTAAGGGTTTTGCGCCGATCGATTCGTCTACTCGCTTGCGACAATGTTTTGCCACGGTGTACTTGTGTACGGTGCAACTTGTTGTTGAACGCGACATTGTTGGAGGAACGAAGCTGGGAGTGGTTGTATGTTTGTACAACCGACGTTTTAGATGAAGTGTAAAGTGTAAAATTTGTGTAATAATTCTTATCAAATAATCATTTTGAATTTCAACTGATAAGTTATTGTTTTAACTATATGTAATGTTGTTTTGCAGAAGTATATATCTTCAGTTAACGATTTGATGGAATAGACTGAAATTATTTGTCAGCTAAGTTTTTAACAGAATACATTTCTAGAAAACTCCAGAAATATGCTGTAATGTATTTGATAGAAAAATGTGTGCTACTTACACTGGTTTATGAGTTATTTATTTCATCAGCATTGTCTGACGAATTAGATGGAAGAAGCTTGCTGCCTGTGCAGTTGAAATCTCCTTACAACCACCTGTTGATTCAGTCCGTAACAAGGTATACTAAACTATATTATAAATCCAGTAAAACTTTTAGGAGTCTTTTTATGAATGAATATAGAAATACCTGATACTATTTATAGTATATACAAAAAAATATCCGTCCTAAGGAAACATAAATTAAGCTGAAATAATAATTATTAATAATAATAGCAAGGTACTAAACTATACACAATCTAGCAAAATTTTTAGAAATTCTTTTATGAATAAATATAGAGATGTTTGATATCATTTGAATACACAAAAAATATTTAGCCTAAATATTATCAATAATTTATCTATTAATCCGACAATAAATTAGTCCGAAATAATTATTACTTCACATAAATTGTTGAGAATGCTAATTTTTCACGATGTGCTAATAATCAGTTGCCTTGAATATGTCTCATTAAAATTTTGTCAACTCTCATTTCAACGGAACAAGTGTATATTTTTTCGTGTATATACACAAGCACTGGAAGGAATATATCTTTCATCTTGAAATTTACATAAATATGCTTAAAAAGAAAAATTTAGACTTTATTATCTAAGCATAGACTGAATACATGTGCAGCTTACAGTGTTGTCTGACACAGCATATTTAAATACGCAAAAACTGTTTTTACTATCTGAAATTAGAAATGTTTGACTGAATTTTTTTTCAGAATTTAAAAAATTGTGAGTGTACGTACAGTGGCGAATGTGAATAACGACATGTCAATTATCTTTCCGGCAGTCATTTTAACTTCCACGCTGGATCGTGAAATGATCATAATGAAACTAAGAATATCTTTGTTTGGCAGATGATACCATTCCGTCATGTAAACCGTATCACCAATTTCCTTACACTGTCAACATCGAAATCAATTAGAGTTAATTACGCGATTATGCGTTGCTATATGTTAATCACCTTTTCAGTTAGTACCTCACCGATGTAACATATCAAAAAAATGTTGCATGTCATAGATATTAATACCATAGAATATACAGTTAAGTTCCGAATATTAAATTCCGACAATTCCTGAAAAGAGAATAAGTATTTGCAATTAGATTTATCACTTGTATTATTTAGATTATATAATGTTCGAATTCTGGAAACGTATATTTATTGTATTTAAATATTCATCAACTAGAGATCAGGTACTATTATTTTCAACAGAGAATCTAAATCATTACGTTGTAGGTCCACAGAGCGAAAGAAAATTTTCAGACAGGAAAATTTATTAAACGTATTTCATAAATAGCCAGTACTAAATATTCGTAAAGATATTGCGCGTAAATATTCGTAGATGCGTGTTTCGTTTCATGGTGAAAATTTTGTTTCCGACCTAAGTAGACCCATACACAATTCCAAATACATTTACCATACCGCAAGGATGTAATAGCTAGGCATGCACATACCCAGCAAGCTCTTGAACATTTCCATGAAGCATATCGGGCTCATTATACTTTCAATACGTGCTATGAAACTGCATTTAACACTCGATTAGACAAATTCATATTCAAATTCAAAAGATCGATACTTATGAAACCAAATGTTACCTCAGCACTCTCAAATGATGTTCAACGATTGCACCTACGTTGTTAACACCGGCATTGTTGTTTTGATGTCTCGAATGTTGATTCACAAACTCGTCGACCCATGCAACCATTATGTTCAACTGACCGAGTGCATGGCTCGCGAATACGGTAGCGAGACTAAATACACCGGTCGTACTTGAAATCGAGATGAACGCCGACAAGAACTGCGTGCCAAGAATGATGTCGTGGATCGATTTCGTTTGAACTGGAAGTTTATATGGTGGGCAGGGCAAGGTGTAGATGATTAGGGTCTCGTTTCCAACCTCGACAGTTTGCGTAACAACTCCAAATAGAATGCAGGCGCAAAAGACACCGCTTTGCATGAAAGCCGCGCAGAAACCCGCGACGTAACGGCCGAGCTTCGCGTTCTTCAGCATCATTTGTTGATCCTCCAACCTCGTGATCATTCTCCAGTCGGTTCTTATGTGTTCCAGGCAATCGTGTATGTCGTTTCTGCGTAGCAATAGCATAGCGTAATTGAATCCTCCGACACCCCAGTCACAGAGCGGTCCAAGTGTCTTCAGTTTTATGTAGATGTCCTCTTTCTCGAGGATGATGTTCAGTACGCCAGGAATCATAGTGAACAGCCAAAAGCACCAGCAAATGACGTTTAAAATCCGTGACCGGATCTTCTCGAGAGTGGTGATGTTTAAATCAGGCCAGGCTCCTATTGGCGTCAGGATCAATCGATTCACTTGTATGCTGTACTCGCTGAGGTTGTCATATTTCTTCGCGATTGTTTTACGTTCGTCTGTCATCGTGCTCTCTCGGCGAAATCACGCGTGCAACTGAATCGAAAGGAGAAGAATCGCGTAGAGGAGCATATGCGCATCGTTTGTTAGTCGACTAGCGCCGATCGATACATCTGAAAGTTTTTGTGGCGATGACTATACCTGCGGACGCATGACTCGAACTGATGTCGACAGTTGTCCTGTGAACTGTGAGTGAGTAAGAGCTCACAGTGGAAATTAAGTTGCACGTTGGTTGAAAGAATATGTCGAATATTTTAAATGATTATGGTACGTGATTTCGGCACGTGATATGTGTGAAATGATCTCGTGGAAATTAGTAAATGAATTAATTATATTTTCTTTTTTAAATGTACTATACCGAAGATCATGATAATAACAATTGAATGAAACGAATCAATCTTCACTGTTTTGTCGTATGTATTACACGACATTTGTCGTATGTATTATCTTGTCCATTGTCCTGTTATTCTGTTCAAGCATATTTCGCGGATTTTTTTAAAGGAATGTTTCAAGTGGAAATAACCTTGTTTATCTATATGGAAGTGCTGCAAGTTTCAAAGATTTATTCTTTCCGATGAATTAAGCAACGTCATTCAAGTCAGTGAAATTTTAAAATTACTTTGCTCAAATAACCGTGAAGATTCTAGATTTTAGTAATAAACCATAATAAACGTTGTCCACTTTCACGAAGGTAAATATATATAATCTGATTTCGTATTTTCATGTGGTGAGAGTGCGGAGTAAGCTCAAGTACGCCAGCGACGATTTTAACACCTGTAACAGAGAAAATTCGACAAGAATACAAGAGTCAAACGTGAAGGGCTTCGAGTAGCTATGGCTATGGTATATATGTACACTATTTACAATTGGTGCGAGGATGGAGGAAGGAGATGAAAGGATAGTAATCTTGAGTAAGGTGAGGAAAGGTTGTGCGTTTCGTCTCAGAGTCGCTGCCTAGACTCATCAGTGGGGCTGACGCTTGTTGTTCTAACTACTCGCTAGGCTGGACGGTCATCCATTCTAGCGGTGTTCCGCACTCTGCTTAACATCGAATATCGTTAGACTTCGACGCTAGACGCACAGCCACTTGCGGCTCGAAACTCGTGCTCAAGGGACTCTAGGCCGCTACAAACGAATCACGGAGCAAATGAACACGTGCTACTTACGCTGCAGAAGCTGCCTAGCGACAGCTCGACGAGCTTTCCAGCTGTTAATTTCGTGGAGTTATTTGCAACAGCGAATATCAATATCAAGCCGAGCGCTTTTCTTCTGGGTAAACGGTACCAATCGATCATGTAGGCCGACAGACTGATATTTTTGCACTGTGATCACATCAAGGCACACGTAAATTCTAAGTTTCCTCTTTCTCCAGGTAAAGTAATAACGCCGACTGATTAATGGGTTAAGCGATATACCTGTTCAGATAAAATTTCACCGATGTAACACAGGATGAAGATGTTGAACGTGAAGGATATGAGCAACGTGCAGTAGGTCAGTGTCCCTATGGTCTCACTTTGCTCCCATTCCTAGAAAACTGACATGTGACAGATGCAATTCTATTCTGGCATACTAGAACGTCTCTCTCAGCGTCGTTTCGTTACCGTGAGCAAGTAGTATCCGAGGAAACAAATATTCATCGTGCAGCCTACGAGCTCAACGAAACATATCTCGTTGAGAAGCTCCTCGATCTGGGATATGAAACTGAAAATTGTTTGCAATTACACATTCGATATTGATCCGTACGTAATTTACACAAGCGTCTAAATAAATATTCCTTACCCTAGTATATATAAGTGATGCTCCACAACGTCGCCTAATTGTTCTTTCCGCGAGTCCAGGTTCTTCTCTCTTTCCAGACCATCGACGAGCCTCTGAAGTCTCGCCACGAGTATTCCGAATTGTCCGCAGACGTGCATGACGAACACAGCGGCCAGGCTGCAGGCGCCGACGGTTACCGAGTACATCACAAATCCGGACAAGCATTGCATCAGCTGCACGATCTCGAACGAAGGGCTGGTGCGTGGATCGAGGAGGCCGCGGTAAATGGGAAACGCCTGCGACCTCACCGTCTCGTTGTCGATGATCTCCGTGCGTCTGGTGCACAGCGGCATCACGGTGGTGTAGAAAAAGCCACCGGAATACATGAAACCAACGCAGAAGGTCGCCAGGGATCTCCCTATCCTTGCGTTCTCTCTCATGATCCTTCTGTCCTCCTCTCCACGCGAGTGAGCGCGATACCAGTCCGCGCGAATGTCCTCGATGCATTTGCCAATCTTGGCGCCGCGAGAGACCAGAATGTAATACTTGATCGCCGCCATCACGCAGAAACTGAGCGGGCCGATCATTTTGATTTTAGTGTCGAGGTCGCCTGTTTCGAGAATGGTGCACAGAGCGCACGGCACCAAGAGGAAACTTATCAGGAAGGAGCTGATCAATGCGAGCATGATCGAACTGATCTTTTCTCCCGTGGTGACGCACAGAGAGATTGGCCAGACTCCGATCGGTTTCATTAACCAACGATTTATCTGGACACTGTACATCAAGTCCTCGTCCCAGGTCGGCGGACTTGCGTGGGCGACCATGTCGCGTGAAATGATACTAGCTGGTCGAAAGTGTACGCACAACTGAACGGCACAGTGAAGGGTGATACATCGATTGCTGAAACTTTCGGTATCGCGCATGTGCTAGTTTCATTGGTCTTTTTTTTTTTGTCTCGATAAACTTCATTCGAGCAACTCGCCAGCGCAGGTGAACTTGCCTCCCAACCACCAGTTGATTCGGTTCGAAGGATGTGCATGCGTGCATGATGAAGCCGTGAGTACGAACACATGGCGCTACAAATGCTTCGTTTCTCTATGCGTACCAGAGTTTTTTTCTTTTTCTTCTGTAAATACTGTTATTAATTTTTCAACTCCTTACTCTTTTTTTTTTAGTGTCGTGTCACGGAAAATATTTTTTACCGCAGTTCTCAGTATAACATATCGTAATAATTTATATAAGAGTGTTTAAAAGTTTGATGACATAGAGTGCGTGCTCGAGTAAAAATTAACATATATTCTGTACATGTAGGTACGTTATACAGTTTCAATTTGTTTCAGTTCGGAACTTGTGAAGTTTATTAGTACGATATTTTGACACACGTGCAGTTTACATCAATGGTTGTTTGGCGTAACATACTGAAATATGCGGAAGCGGTTTTTACTATCTGCAATTGCAAGTCATCCCATGAATCCTTTCAAAAGTCAGTAGTGTAGTTTCTGGATAAGCGAATCAAGAGGACGTACATTATCAAATGTGTATACGTACATGTCGATGAAGTTTCCAGCGGTCAGTTTAAGTGTCAGACTCCGTATCAGATCGTGAAATGAAGTAAGGATATCTCTGTTGGACAAGTGATACTAGTTCATCATGTACACCATTTCATCAACTTCCTTACAGTCGGGAGGAATTTTTTAAATCATCGAGACGAAATAAATAAGACTGCAGATGTTTATGAAGCATGAAAGTACACCGACTGCACGAAATATAAATCTCCATGAAACACAAATTTTTCATAGTCATCCGTCTGGAGAGAAAACGTTACTTTAGAGCTCTCAGGTGATGTTCGACGATAACATCTATTTGCTTGACGCAGGTATTCGTCTTCGAGCCTTTTGCGTTATAGTTGCGAATCAGTGAACATGCAAGAAGGATGATTTGGACTTCTTACGTTTTATCTTTGTCGGCAGGACGATTCGGATGGTTCGACACTATTGTCGAGCGCGACAAAATTTTTTAAATTTGTGGACAGTCGAAAGAGCCGTCGTCCATATGATTGGCTAATTTTAAGCATAATTTTACGCATAGTAAATTATATTTTGAAACATAAGAAATTGAAAAGAAAGATCGAAATATAAAAATTGGAGGATGACAACTGAGGTAAGTTATCTTTAGTCACAAACTTCCATGTACTATCGTTAATACTTACATCCCACTAGAATAGAAATTTTGTAGCCAATTAAGCTGAATTAATGTGTTATAATTCTCCGAAAGGATAGTTTCACATTTTGACACGTGAATTATTGTCGTTCGAACAGACGTAATACAAAAATAATAAACGATCAACTTTCGATTAATTATATTTTAAATTTTACAATTTTGTTCATTAACAGATCAAGCGTATACTTCGTCACGTCATTTGCCGCAACAGATTCAAATAGGCGAATGCGGTTTTCATTACCTGGAACGGTAGCGGATTTTTCAGTAATTGGTAAATTACACGTGAATGTGTACAAATAGACAACTTACATTACCAAACGTGAATATGGACATATGAACTAGCTTACCAGCAGTGATCTTAATTACCATACTGGAGCGTAAGATTATCTGAATCAAATCGAGTACATCCTTGTAAGGTAAATAGTGCCAATTTGTCATATAAACTGTATCGCCAACGTTTTTACACTAAATAGAAATTCTGTAGTTGGTTAAGCCGAATGAATATATCGCAATTCTCCAAAATGATAAAACATTTTGACACGTGAATTATTGTCGTTCGAGTAGATGTAACACAAAAATAATAAACAGTACTTTCCATTGACTGTATTTTAAATATTACAACTTTATACATTAACGGATCAAGCGTGCGCTTCCCCGTTAGGAATTTTTTATTCAAAATGTTTTATTACGATTGGAAGAGTCACGTCTTGCATGTTTGTTACCTTTTCCGTTAGCGTGTCGCCAATGTAACATATGATGAAAATGTTGAAAATCATGGAGCAAAGTATCACGCTGTACACAGCCGTAATTTGGAGATTGTGAGCCTGCAATTCCTAAACAAAAGGTAACGCGCGTTTAGTTCAACTGATCGTCTCGTTTTTCTCAGGCAAATTTTAACTCAACGTTATCCTCAAGTAAGAAATGTAGAAACCTTGTGAAATATCGCCTTGAAAGAAACGTACCGTAAGAATGTAATATCCGAGCATGCATATGTTCAGCGTGCATTTGAACAGTTCCATAAAGCATATTTCGGTCATCACGTTTTCGATACCTGTTATGAAACTGCATTCAACATGCACTTACAATATGTTACAAACACCTCGTCGATAGGTGAACGTCGTAGAAACTTCTCAATAAATCTTACCTCAGAACTCTGAGATGATGTTCGACGATCTTGCCGACTTCGTTCAGTCGTACGTTGCTGTTACGATTCTTCGAACGAGTCACAAATTCGTTGACCCAGGTGGTCATGATGCTCAGCTGGCCGCACGCGTGTGCCGCGAACACAGCGGCGATACTGACGGCGCCAGCTGCGCTCGAATTCACGATAAACCCGGAGACGAACTGCGTGGCAAGCACGATCGCGTTCGTCGGATTGGTATCGACTGGAATTAACTTCTTGTACGAGATACAAGGCAACACGCGCAACGTTCGCGTTTCATTCCCGACCTCGATGATCTCTTTGGTAAACGCCGAGATGGTGCAGTGCGACAGGACACCGCCTTGCATGAACGCGGCGCAGAAAGCCGCCGTACACCGTCCAATCTTGGCGTACTTCATCATCACTTTCTGATCCTCCTTCCTGGTTATGATCTTCCAATCGTTCTGCACGTGCTTTATACAGCTATGCATCTCTTTGCCTCGTAGCAACAGGGTGGTGTAATTAATGCCACCGATGAACCAGTGACTGAAAGGGCCGAGCGTTTTCAGCTTAACGGCAACGATCTCGTCCTCCAGCCAGAGATAAAACAGACAGGGGATCACGGTGAACAGCACGAAAAAATAACAGAGGAAGTTCAGAATCATTGAAACGATTTTCTCGAGTCTCGAGGTAGACGCGGATAGTGGCCAAGCTCCTATCGGTTTGAGGAACCATCGGTTCAATTGCAAGCTGTAGTCGCTGAGACTGTGAGGACTGTCCTCGGCCGTTGTAAATTCTGTCATCGTGGTCGCTCGACGAAGTTGTGAGAACGACTGATCGAATATTTTGCCTGAATGGAGTTGGTGCACTGTTGGAGCTTGTGCAACGCTTGCGCAGAGTTCTCATCGATCGATTCGTTCACTCTGTGTTCTCCACTTGTTGAAATTTAATGCGACTGTGTACGGTGGAAAGTTGTTAATAGCTTTCCGTGAAGACATACATTGTGCACGCATTGCAATCCTCGGCGAGTTCACTGTCTCTTGACAACAAATCGAATAGCATGCGGTTGACATAGAGTTCAATTCACGAGATACTTTCTTCTTTTCGGGTGACATTAATTTTGGGAATATATCTTTCGAGATACGACAAGAGAAATAGTTGTTTTTTTATATTATATATTTTGCTGTAAGATTTTCATTTGTTAGAGTTCGTGGATATTTTCATATTTATTATCATCGAAGATTGGAAGAAGGACGTTCACATTTGGTGATTTGAAGGTTTTATTTTTCACGTAGAATTTCACAGCTTCGAAACATTCTACCGACGTGAGACATGCTTCGATTTTGTTTGTGCGATAAAGAAATGATTGAAGAGGGAAGTGATACTTAGATGATAGTAAATACATCTCAATTTTCGATACCAACGAACTCTAATAAAGTGCTGCAACATTAAAACATAGAATTCATAATACTACTACTCATGTGAGACGACTAAGTAATTAACAATTTTTGCACAATCTGAAGATATTGATATAAAAAACGATATGCAATGTATTTGTGCAAATCTTTATGTCATATAAGTTTTACAATTTCAGGTTTTACTATTGGTGCACATAATCATGCCACTTCTCGCAACAGATTAAAATACGCAAACGTCAGTTTTATTACCTGGAATGGTAATAGTTTCCATGAGAACATATCTTACTTGTACGTAAGTATACAACTTACATCGCTGAATGTATATAGACACATATGAGTCATTTTCCCAGCAGTGATCTTGACCACAGAATTAGCTCTTGAGATAATCAAAATCAAATTAAGCATGTCTTTGTTGGATAGATAGTACCAGTTTGTCGCATACACCACGTCGCCAATCTTTCTGCACTGTTTGAAATTTAGTTAATGAATTTAGTTGGTTGCACATCCAATTAAATTACAATAATATTTTAATTATCAGATTATTTTATCTGTTACCTGCTTTGTTATTGTATCACCGATATAACACACTGTAAAAATGTTGAAACTCATGGACACCATTATTATGAAGTACGTGACTGCGCTTCGAACATTGTCGTTGGCCAAGTCCTGGAAAGAAATATCGATGTTAGTATAAAAAATTTTCTTTATGTCATCTGGATTTTAGAATTTGAGAAACGGGGAAGAATTAGATTTGTAATACTATTTCAAATCGAATTTTAAATTGAAAAGACACAAATTAAATTTCAGATGCAAATTATTTGGACTAAAACAAGAAATCACAGAGTGAAAAATTCCAACTTAATTAAATTATAGAAACGTACAGCATACACACACCACATCTACGTCATTCATCTTTACGTACTGTGACGATATAGTATCCAAGCATGGATATGTCAAGCCTGCTTTTCAGTAGCTCCAAGAAGCAGAATTCAGTCATCACATTCTCGATACCTGCTATAAAACTGCAGTCAATATGCACATGAAAATCCTTCCTCGAATGATCCAGAAATGTATCTTACCTCAACACTTTGAGATGATAGTCGACGATCTCACCTATGTCGTTAAACCCATCATTATCCTTCCGATCTTTCGGCCGATTCAGAAATTCGTTGATCGATGTCATCAAAATGGTCAATTGGCCACACGCGTGGGCCGCGAACACGGCACCGATGCTAATAGCGCCGACGGCGCTCGAATTCACGATAACTCCGGACAGAAATTGCGTAGCGAGTACTATTCCGTACGTCGGGCTGGTATGAACCGGAATTAAATTCTTATACACGGCACAGGGCAACATACGAATGACTTTGGTCTGGTTTCCGATTATGACGGTCTCCTTGGTGACTGCTTTCCCCGCGCAGTACATCAAAATGCTGCTTTGCATGAAAACAGTGCAAACAGCGGCGACGAGACGCCCGATTTTAGCGTGCTTCATCATCACGCGTAAGTCTTCTGGCTTTCTTACTGCTTTCCAATCAGTTTGCATACGACAGACGCAATAATGAATGTCTCTGCTTCGTAGCAATAAATTGGTGTAATTGAGGCCTCCGATGAACCAGTGGCTGAGAGCACCGAATATCTCTATCTTCGCGTAAACAGTCTCATCTTCGAAAATAAGGTGGAGTATGCAAGGGATCACGGTGAATAACACGAGGCCATAACAGAGAGTGACTAAAACAAACGAAATAATCCTATCGCATCTCGATGTTGATGTGAACACCGGCCAGGCGCCTATTGGTTTTAGTAGCCATCGATTCAACTGCAAACTGTAACCGCACAGACTATCAAAAGTTTTTTCTGTTGTTACAAAGTTGTTCGTCATCGCGTCTAGCAAAGTTGTGGAAACGACTGAGTTATTTTTTACGAGAGGAGCGTGTTCATTGTAGATTACGTAACAGTTGCGCGAAACTTTTCCAAGCTATAAACCGATCGATTTGTCTAGTCAGTCTTTACAACTTGTTGCGATTGCACGCAAAAATTGCTGACAACTGTCGTTTGAAGTATAAATCTCTCCGTTTGGTTTGGTAGATTTATTCGAAGATTTACAAGATGTTTGAAAATATGAATAATTTCACTGTGATAGTCAAATTTTTTAAATGTATGAATTGCCTCGTCTGTAGTGATTTCAATGATCACACTTGACCAATGAGGAACAATTCAAGGATTCTGTTTTGTGGTAAATAATATCAATTTCATAAACATTCACATAAACATTTCGTCAATTTTTCTATTCTGTTGAGAATTCGTTCAATTAATCGTTATCATTTTTTGAATATGTTTTATTTGTATTAAATACTTCATACTAATGAAGCTACTGATATTTGTCCTGTCAATATTTCATCTATGTGTATAACATATTACGAAAATATTAAAGTAGATTGAAATATATATGATAGTGAACAACAGAGTTTGAGTATTCTGGCTGATCCATTTCTAAAAAATAAGAAAATAAAGTAATCGTATACAAAAATAAATTTAGAGTGGCTGCAGAAAATATTAGTAATTTTTAGCTCAAGGTTATCTTTTTATATTTCATCTTCATAGTATCAAATTTTTGCAATTATATGAAAGTACTAAAGTATAATATACTTCAACCCAATGAATATTAAATGCTATAACAAACGCGCTAATTCTTCTTCAAGGCATTACATATACAAAAGTATGAAACTGAATAATAACATATATATAAATATGTACGTATATATATATATACGAACAGAATATATAAATGATATAGTATTTTATTCAGCTCATTCTCGATATGATTTATGAAATTACAATTAACATTTAATCTAGTTATAGTGTCCTCTCTCAAAAAGGGAACATAGAAAATATCTTGTCTGTGTCTTCAAGGATCGTTCGATAATTCCCATTTCCTTAAAACCATCTGTCTTCTTTTTCTTCTTCAATGAATGATCCATATCATGAATTGCTGACCACCTGCGTGAGCAGGTAGACCAGCTGCGGGACTGAAAATGCTAGCTGTACTAGAGTTAATAATAATAGAGGCCCAAAATTGCAATGAGAGCATGATTTCATACGTTGCAATTTCTTGTGTACTGCACGAGGTAACATGTGCGAGTTTCGCGTTTTGTTTTTGACTCGTACCTCCTGTATTTAATACTGTGACGAAAAGAAATCCTAGAATGTCACCTTGCATGAAAATGGTTCACGAAAGCTACGTAACGACCGTAAATTTCACGTTTTTCATCATCAACAGATGATCTGTTCACCAGTCATTCTCCATGTGCGCCAAATACTGTAAATTTTTACTGTGCAGCAACAAAGTCGTGTAATTAATGCTGCTGACCATTCAGTGAATCATAGAAATCAGTGATTTCACTTTCAAGTAAATACTTCCTTCTGGAAGCATTGGTAGCAGTATTAATACCAACGCCTGTTCAAATGACCGGTTTAAAAATCTGTTTTAAAATTTCGTATTCATTGTTACTTCTTTTTTGTTCACCTCCTTAGGAAGATAAAAATACATAATTTTTTTTCCTGTTATTATCTAAAAGTTTTTTTTAAGCACTGTTTTCTGTATTAAATTGACAATTACCTGTGTTCCTCTTGTGGAAGGATTTATTTCATAATCGATCTTTTGACTGGTTACGGTAGGAATATATATATATATATATATTTATATATTTAAATATAAATATAAATATAAATATATATATATATAAATATAAATATAAATATAAATATAAATATAAATATATATATATACATATAAATATAAATATAAATATATATATATACATATAAATATAAATATAAATATATATATATAAATATAAATATATATATATAAAGTGCAGATACGTTTAGTGTTTAGGAGCTATAGCAAACGATATTTAAAATAAACGAAACGATCTTTTCGAGCCTCGTAACAGAGGAAGACGAGGGTCATGCACCGATTGACTTTCGAAGCTAATTTAAAAGACTATAGTTACTATTGATCTTTCTGTCGATTACAGGTTGATTTGTCATCGTAGAATGAAGTCATTACTTGAATGGAGAGGCGTATGCAGTATATTCGCAGAGTGTTTCAACTCTTGTTCGCGGATCGATTCGTCTAGTCGATTGAGTTTACTTTCGAAGTAATATCATCTAGGGTAAGTCTATGTTTGCAAGCTTCTTATAATCGAATATATGTGCAAAGTTTATCATCGATTTAGTCTATAACTTAATGTCAGCTTCAGCATATAGCCTTATCTCTGAAACGTCTAATTTAATGATTAGACCATTCTACTACTTGTTGCAGCACGTGGGAACACACAATGTGCACATATTGTAACATAATCCCTTGGGCGGTTTATTGCTTCTTATAGCAAATCAAGTAGTACGTGGTTCATACAGGATTAAATTTTTACGATCTTTGTAAAATTAACTTTGGAAATGTATCTTTTGAACTATGTTGAGATAAATGTGTGTTTTATTTCCAATATATTTATCGTCAAAAGATGCTGTAAGATTCTTATATGTTAAAGGTGGTGGATCAAAAATTGTTACTTTCTTCATTAAAGATGATTCATATTTGAAGGTTTCGCCATCAGTCCGATTCATTTCTACAATTTCAAAATGTTCTATTGGTACGAGATATATTTCGATTTTATCTATTATGATTTTATTCATGAATCATAATGATGGAAATGATTGAAGAAAATGATACTCAAATGCCATGATAGTAAATATAATATATCTGATTGTCAGTAAATTTTAACAGCGTGGTAATTTCATAATTTCCACAGCAGCATGTTGAACCATGATCAGTTTGAACCTAACTTTGAAATACTATCTGAGGATATTGGTAGACAAATTATATTTGATATATTTGTTGCAAATCTTTATCTCCTACGTCTTACAATTTTTATGCAGGTTCTACTAGTTGTGCAGATTGTCATGATACTTGTCGCAATAGATTAAAGTACGCAAACGTCAGTTTTATTACCTGAAATGGTTATGGTTTCCTAAGTAAAGGTAGTATATTCTAGTGTATATGTAAGTATGTAAGTATATTCTTCGTATATATGACTTACATACTTACATACTTCGTATATATAACTTACATCGCCGAATGTGTTTATGGACATGTGGGTCATTTTCCCAGCAGTAATCTTGATCACAGAATTTGATCTTGAGATGATCAAAATCAAGTTAAGCATGTCTTTGTTGGGCAGATAATACCAGTTTGTCGCATACACCACGTCGCCAATCTTTCTGCACTGTTTGACATTTTGGATGATGAATGTTAGTCGAACATTAATTATATTTAATTTATCAGATTATTTCATCTGTCACCTGTTCTGTTAATATATCACCGATATAACACAGTATGAAGATATTGAAACTCAGGGATATTATTATAATGATAAACGCGGATGCGCTTTGAACATTATCGTTGGCCCAGTCCTGAAAGAAGAAAAACATCAATGTTAGTCGAATCAATTTTCTCTACACTATTTGGATTACGGAATTTAAAGAAGGACGAAGTGAAAATTGTGAAAGTATTTCAAATCGAAAATTTTAAATTGAAAAAGTATTTCAGTTACGATAGAGTGTTGAACACAGAAATTATTCGGACTAAAGGAAAAAAATCACAAACTAAAGAGTTCCAACTTCGTAGGCTTCGTAAGAATATTCAATTATAGAAAGATATGTAGAAACGAATAACAAATGTACAAATGTCACAACGTTTACATCCTTCGTCTTTACGTACTGTGATAATGAAATACCCAAGCATGGATATTTCAAGTTTGCTTTTCTGCATTTCGATGAAGCAGAATCCAGTCATTACATTCTCGATGCCTGCTACGAAACTGCAGTCAATATGCTCATGAAAATACTTGCATCAAAATTCTCGGAAAAATTCAGAAATAAACCTTACCTCAACACTTTGATATGATACTCGACGATCTCACCTATTTCGTTTAACTCAAGGTTGTTCTTCTCGTCTTTAGGCCGATTCATAAATTCCTTGATCCACGTCATCAAGATGGTCAATTGACCACAGGCGTGAGACGTGAACACGACACCGATGCTAAGAGCGCCGAGAGCGCTCATATTCGCAATCCACCCAGACATAAATTGTAGAGCGAAGACTATTTCGTACGTCGGGCTGGTATCAAACGGAATTAAATTCTTATACACAGCACAGGGTAACACACGAATGATTTTGGTCTGATTTCCGATTATGATGGTTTCCCTGGCGACCACTTTCCCCACGTAGTACGTCAACATGCCGCTTTGCATGAAAAAAATGCGAACAGCGGCGACCAGACGCCCGATTTTGGCGTGCTTCATCATCACGCGTAAGTGTTCTGGTCTTTTTACTTCTTTCCAGTCAGTTTGCATATGACGGATGCAATATTGAATGTCCCTGCTTTGCAGCAGTAAATTCGTGTAATTGATGCCACCGAAGATCCAGTGACTGAGAATACCAAATTTTTCTAGCTTCGCGTAAACAGTCTCATCTTCGAAAATAAGGTGGAGTATGCAAGGGATCACGGTGAATAACACGAGGCCATAACAGAGAGTGACTAAAAGAAACGAAATAATCCTATCGCATCTGGATGTTGATGTGAACGCCGGCCAGGCGCCTATTGGTTTTAGTAACCATCGATTTAACTGCAAGCTGTAGTCGCTCGGACTATCAAGAGTTTTTTCTGTTGTTGCGGGGTTGTTCGCCATCGTGTGCACCAAAGTTGCGGAAACGACTGAACTGAATGGTTTGCACGAGACGAGCGTGTGTTCATTATGTTGTACAACGCTTGCGCAAAGTGTTCCAAGCGATCACATATCGATCGATTTGTCTAGTCTGTCTTCGTAACTTGTTGCGGTTGCACGTGAATGTGAACGTTTCGAAGATGCTGTCACGTAACGCGAAGACCGTTTGTGTCGTTCAATGGATTTATTCGAAATATGGGGAGATTTGTGAAATTCTCAGCAAATAATCTCATTCTGAGAATTTTTTAAATATCGGGCGCAGGTAAATTTTGCAGTTCTGTTCTGTTTGTAATTCAAAAAGTGCATTAAAGATTGAGATGTTTCAAACGAAACGATCTTTTCGAGCCTCATATTGAAGAAAAACGTGAGCCATACATAAATTGATATTAAAGGTTGAAATGAAATTACTTATCATACTATATCATATTGGTCACAAGTTGACTTGTCGTCGTGATACGATGTTGTTAAATAGATGGAGAGGATTGTCAGTTCATTCTCTGTGTGTATAGAAACACTTGCTCAAATATTTGTTCATGAATAGGATAATTATACCTAAATAAATGTTCAAAGTATCAACTCTCACGTTGGCGACGTAATAATAAGAATTTTTTAATTTTATAATTTCTACACTGATATATTGCAACATTAACAATTATAACCTCGGTTTGAAGTACAATTTAAGAATGCTGGTACAAAAGTGATATGCGATATATTTGTGCAAACCTTCATGTAAACCATCTTAAATCGTACGATTTCACGCGCAAATTTTAATAACTGTTGCATGTTGTCATGTCACTTGCCTTAGTAGATTAAGGTAAGCGAATGTCGTTTTCATTACCTGCAATGACAATAGTTTCCATAAAAGTAGGATGTTCTACTAGTAAATGTCCAAGCATATGACTTACATCGCCGAATGTGTTTATGCACATGTGAGTCATTTTCCCAGCAGTAACCTTGATCATGGAATTTGATCTTGAGATGATCAAAATCAAGTTAAGCATGTCTTTGTTGGGCAGATAATACCAGTTTGTCGCATACACCACGTCGCCGATCTTTTTGCACTGTTTGGCAATTTGGATGATGAATGTTAGTCGAACATTAATCATATTTAATTTATCAGATTATTTCATCTGTCACCTGTTCTGTTATTATATCACCGATGTAACACAGTATGAATATATTGAAACTCAGGGACACCATTATAATGAAAAACGTGATTGCGCTTTGAACATCATCGTTGGCCCAGTCCTGAAAGGAAAAGAACATCAGTATTAGTCGAATCAATTTTCTTTACACTATTTGGATTACGGAATTTAAAGAAGAACGAAGTAAAATTGTTAAAGTATTTCAGTTACGTTAGAGTATTGACACACAAATTATTCGAACTAAAGGAAAAAAAATCACAAACTAAAAAGTTCCAACTTCGAAAGAATATTCAGTCGTAAAAGCAAATGTAGAAATGGATAACATGTTTACATCTTTCATCTTTACGTACTGTGACAATATAGTATCCAAGCATGGATATTTCAAGTTTGCTTTTTTGTAGTTCGATGAAGCAAAATTCAGTCATCACATTCTCGATACCTGCTACGAAACTGCAGTCAATATGCACATGAAAATACTCGCACATCAAAATTCTCCCAAGAATTCAGAAATAAACCTTACCTCAACACCTTCAGATGATACTCGACGATCTCACCTATTTTGTTAAACTCAAGGTTGTTCTTCTCGTCTTTAGGTCGATTCACAAATTCCTTGATCCACGTCATCAAGATGGTCAATTGGCCACGAGCGTGAGCCGCGAACACGGCACCGATACTAACAGCGCCAACAGCGCACGAATTCACAATCAAGCCGGACACAAGTTGCACAGCGAGGACTATTTCGTACGTTGGACTAGCGTGAATGGGAATTAAATTCTTATACACGGCACAGGGTAACATGTGAATGACTTTCGTTTGGTTTCCAATGGTGATGGTCTGCGTGGTGGACACTGTCACCATGCAGTAAACCAAGACGCCACTTTGCATGAAAGCAGCGCAAAAGGCGGCAATGAAACGACCGATTTTGGCGTATTTCATCATCACACGTAAATCTTCTGGCCTTGTCGCTGCTTTCCAATCAGTCTGCATATGACTGATACAATAACGAATATCTTTCCTTCGTAGAAGTAGATTCGTGTAATTGATGAATCCGACGACCCAGTGACTGAATGGGCCGAGTGTCTTCAGCTTTATGTAAGTACTTTCATCTTCGAGAACAAGATGGAATATACAAGGGACCACGGTGAACAGTATGAGGCCGTAACAGAGACTGACTATGATGAACGAAATGATCCTATCGCATCTCGATGTTGATGTGGACGCTGGCCAGGCACCTATTGGTTTTAATAACCATCGATTTAACTGCAAACTGTAGTCGCTCGGGCTATTAAGAATTTTTTCTGTCGTTACGGAGTTGTTCGTCATCGCGTCCACCAAAGTTGTGGAAACAACTGAATTGAATATTTTGCACGAGACGAGTGCGTGTTGTACAACGCCTGCGCAAAGTTTTCCAAGCGATTACAAACCGATCGATTTGTCTAGTCTGTCTTCACAACTTGTTGCGGCTGCACGCGAATGTGAACGTTTAGAAGACGCTGTCACATCACGCGGAGACCGTTCGTGTCGTTCAATAGATTTATTCGAAATATGGAGAGATTTGTGAAATTCTTAGTGAATAATTTGGAAGTACGAATAATCTCACTCTGAGAATTTTTTAAATATCGGGCTCAGGTAAATTTTGCAGTTCTGTTCTGTTTGTAATTCAAAGAGTGCATTAAAGATTGGGATGTTTCAAACGAAACGATCTTTTCGAGCGTCATATTGAAGAAAACAAGGATTATACACAAATTGATATTAAAAGTTCAAATAAAATTACTGTTGATCATAATTTGATTTGTCGTCGTGAAACGATGTTAAATAGATGGAGAGGATTATCAGTTCATTTTCTGTGTGTATAGAAACATTTGCTCAAATATTTTAGATATTTGTCCATAAATACAATAAATATACCTACATAAATTTTCAGAGTATCAACTCTTACGTTGGCGATGTAATAATTAGACTTTTGTAATTTTATGATTTCCACACTGATATATTGCAACATTAACAATTATAACCTCGGTTTGAAGTACAATTTAAGAATATTGGTACAAAAGTGATATGCGATATATTTGTGCAAACCTTCGTGTCTGAAATCGTACGATTTCACGCGCAAATTTTAATAGCTGTTGCATGTTGTCATGTCACTTGTCTTAGTAGATTAAGGTAAGCGAATGTCGTTTTCATTACCTGCAATGACAATAGTTTCCATAAAAGTAGGATGTTCTACTAATAAATGTACCAAGCATATGACTTACATCACCGAATGTGTTTATGCACATGTGAGTCATTTTCCCCGCAGTAATCTTGATCGTGGAATTTGATCTTGAGATGATCAAAATCAATTTAAGCATGTCTTTGTTGGGCAGATAATACCAGTTTGTCGCATACACCACGTCGCCAATCTTTTTGCACTGTTTGACATTTTGGATGATGAATGTTAGTCGAACATTAATCATATTTAATTTATCAGATTATTTGATCTGTCACCTGCTCTGTTAATATGTCACCGATGTAACACACTGTGAAAATGTTGAAACCCATGGATACCATTATCATGAAATAGGTAGTCAGATTTCGAACGTCGCGTTCGTCCCATTCCTGAACAAAAATATTGTTGTTATTGAATCAATTGTCCCTATATCATTTGAATTGTGGAATTTAAAACAACACAATACAAAGAAAAATTGCACTTTAACACGCTTGGATAAAAATATGTGATATGTACGCTTACAATCGGTGTTGAAAGAATTTTATTTTAAAAAAGTATTGCGAGATGAAGGTAATCAAATTTACAAAAATTATGTTTATTTACTGCAGGTTATATACTACCCAAGAGATTTGAACAGTGAACGTGTTAAATCCAGTATTTCAATTATAATAACTGGAGTATTGAGATACAAATTACTTGGATTGAAACAAGAAATCACAGAGTAAGAAGGATAATTCGGATATTCAAATCAATTACAGGAACACACAACACTGACACACCACATCTACATCATTCATCTTTACGTACTGTAAGAATATAATATCCAAGCATGGATATGTCAAGTTTGCTTTTCAGCAGTTCCAAGAAGCAAAATTGTGTCAACACTTTCTCGATACCTCCTATGAAACTGCGATCAATATGCACATGAAAACACCCGCATCGAAATCTCCCTGTCGCAAGATTCAAAAATTTATCTTACCTCAGCACCTTGAGATGATACTCGACGATCTCACCTATGTCGTTAAACCCGTCGTTGTCCTTTCGATCTTTCGGTCGATTCACAAATTCGTTGATCCACGTCATCAAGATGGTCAATTGGCCACGCGCGTGAGCCGCGAAAACGGCACCGATGCTAATAGCGCCGACAGCGCTCGAATTCACGATAAATCCCGACAGGAATTGCGTAGCGAGGACGATTTCGTTTGTCGGACTGGTGTGAATCGGAATGAAGTTCTTATACACGGCACAGGGTAGCATACGAATGATCTTGGTCTGGTTACCGACTATGATTGTCTGCGTGGCGAACGCTGTCACCATGCAGTACATCAGGACGCCACTTTGCATGAAAGCAGCGCAAAAGGCGGCGATGAAACGGCCGATTTTAGCGTATTTCATCATCACGCGTAAATCTTCTGGTCTTCTTACCGCTTTCCAGTCAGTTTGCATGTGACGGATACAATATTGAATGTCCCTGCTTCGCAGCAGTAAATTGGTGTAATTAATGCCGCCGATAAACCAGTGACTGAGAGGACCGAACGTCTTTAGCTTTATGTAAATCGTTTCATCTTCGAGAACAAGGTGGAATATACAAGGGATGACGGTGAACGATATGAGACCGTAACAGAGACTGACTAACGTAAACGAAATGATCCTATCGGATCTCGATGTTGACGTGGACGCTGGCCAGGCACCGATTGGTTTTAATATCCATCGATTTAACTGCAAACTGTAGTCGCTCGGGCTATCAAGAGTTTTTTCTGTTGTTACGGAGTTGTTCGTCATCGTGTCCATCAAAGTTGTGGAAACGACTGAATTGAATATTTTGCACGGGGCGAGTGTGTGTTCATCGTGTTGTACAACGCTTGCGCAGAGCTTTCCAAGCGATTGCAAACCGATCGATTTGTCTAGTCTGTCTTCACAACTTGTTGCGGCTGCACGCGAATGTGAACGTTTAGAAGATGCTATTAGGCTGTTTTGCGAAGTGCGATTTCTTCGTTCGATTTTATAGATTTATTTGAAATAGATGGGGATTTGTGAAATGTTTGAAAGTATGAGTCACTTCACTGTGGCAGTTAAATTTTTTTAAATCTCGATCTTAGTTAAATTCTTTACTCTATATTGTAGTTGAGAAATTGCTAGATATTAAAAATTGGCGTATTAAATGTTATGAATTTACTGCGAAATGTTGTGTATCGATTTGATCGGTCAATTTGTTGCAGTGATGAACACGGTTGCAGTCGAGAGGATTTTCATGGAAAAATTAACAGAAGCGACTGAATTTTTGATTTCAGTGAGTGAAGTAAAAGTTTGGCAGGAGGTTCTGTATAGTTTCAAGTATCAGGACTACGTTATTATATGTGCTGAAAATTTTGATCGAACTTCATTAGACAAATTTCCTTTGTACTTACATTGTTCTTAGAAAGTTACATGCATGCTTTTTTATTGAAAGAGTTGGCGAAAGTTGAATTTATAGCGAGTGATGCGAAATATAGTGGAATTGTTGGAAAATAATAATCAAATAACGAGGAAGGGGACAATCATACTTGCATCGTGATTTTTGTATTTCCTTACAGTTCTATAATTATAAAACGTTGAAGTTATTATTCCATGCAACATATTTTTTACTCTTTATATTTCAAATCTTATGAACAAATATGTGTGAAATATTTTCAGGATACCATTCTTCATCACGTCATTTGGCGCAAGAGATTCAAATACGCGAAACCGGTTTTTACCACCTGGAATCATGCAATATTTTATGTGAACAGGCACACAGGAATAAATTCAGAAATCATCAACTTACATCGCCGAATGTGTAAACGGACATATTGACCAATTTTCCGGCGGTGATGTGAACGACCACGCTCGATCGCGCAATAATCAAAACCAGGTCGAGAATCGTGTTAACAGGTAAATAGTACCAGTTCGTCATATAAACAACTTCACCAATTTTCCTGCACTGTGAACGAGAATTTGTTCAATGCATTTCACGTTCATTTATATCACTTAATATTAATATTAATATTTATTGTACAAGTGATAAATAGTTAAAGCATGAAATTTATGACAAAGAAGCTCAAAATGAAAGATATACATATTTATATATATATAAATAATAAATATATGTAATAATATATATATATATATATGTGTATGTATGTATAAAAAAATATATGTAAATATATGTAAAAAAATATATGTAAAAAATATATATATAAATAGATAAATAAATAAATAAATAAATATATATATATATATGTAAAATATATAAAATATATATATATATATGTAAAAAAAGCCATTCAAAAATGTATCGGTGTAAAATTGTGAATTATTCACTTTGATTGGTGGGATAGTTATTGTTAACGATTACATTATAATCGTTTATATTATCGATTGTATTAACGATATAATTTTCCCAGATACCTGCTCCGTTAATATTTCACCGATGTAACATATTATGAAAATGTTAAAACAGATCGAAATGAGCATCATGACGTACGTAGTTAAGTTCTGAATATCGCGGTCAGCCCATTCCTGAAAGAAATAAACTCGTTAGTTGGAAAGGAATAAAATTATTAGTTCAAAAATTAATCATTAAAGAAAAAAAAAAAAGGAAAAAGAAAAAAATTAATCCAGACCAAACTTATAAATCTGGAAAGAAATAGGCAAATAATAGTACATCGAGTATGTACCGTAAGTAGCCAGTAGCCAATTATGCATATATCCATCGTGCATCTGAACATCTCCAAAAAGTATATCTTATTCATCACAGCCTCGATGCACGATATAAAACTGCAATTAATACGTGACATGAAACCAAGCAACTATTATCAAGAAAGAATCTTAAAAAACGATCGAAAAAAGGTACGAGAATATTAACCTCTTGCGCTGGAATGACGTGCCACGCACGTCGAGAACATTTCCGCAACATTTTCTCAGTTTTAAGTATATTTAAATGCAACCCAGGCGAAACAAATGATGAGTTTATTACCTCTTAATAATTTCAATCCGGTGACATCGTACGCGACGAGTTCGAAAGGAAAAGAAAGCGACGAATTATTGTATACGGTTCGGTCACTCGTTACGGTCCGCGAACCAGTTGCCAGCGCAAGGGGTTGAAAAGGATCTTACTTTAGAGTCCGCAGATGACGTTCCACGATTACGCCAATTTCCTTGAAACCGCCAATTTTCGTCTGCTCCTTCGCCTCGTTGACAAACTCGGTGATCCATATCGTGATCACGTCCAGCTGGCCGCACGCGTGAGCAGCTAGAACAGCCGCAAGACTGAAAATGCCGACGGTGCTGGAGTTCGCGATAATAGCGGACCAGATTTGCAAAAAGACGACGATCTCGTTCGTTGGGCTCTCGTCGACGTTCAACAGCCTCCTGGACACCGCGCAAGGTAGCACGTGCAACACCCTCGTCTCGTTACCGATTTCTACCTCCACCGTGGTTAACGCCGTAACGAAACAAAAGCACAGAACGCCACCCTGCATGAAGATGGCGCACGAAGCAGCCACGTAACGACCGAATTTCGCGTTCCTCATCATCACCTGTTGATCCTTCTCCCTGGTCACTGTTCGCCAGTCGTCCTTTATGTGTTCCACGCACTCGCGTATTTCTCTGCTGTTCAGCAGTAGAGCGGTGTAATTAACGCTGCTGACGAACCAGTGACTCACCGGGCCCAGCGTCTTCAGCTTTACATAGACGGTCTCGTCGTTCTGAATCATCAGCAGCACGCTGGGGATCGCGGCTAGTATCACGGAGCTGTAGCAAACGACGTTCAGAATGAACGAAACGATCTTCTCGAGTCTCGTTGTGGAGGGAGACGAGGGCCACGCGCCGATCGGTTTCAAGAACCATCGGTTCAACTGGAGACTGTAGTCGCTGTTGCTGTTGCTGCTCGCTTCTGTGATCACGGTCCCGTTCGTCATCGTGGAATGAAGCAAGCGTTCGTTCATCGATAGAGTGAGGGTGCACGCAGTCGTTGAGAACGCTTGCGCGCCTTGTTTTTTTTTGTCTTAGGTGCATAGTCAACTGATCGATTCGTCTAGTCGGCAGAACTTATTCAGAAACTTGTTTGAAACAGTACGAAAGTATGTACACCTGGAAATTATCGGTTGCTGTCGTGTGAAGCGAACGCGGAGCGCGCACCGCAGTGAATTCGCATTCCTCTTTCTGATTCCGAGAGGATAGGTTCTTAAATTTTTAATAGAAGGTCGATGGTGATTTTGCGACTGATTTTACGCGTCACGGAATTATAATTGATTGTAATTGCAGTAGTAATTATAAGAAATTTTGTGACAAGGAATAATTTATTTTTGTTGGTGAGAATTTTCAACGAGTGAAAATTTTTAAACTTGATCAGTTTCATCGGACAGTTCTACATTTGCGAAACTGATTCGGTCTGTTCGTTTGGGAAAAATTCTTCTCGTGTATTTTTGTGATTTTAGTCACTAACCAGCGAAATATAGAATGAAAGCTAATTTATTTAAGCGTGGATGATTCAGGCGTGGATGTGAAAATTAAAGTTCATTGATTTTATGTCAGTTCTACATTTTATTCTTCGTTTTTTCAACAAGTTTTTCTATTTAAATATAAATGCTACAACGAACGAAGGAGAATCTAGGGGTATTTTAAAAAGTTAATTCTTGCGTGTATCTTACTATGTTGATAAAAACGTACCTCATCGCTGCGGCGCATCGTCTATAAAACTATGCGAGTAAAAAATTCCGTCAAAAGCGACATTTAATCATGTCATTTGTCGTAACAGATTCAAATATGCGAAACCAGTTTTTACCACCTGGAACGATGGGACATTTTACGGTGAAAAGGATTCATACAAGCACGAGTACATGACTGTCAGATCAACTTACATCACCGAACGTGTGCACGGACATGTCAACAAATTTTCCAGCAGTGATACGGACGAGCACATTTGATCGCGCGATGATCAAACTCAAGTCGAGGATTATTTTGCTCGGTAAGTAATACCAGTCAGTCATGTAAACTACTTCACCAATTTTCCTGCACTGTTTAAGAATTCAATTAATTCAGTTATCACGATTTTTAATCTGTTTCATTAATTCGTGCTATCAGATATTAACGGCGAGCTACCGATACCTGTTCTGTCAATATTTCACCTATGTAACATATCACGAATATGTTGAAACAGATTGAAATGTATATCATAATGTAGGTAGCGAGATTTTGAATATCCTGATCGGACCATTCCTAAAAGACAGAGAGAGAGAAATAAAGTAATTATGTACGAACGTGGATTTACAGTGGCTGCAAAAAATATTTGCACGTATTTTCGTTCTCTGTTGAAGCAAGGTTCTGTTTTATCAGGTTTTATTTTCACGGTGTTAAATTTTTATGGTTTTGTGAAACTAGTGCCAAATGAGATATGAAATTTAATATAATTTAATATTATATCATAAATTAATTATAATTTTCAATGAATTTTATAATTTATTAAAAAATTATTATAATTATTAAAATTATTATTATAATTTTTAATAAAATATTACTTTGACTTAATGAATATTCGATACTGTAATAAATAATGTGCAAATACTTGTTGTAGACGCTGCATATGCGACATAAATAATAATGAATAAAAGCACGTTTAATATATACCGAAAGAATGTAGTAGCTAAGGTTGCATATGTTCATGGTACATCTGAACATCTCCAAAAAGTATATTTTATTCATCACATTCTCGATATGGCCAATAAGACTGCAATTAACGTAATTAACTTACATGTAATGTCCACTCCCCCTTCACCAAAAAAAAAAAAAAAAAAGAAAGAAAGGAAAAGAAATCAACGAAAGAGAACGTAGGAAAAAACTTTACTTCAGTGTTCTCAAGTGTCGTTCCACGATAACTCCGAGCCCTTTAAAACCACCTGTCTTCCTGGATTCGTTGACGAACTCTGTGATCCATGCCATAACCACGTTCAACTGACCGCAAGCGTGAGCAGCTAGAACAGCTGCCAGGCTGAAAATGCTGGCTGTACTAGAGTTGGCAATAACAGACGCCCAAAATTGCACCAGGAGCATGATCTCGTTCGTTGGAGTTTCGTCGACGTTTACCAGTTTCTTGTACACTGTACAGGGCAACGCGTGCAACATCCTCGTCTCGTTTCCAACTCGGACCTCCACCGTGTTTAACGCTGTCACGAAGAAAAATCCGAGAACGCCACCCTGCATGAAAATGGCGCACGAAACCGCCACGTAGCGGCCAAACTTCGCGTTCCTCATCATCGTCTGTTGATCCTCATCCTTCGCCACTGTTCGCCAGTCATCCTCCATGTGTTCCACGCACCGTCGTATGTTTTTACTGTGCAGCAACAGGGCCGTGTAATTAATGCTGCTGACTATCCAATGACTCACAGGACCCAGTGACTTCACTTTCAAGTAAACGCTCTCGTCTTCCAGGAGCATCCGTAGCAGGCTGGGAATCGTGGCGAGTACTAAGGAGCTGTAGCAGGTGATGTTTAGAACGAACGAAAAGATCTTTTCGAGCCTCGTGGTGGAGGAAGACGAGGGCCATGCACCGATCGGTTTCAGAAGCCAACGGTTCAACTGTAGACTATAGTCGCTGTTAGCCTTACCGTTAGTCGCAGGTTGGTTTGTCATGGTGGAATGAAGTTGTCGTCGAGTGGAAAAGAGTATCATTACGTACCTGAGTGAGGAGTGTATAATAACACTTGCGCAACTTTGTACTTGTCGGTAGCGGTAGATATTCACGGATCGATTCGTCTAGTCGGTAGAGTTTATTTTCGGGACGATGCGAAAGTAAACTTGGAAATTATTGGTTTAATACCGTGCACGCAATGAGTTGTAGTTTCCTCTACGTTTTTCAGTCGTTTTTTGTCGTCGAACTGAGTTACGTGTGGAAGGGTTCAGTGCCTGTCTGTCGTTGGGGTGTGAACCCCCATGTCTGAGGTTTGGATTTAGTATTGTCGAAAGACTGGGACAACGTACAGTCTCAGTGAAATTACAGAATGCGAGGACAACACGAGTACTGACAAGATATCAAAGTGTGTTACGAAAGCTTTTGTATTTCAAATTCTACAACTTTACTTATTGAGGTATTCAGGTAAGGAATCGTTAAGAATTGGTTAATCACGTAATTTGAACCAATATATTGAGGTAGGCGAAGGCCAATCCCATCACCTGGAATAACAAGTTTCATAATTTTTTAAAGAGCGATGAACATCCTCAGACATAGGCAATAGTGTGACTTACATCACTAAACGTGTAAATAGACATCTGAATTATCTTCCCTGCAGTCAGTTGAATGACCATACTCGATCGTGTGATGATTAAAATCAAGTCGAGGATTTTCTTCACGGGCAAGTAGTATCAGTTTGTCATATAAACTATCTCACCAACATTCATGCACTGTCAACAATTCATTTGATTAATCGTCCATCAATTCCACAATGTTAGTTCATAGACATCTTCGTAAGGAGTCTCTGGTACCTGCGTTGTTAGAAGTTCACTGATGTAACATAGTACAAATGTGTTGAGAGTCACCGATGAAACTATCATAAAGTACGTAATGAGACTTCGAGCATCGTGATTGTGCCATTCCTAGAAACAGGCCATTCATATCTTCCGAAAATGATATGAAATTTGATTACAATTGAATTAGATATTTGGCGTTTTATTGCACTCATGTGGAATTGAAAGGTACAATAATATCTCTAGTGGTTCTTGTAATTATAAGCTGTAGAAATTGAGCCTCTCTTTAATTAGATTTAGGTTGAAGTTGATGAATTTACAAAAAAAAAAGGTTTTAGTTGGAACATTGAGTGTTTGTGAGATGTCAAATATGAACCTATTTTCACATGTATGATATGTGATATACAGGGTATTCCACCTTTTTGGATGAAACTTCGTTAGCATTTTCTGTTTCCCCTTCACATTTCATATTTTTTAAACAACTCTTTCCCAGAGAGCTCTCGCATTCTCTCTGTTGGTTTGTATCGGGAGTACCTGTTCCAAAAAGCTGGTGCTCCCTGTACATTCAGATACATACTTTATATCGTGTTACTCAACACGGTTGGGCAAACATTACTTTATACAACAAACATTACACGTATCTCATATTCCGTTACCATAACAGTGTAATATCCGAGCATAGATATAGCAAATATGCATCGAAACAACTCCGTCATGCATACCCAGGTCATGATGTTTTCTATACGTGCTACAAAACTGTAATTGATACAAATATAAACGACCACTCGCAGTCGAATCATCAGTCGATGAAAATGCCAAAGAATGATCATACTTCAGTATTCTCAGGTGATGTTGCACGATCTTTCCGATTTTTTTAAAGGGGCTGCCCTCCTGTTTGTTTCCAGACTCGTTCACGTAGTCGTTGATCCAGATCGCCAGCACGTTCAACTGACCGCACGTGTGGGCGGCTAGAACAGTCGCGAGGGTGTAGAATCCAATGCCGCCAGAGTCGGAGATGAATGCCGAGAAGAACTGCACCACGAGAACTATCTCGTTGGTCGGGCTCGTGTCGACTGGAATCATCTTGGTATAAACGGCGAGTGGTAACGAGCGGATGATTCTCGTCTCGTTACCAAATCGTACGACACGCGTGCGGCTCACGCCTACCATGCAGTACGCTATGACACCACTGTGCACAAATATCGCACATATGCTCGACACGAATCGGCCAAACTTCGCGCGCTTCAACATCACTTGTTGCTCGCTGTATTTTGTCACTATTCGCCAATTGGCTTCTATGTGTTTCACGCAGTCACCTATGCGTTTCCTTTGAAACAGCAGATTGGTGTAAGAGATCCCACCGACCAACCATGACCAATAGAAGCTCTTATTTTCCTATACAAGGTATCGTCTACGAATATTAAGTGAGCCACACTTAATTAGGATTATGCCAAACAGTAAATTTGCGTAGCAAAAGACAATCAGAATTACGGAGACGATTTTCTTGTACGTTGTGGTTGTGGAGAAATATGGCCAAGCACCGATCGGTTTTAGCAACCAGCGATTCAGTTGGATACTGTAGTCACTGTAGGTGTTACTTATACTGTTCGTTTCTATAGTTACCGGTTAGTTTGTCATGGTGAAGTGAAGTGGTAGTTTCACTCGCGAGAGTTTGCACGGAAACGTTTGCACGAGTTTTTTTTAGGTAATCGATTGTCGATCGATTAGTCTAGTCGGTAGAATTTTGCTTCTGGTTAATATGAAACTAGGTAGCAAACTTGAAAATTAATGGTTGCTGCCGTGCAACATGTGCATGCAATAAGTTATATTCTCTTCTATGTTTTTGTGGCTGTTTGTCGACGAAATGTTGCAAATATTATATGTGCAAAGCTGGCGTTGGTGCTGTGATTAGCGTGCGTACCCATCTCTGTGACTTGACCCTGACATCGTCGACCGACGTTAAGAAGAAAACTATAACGGCGAGGGGACGAAATGATAAAAAGCCGAGAAGATCGTAGACATTGGTTGAATAATTATAAGGCGATTAATTATAAGTCGTGTTTGTATTTCAAGTTCTACAACTGTACTTACTAAAAAATTCAGGTAAGGAATTCGTTATGAATTGGATTAATCACGTAATTTGAACCAATATATTGAGGTAAGCGAAGGCCAATCTCATCACCTGGAATAACAAGTTTCATAATTTTTCAAAGAGCGATGAACATCCTTGGACATAGGAAACAATGCGACTTACATCACCAAACGTGTAAATAGACATTTGAATTATCTTCCCCGCAGTCAGTTCAATGACCATACTCGATCGTACGATGATCAAAATCAAGTCGAGGATTTTTTTTACGGGCAAGTAATACCAGTTTGTCATATAAACTATCTCACCGACTTTCAGACACTGTTAACAAATTGTCATTCGATTAATCGTCGATTCCCCGGTACTGGTTGATAGACATCTTCGCGGTAATGAGTCTCTGGTACCTGTTCTGTTAGCAGTTCACCGATATAACACAATACAAATGTGTTGAAGGTCACTGATATAAATACTATAAAATACGTAGCGAGATTTCGAACATCGTGCTCGGACCACTCCTAGAAATAAGTACATTCATATTCTTGGGAAAAGTTTCGAATTATGTCAGGATTTATCGTTGATGTGTCAAATTATGGAAACAATGCAAATCTGATTCTAGAGTGATAGCGCGTGAAGTTTTGTGCAATACGCAAAGAGGGAGTATACAAATATGAAAAAATGCATAAAATATTCAACGTAAAATATATGCTGCAATCTTTAAGGAACAAATCTCCGTTTAATTTTGCTTACAAAAATGTAAATTTGCATGAAAGTACAAGATTCGAATATGAATGCTTACGAGTAATGCGACATGAAGCTATGTTTATATTTACGATGTAGAGAATGGTACGTATAAACAAGAAAAATAGTTGTTTAGAAATTTTGGTAAAAAGTTCTTTTTCTTAATATGGTAATCAGACATCTGCTTTCCTCATATCTTACATTTTTCTGACAATTCAATTTACTGCAATTTCAATCGTTTTCTTTATCTATTCTCACAAAACAAACCGTAAACTCTCGTTCGGGAATACACTCACGAAAATAGCTTCACATCGAATTGTTCATTGTCAGTCTAAAAGAATTAGCCATACGATAAATAGATACAGTATGTACATCTTGTACCATGTACCATAATAATAAAATACCCAACCATGCATATGGCCAATATGCATCTAAACAACTCCGTCATGCATACCCAGCTCATTATTTCTTCTATACGTGCTATAAAACTGTAATTAATACCAATTTAAATAACCACTTTCCAGGCATTAGTTGATAAAACGCAATAATCTTACTCCAATATTCTCAGGTGATGTTGCACGATCATCTCGATTCTTCTAAAGGAACCGTCTTCATTTTTGTCACGAGACTCGTTCACGTAGTCGTTGATCCAGATCGCCAGCACGTCCAATTGGCCGCAAGCGTGGGCGGCTAAAACGCTCGCGAGGACGTAGAATCCAATGCCGCCGGAGTCGGAGATGAATGCTGACAGAAACTGCATCACGATAACTATTTCGTTGGCTGGGCTCGTTTCCACTGGGATCATCTTGTTGTAAACACTGAGAGGCAACGTACGGAACGTTCTCGTCTCGTTACCGATATCAATGGTTTGCGTATTGGACGCGCTTACTATACAGTACGACATCGCGCCACTGTGCACGAAGATCGCGCATATGATGGACACGTATCGGCCAAACTTGGCGCGTTTCAACATTACTTGTTGCTCGCTGTCTTTCGTCACTATTCGCCAATCGGCTTCCATGTGTTCCACGCAGTCACCTATGCGTCTACCTTGAAACAGTAGATTCGTGTAACTGATCCCACCGATCAACCAGTGACCCATAGTACCGAACACCCTTATTTTACTGTACAAGATATCATCTACGAAGATTAAGTGGGCCACACAGGGGATTATGCTGAACAGTAAAATAGCGTAGCAAAGGACGATCAGAATTACGGAGACAATTTTTTCGTACGTTGTGGTTGTGGAGAAGTATGGCCAAGCACCGATCGGTTTTAGAGACCAGCGATTCAGTTGGATACTGTAGTCAATGTAAGCGTTACTTACACTGTTCGCTTCTATACTCACCGGTTGGTTTGTCATGGTGAAGTGAAGTGGTAGTTTCACATGCGACAGTTTGCACGAAAACGCTTGCGCAAGTTTTTTTTTTTTTAGGTAGTCGTTCGTCGATCGATTCGTCTAGTCGGTAGAATTTTGTTTCTGCTTAATATGAAACTAGGTAGCAAACTTGGAAATTATTGGTTACAGCCGTGCAACATGTGCATGCAATAAGTGATATTCTCTTGTATGGTTGTGTGCACGTGCAAAGTTGACAGTTGGTGCTGTGATTAGCTTGCGCATCCACCTCTGGGACTTGACCGTCATATCGTTGAATAACGTTACGAAGGAAACTATAACGCGGCGTGGGAACGAAATGGTAAAACGTCGAGGAGAACGCAGATGTTGATCGAGTAATCAAAGGACGTTAAGCCGCGTTACATCTGTCTGTATTTCAATTTCTACAACTTCACCTACAAAAGTATACAAGTAAAAAGAAATTTGTTAATAGTTTGTTAATCACGTCATTCGCAACAACACATTCAGATACGCAAAGGCCAATCTCATCACCTGGAATAACAAGTTTTTATAATTTTTCAAAGGGCGATGGATATCCTCGGATGTGGGAAATAATACTACTTACATCACCAAACGTGTGAATAGACATCTGAATTATCTTCCCCGCAGTCAGCTGAATAACTATACTTGATCGTGCGATGATCAAAATCAAGTCGAGGATTTTCTTTACGGGCAAGTAGTACCAGTTTGTCATATAAACTATCTCACCGACTTTCAGACACTGTTAACAATGCATTCGATTAATCGTCGATTCCCCGGTGTTGGTTGATAGACATATTCGCGTTAATGAGTCTCTGGTACCTGTTTCGTTAGCAGTTCACCCATGTAGCACAATAGAAATGTGTTGAAAGTCGCTGATGCAAATATTATAAAATACGTAGCCAGAATTTTAACTTCGTGATCGGACCACTCCTAGAAATAAGTCCATTCACATTTTTGGGGAACGTTTCGAATTTCGTCAGGATTGATCGTTGGCGTGCCGTGAAAAATTTGTGGAAACGATGCAAATACGATTTTCAAGTTGTGTAAGAATTTCGATTGCGCTCGGAGTTTTATGCAATATGCGAAGAGAGAATTTCCCTTTAATTTTGCTTACAAAAATGTAAATTTGCATAAAAGTCCATGATTTAAATATGAATAATTACGAGTAATGAGACATGAAGCTATTTTTATATTTATGATGTAGACAAAAATAATGGTTCAAAATTTTGGTAAAAAGTTCTTTTGTTTTTCTTATTATAGCAATGAGCACATCTGCTTTTCTTCGCATCTTACATTTTTCTGATAAATTATTTTTATTGGAATCTTAGTCGTTTTCTTCATTTATTTTCACAAAACGAGCCGTAAAATCTCGTTCTAAAGGACACTCACAAAAATAGCTTCACATCGAATTGTTCAATATCGCTCTAAAAAAATTAGCCATACGATAAAAAGATACATTTATGTATTATGTACCATAATAATAAAATATCCAAGCATGCATATAGCCCATATGCATCTAAACAACTCCATCATGCATATCCAGCACATTATTTCTTCTATACGTGCTATAAAACTGTAATTAATACCAATATAAACAACCACTTTCGAGACGCTAGTCGAAATGATCTTACTTTAATATTCTCAGGTGATGTTGCACGATCATTTCCAGTCTTTTAATGGAAGTGCCCCTCATTTTGTCCCGAGATTCGTTCACGTAGTCGTTGATCCAGATTGCCAGCAGGTCCAATTGGCCGCAAGCGTGGGCGGCTAAAACACTCCCGAAGACGTAGAATCCAATGCCGCTGGAGTTGGAGATGAAGGCCGATAGAAACTGCATCGCGAAAACCAATTCGTTGGCAGGGCTCGTTTCCACAGGGATCATCTTGTTGTAAACATTGAGCGGCAACGTGCGGATCGTTCTCGTCTCGTTACCGATGTCAATGGTCTGTGTAATGGACCTGCTTACTATACAGTACGACAAGGTGCCACCGTGCACGAAGATCGCACATATGCTCGACACGTATCGGCCAAACTTGGCGCGTTTCAACATTACTTGTTGCTCGTTGCTTTTCGTCACTGTTCGCCAATCGGCTTCTATGTGTTTCACGCAGTCACCTATCCGTTTCCTTTGAAACAGCAGACTGGTGTAACAGATGCCACCGATCACCCAATGGCCCATAGGGCCGAATGCTCTTATTTTCTTGTACAAGATCTCATCTACGAAGATTAAGTGAGCGACACAGGGGATTATGCTGAACAGTAAACTTGCGTAGCATAGAACAATCAGAATTGCGGAGACGACTTTTTCGTACGTTGTGGTTGTGGAGGAATACGGCCATGCACCGATCGGTTTTAGAAACCAGCGATTCAGTTGGATACTGTAGTCACTGTAGGCGTTACTTACACTGTTCGCTTCTATAGCCACCGGTTGGTTTGTCATGGTGAAGTGAGGTCGTAGTTTCACTCGCGAGAGTTTGCACGGAGACGCTTGCGCAAGGTTTTTTTTTTTAGGTAATCGTTTATCGATCGATTCGTCTAGTCGGTAGAATTTTGTTTCTGCTTAATATGGAATTAGGTAACAAACTTGGAAATTATTGGTTGGTATCGTGGGTTATGTGCCGTTACGGTGAGTTATACTCTCTTCCATGTCTCCGTACGTGTTTGTAAACGAATTGTTAAAAGTGTTACCCGTGCAAAGCTGACAGTTGGTGCAGTCGTTTGCGTGCGTACCCACCTCTGGGACTTGACCCTGACATCGTCGAACGACGTTACGAAGAGAAATATGACGGCCAGGGAAACGAAATGATAAAACGCTGAGAAGATTGTAGACGTTGATCGAATAATCATAAGACTTTAAGCCGTGTAACAGCTGCTTCTATTTCAAGTTCTACAACTTTACTTATAAAAGTGTACAAGTAGGAATGTTGTTAATAGTTTGTTAATCACGTCATTTGCAACAACACATTCAGATACGCGAAGGCCAATCTCATCACCTGGAATAACAAGTTTCATAATTTTTCAAAGATCGATGGACATCGTTAGAAATAATACGACTTACATCACCAAACGTGTGAATAGACATCTGAATTATCTTCCCCGCAGTCAGTTCAATGACCATACTCGATCGTGCGATGATCAAAATCAGTTCGAGGATTTTTTTCACGGGCAAGTAGTACCAGTTTGTCATATAAACTATCTCACCGACTTTCATACACTGTTAACAACTTATTCGATTAATCGTCGATTCCCTGGTTTGATTATTATTAAATATCTTCGCGGTAATGAGTCTCTGGTACCTGTTCTGTTAGAAGTTCACCAATATAACATAATACAAATGTGTTGAAAGTCACCGATGAAAATATTATGAAGTAGGTAATGAGGCTTCGAGCATCGTGATTGTCCCATTCCTAGAAACAAGTCATTCGTATCTTCCGAAAATGATTTGAAGTTTCTGTTTACTATCGAATTAGATGCTTGATGTTCTCTTGCACTCGCGCGGAATTGAGAGATTCAGAGATGAAGAGAATGTTACACGTATGCATAGTTTTTATAATCTCTCTAGTGGTTCTTGTAATTATAAGCTATAGAAATTCAGTCTATGATTACATTTAGGTTGAAGTTGATGAATTTACAAAAAAAAAGTTTTAGTTGGAACATTGAGTGTTTGTGAGATGTCAAATATGAACCTGTTTTCACATGTATGATATGTGATATACAGGGTATTCCACCTTTTTGGATGAAACTTCGTTAGCATTTTCTGTTTCCCCTTCACATTTCATATTTTTTAAACAACTCTTTCCCAGAAAGCTCTCGCATTCTCTCTGTTGGTTTGTATCGGGAGTACCTGTTCCAAAAAGCTGGTGCTCCCTGTACATTCAGATACATACTTTATATCGTGTTACTCAACACGGTTGGGCAAACATTACTTTATACAACAAACATTACACGTATCTCATATTCCGTTACCATAACAGTGTAATATCCGAGCATAGATATAGCAAATATGCATCGAAACAACTCCGTCATGCATACCCAGGTCATGATGTCTTCTATACGTGCTACAAAACTGTAATTGATACAAATATAAACGACCACTCTCAGTCGAACCATCGGTCGATGAAAATGCCAAAGAATGATCATACTTCAGTATTCTCAGGTGATGTTGCACGATCTTTTCGATTTTTTTAAAGGGGCTGCCCTCCTGTTTGTTTCCAGACTCGTTCACGTAGTCGTTGATCCAGATCGCCAGCACGTTCAACTGACCGCACGTGTGGGCGGCTAGAACAGTCGCGAGGGTGTAGAATCCAATGCCGCCAGAGTCGGAGATGAATGCCGAGAAGAACTGCATCACGAGAACTATCTCGTTCGTCGGGCTCGTGTCGACTGGAATCATCTTGGTGTAAACGGCGAGAGGTAACGAGCGGATGATTCTCGTCTCGTTACCGAATCGGACGGCACGCGTGTGGCTCGCGCTTACTATGCAGTACGACATGACACCACTGTGAACAAAGATCGCGAATACAATCGACACGAGTCGTCCGAACCTTGCGTGCTTCAACATTACTCGTTGCTCTCTGTCTTTCGTCACTAATCGCCAGTCGTCCTCCAGATGTTCCACGATCTGACCAATGTCTTTGCCAAGGAACAACAGGTTAGTGTAGTGGATACCACCGAAGATCCAACGAGCCATAGGGCCGAATATTTTCACTTTCCTGTAAAAGCTGTTGTCTACGAAAATTAGGTATGCCGCGCAGGGGATTATACTGAAGAGCAGGGTAGTGTAGCAAAAGGCGATCAAAATTACAGAGACGATTCTCTCGCGTTTCGTAGTGGTGGTGAAACGTGGCCAGGCACCGATCGGTTTCAAGAACCAACGATTGAATTGGAGACTGTAGTCGCTGCGGTTCTTGGCGTTCATGGCGACGGCTCATCCGTACCGAAGTTACGGTAACTGTTGAACTGCTTGCTGTACGCGAGGGTAACAGGTAACAGCAGAGAGTTGTTCAACGCTTGCGCAATTTTTTTTTTTCAGTAGCCTATCGATCTGTCTATTTGTTAGAATTTGTTAGCCAGAAAGCAGGGATAGATTTGAGAAGTTGTCGGGTCTACAAAGTTGTCAGTAATCGTGGGAATCGTAGGACGCGTGTCACGTAACAGAGCAGGGTCTCGTCTGGTTTACTGAGTTATATTTCAACGAAGCAGGGAAATATTTATGAAATCGATTCCTTAAACCGATGGAAGACGATGTCGTATTGTCAGAGTCATTTCTAATCTCGATGTTAGAGGACGAAAGTGAATTTCTTTTTCTCTCTGTTTGATGCTCTTATTTAACAGTGATATTAACACATTGACTGTACGTCGAATTTTATCTATATTATGTATTAATAATATATATTATTACATATTAATTGTATATTAATATTATATTAATAATATATATTATTAATAATATATATTAAGATTTTATATATTATTATATAAAAATCTTTTTCGAATTCGCATTGGTTAATAAGATTTTTAATATCGCGGGAAATAAAATTACTAAAACTCTTTATCTTAATGTTAATAGTATATCACGAATATAACGTTGCTCGATTAATGCGATAAACTTATATTTTATTCGTTGACAACCTCAAAATTTTAATTTCTGATGTCATTTTATAAATGCCGATAATCGACGTGTTAATGTTCCGTCGATCATCAGAAAAAATTTAATTTTTCGACAGTCAACGTGTTAATGACACGAATTTCATATTTGTTTATCGATAAATATTCTTTAAACGGAGATAGCCATCAATACTTTTCATTGTGATTTATAGTTTGTAACTATACCGCTTTTTTACTCTTATGATATAGGTGGACATTAGGGTACAAGTGAAACTCATAATAAAATAGGGGACGATATCTTCTGGCGACTATTCGAGAAGTAACCTTGACCAACAAAAATATTGGCGAAAGTTCGTGACAGTAGTGTGCTAACGTATCGTGAGTAATAACGAACTTCTTTCTTTTTTGGTTTAGTACGTAAAAAGGTCTACAGCAGAAGTTTGTTCGAGTTAGTATCCCTCGTGCTACGTAGATGTTCACATCGCAATCGTGCGGATCATGTTGAGATACGCGAAAGATGTTTTAAACACCTGAAAAATAGAATATTCGTGTATATCGGGCGTAATAAAATTCTAGCTAAATATCGAATCGAAATTTCAAATTTATAATTTTAACGTGACGTGAGAAATTTGAAGTATAATACATTCCAATATACATCTGTGAAAATTTATTGTTTGTAATTTCAGTGAACGACTCAGTGCCAATGTAAAATCTCGGTGCATTAAGTTGTCCGTCAGATTCTGTCAGTTGCACTTTAAACACACGTGTACGTACACATATAACGTGTTTTACGGATACTCACGGCGCCAAAAGTCGCTATGGATATTTGGATGAATTTCCCTGCAGTGATTTTCACCACCATGTTCGACCTCGAAATGATCATCACTAAACCGAGAGAAGTTTTGTGAGGTAATCGATACCATTCGGTCATATACACTTTCTCCCCGATTCTGTTACCCTGTCGATGGTTTGACAATTTGAAAACAACTAGTAGAATCTTCTTCGACGCCGCCGTTTCTTACCTGTTCTTGAATTATCTCCCCGATGTAGCAGAATATAAATATATTAAACACCATAGATACGTATATGATAGCGTATGCAACTAACATCTCTTTCGATTTTTCCTGAGAAATTAAAATACACGTGTCGTGTAAAGAATTAAGTAGAAAAGTCAACGTATCAGCCACCGTTCTTTACGCAACGTTAATCTATTTACGTTAGAAATTATCTGACTATTTAAATCACGTTAATTCTAAATAGAAGATACTGCGAGAGCATCTTCAATGCGCGAATTGTTTCTTTTACTCGTGTTTTGCAACGTACCGTGAGAAAATAATATTTGAGCATGCACATGTTCATCGTACATCCCACCAACTCAACGAGACATATCTTATTCATAACTTTCTCTATATACTCCATAAGACTGAAAGTAATATGAAGTATCAGTGTGAAGTAATATATATATACATAAATATATATATATATATACAATATTAATATATTATAATTTATTGTAAATATTATGTATAAAATAATCAATTCGTCACAGAAAGTTCAGGCATTATAAAAGATTAACTTGCTTGTATTACTTTCTTTTTATTTCGTATCTATATTGAATGTATAACTTAAATTTCTCAGTGTTTTCGCTATTCTGAAAAGAGACAGTCATCAAGGAATGACAGGCATGCTTAGCTTCGATACAACGAAAATAAAATAAATGTTAAGAGAAACAGACAGCCAGATAATAACCAACTGAATACCTCAATGTTCGCAGATGGTGCTCAACGATGACTCCAAGCTTCCTCTGAGCAACCTGCGGTCCCTCCCGTTTCTCTTCCACCGTCGTGTCCACCAGCTCGTTCAACCTGGCCGTCACCACGTTCAGCTGGCCGCACGCGTGCATCGCCAAAACGGCGGCCAAGCCGCAAGCACCCACCGTGACAGAGGTGACGATGAACCCGGAGAGGAACTGCAGGGCGAACACGATCTCGTTCACCGGGCTGAATCTAACGTCCAACAGGTTCGTATAAACCGGACACGGTAACAGATACATGGAGTAACTGTCGTTCCCCACGTGGAACGCTATCTTCTTAAAGCCCGTGATCATGTTGTACAGCAGAACGCCGCTGTGCATGCACACCGCGGCCATACACGCGATGAAACGTCCGAACTTGGCGTTTTTTAGCATCAGCTTGCGATCGTTGGCACTCTGCACGATCTGCCAGTCGCGTTCAACGTGCTCCACGCAGTGGGCGATGTCGTTGCCCCTCATCAACAGGCAACAGTAATTTAATTCGCCCATCAGCCAGTGGCTCATCGGGCCGACCACCTTCATCCTTGCCTCGACGCTCTCGTCCTCGTACAGAATGTACATCACGCAAGGCACGATCGTGAATATGATCACCGTGTGACAGGCGACGTTCAATATCCTCGAGAGTAATTTCTCCGTTCTGTGCGTCTCGGTGAGCTTAGGCCAGGCACCGATTGGCTGCAGGAGCCAACGGTTCACCTGGATGCTGTACTCGTAGTCGCGGACGTGAAACGCGTTGTATATCGGCGGCCCGTCACACAGGTTCACCATGGTAACTTCGCGGGGTTCGTTTATCGAATGAACGTTTCGCCCGGTGTTTCATTTCCAGTGCCATGGTAAAATAGCGCGTGCGCGAATTTTTTTCTGTCGACGGTAGTTCGCCATGGTGCCGACCGTTCGGTTGCACCGTCGCCGAGAACACGCACGTGATCAATCGATGTTGAGACAGAACCGGGAAAGCGTCGTCGACTGATTTGCGATGGCCGCGAATGATAGTATCACGTTATTCGTACTCGATTCTTTATTTTGGATGTAGTTTGTTGAAGGAACGAAAGTTGATGGATAAGGATGGAAATTTGTAACACGTGAGTTGTGTGACTGTTGTCCAACGGTGTGAGATCGACGGTGATTGTTCGGTAAGTGTTACTTGGATCGTTGGATTTTCTTTTCGTGAATCATTGGTTAGCCTTTTAGGATAGGACCTTTTTAACAATTGGCGAGCTTTCTAGAAAAAAGACCTATAAGGTAGTAATGTTTTGCTATTTGAGTCGAGTCCTTTAACATCTTGCGCTGAAATGACGTGCCACGTACGTCGAGAATTCTTTTGTCCCAAAATTGCAATATTTCCTCAGTTTTAAGTATATATTTACGTATAACGCAGACAAAACAAATAATAAATTTATTACTTTTCAATAATTTCTATCCAGTGATAGCGTACCGACGAGTTCAAAAAGAAAGCGACGAATTATTGTATTTGGTCACTCGTTATGGTCCGCAATCAGTTGCCAGCGCAAGTGGTTAATATCGTCCACCTTTGATTATATGCTCTTACATTTATAAAATAAATTCAGTCAGAAAGTATATCTATACAATACAGTATTTATCGTAGCCTTTCCTCTAGAAAGCTCGCCGATTGTTTAATGACAGAAAAACATTCTTTGAGATACAGTTCACTAAAATTTAAGCCCATTTTGCCGAAAACAAATACATTTAGCATATAAACACTTTTAACAGCGAGTGTCTATATATTATCGAACATGAGCGTCTATATTTATACAAAAATATTCACGTCATTGCTCGCAACATGTTTAAGAAAGCCACCGCCGTTTTAACAACCTATTCGTTTAAGAAATGTTTGTTAATTCGCAGATTCGAATAAGTAGTAGCTTGACAGTTTGATACTCACATCGCTGAAAGTATTGATGGATAATTCAACCATGTTTCCTGCTGTGAATTTCGTTGACGAATTGGACATGGCAATGATCAAAATGCATCCAAGTTTCTTTTTGCCGGTCAGTCGATACCAGTCGATCATGTATGTCATCTCACCGACCTTGCTGCACTGTTTGTGACATATTATTCAGTTTCTATTCGCTCTCGTTGAAATTTTGTGCGCGAAAGATTTATTATTAAAGTATCATTTGCAAGTACCTGTTCGGCAACTAGTTCACCTATATAACAGAATATAAAAATATTGAAGGTGAACGACATCATTAAGGACATGTAAGTTATCACAAACATTGCGTCTTTCGAATTCCATTCCTATAACATAATTTGAGAGAAATATACATGTATTTCGTATCGCGTATATTCGATAATAAATTTTCACAGTTTTGTCCTGCGCGTACCATTATGGCGTAATATCCTAGAAGGCACATGTTCATCATACAGCCTAAAAATTCTACGAACGATATTTGTTGCATCGCTTTTTCGGTGAGTGCGATAAATCTGAAATGTGACAAGTGTAAATTACGATACGTAAGTTCTCGGCGAGTTAGAAAACATTTTAATAAAAATTTTTAGATCTTCAAATCTTCGAAATTTTCAAACACTTAAAGTTTCTTAACGAAAAATTTGTAAGTACCATTTTTATTTTCGAACTCTTGGAGAAATTTTCGAGCAGCGAATATTAACCCTTCAGGAACGACGCTGATAATCCAGGCTTTTTGACAATTTTTTTAAATTATCAGTAATTTTTCATTAGTCTAAAAATAATAATTTTGTGTAGCTTTGAATACTGGTCGTAAATGATCCCCTGTTGATTTCATTTACATATTATCAATAATTTTTCATTAGTCTAGAAATAATAATTTTTGTAGCTTTGAATACTGGTCGTAAATGATCCCCTGTTGATTTCATTTACATATAATTCGTAATTTCTATATACTAATTACTAATTTAATAATTTCTAGTAACCTTGACTATGGGAGTCATTCCAGCTGACCTGAAGGGTTAAATTTCATCTAAATAGGAAAAAAAAAAAGTATTGATTTCGTTTGTATGTAATATAATTCATATTTCCACATGTTAATTACTAATTTAATAATTTTCAAATGACTTCTGGCAAATTTAACTACGAAAATCAACATGGGGTTAAATTTCACGTAAATGCGGGAAAAAAATTCTTTACTAATAATATAGCAATAGAAAATGCCTTCTGTGAGAAACAAATATTACACTGCAAAACAAACTAACAAATGAATATTCACTCACTTCAGTATCCGATCATGTTGGCTGACGATCGTGGCCATCCTGCCTTCGACGGTGTTGCTCATGTCGGGCCGGCCGTCAACCAAGTATCCCAGCCAGTTTATCAATACTTGCATCTGACCGCAAGCGTGCACCGCGAACACGGCGGCGATGCTGCAAGCCGCTGACGTCACAGAGTGCATCACCATGCCTGTGAGGACTTGGATGGAATGGATGATTTCGTTGCTGGGGCTGTGATACACGTCGGCGATCAATCTCGAAGCGGGGAACGGTAACGGCGTGTAACTGAAATTTCCACCCTCGGCGACAACTTTGCCCACGCTGACAGGCACGGCGATGTAGTAGAACGCAAAGGCGCTGTACACGAAGAAAGTGCAGACAGCCACTATCTTTCTTCCGTAAGTCGCGTGCTGTAGCATGATGTTCTTGTCCTCGTGATGCTCGATGTTCTTCCAGTCCCATTCGATGCGTTCGATGCCCTCGCGTATGTCGTCCTTGTGAAGTATCAGCAGATAGTACTTCATGAACGTCATCATGAAGAAGCTCAATGGCCCGATCATTCTGATTTGATTGTACACTTGCTCTACCTCTACGATCAGAAACAGGCTGCAAGACACGAACATGAATATGATGAGAGCGAAGCAAATAATATTAATCAGCCGAGGAATGTATTTTCTTGTTATCGTTTCACGCGTGCTCGGCCAAGCACCGATCGGTATTAGCAACCAACGATTCCACTGAATGCTCAGATTCACATTTCTCTCGTGAGAAATTTCAACAAGCTTGGACATGACAGACCGCTGCTTTCACATCGTTGATCCTCAAGGGCTCGCACGCTACTAAATGCTCTTCAGGTTCGATGACGGTTCAAATGGAAAATGACATTGCGCGTGCGCTCGCAATAGAAAGGGTGAAAAGAAAGTGCACGTAATATTTTTCAGAGGGTCCGTCCCCTTCTGAGTTTGCCACTTATATCCTGTATGCATTATGAGTTGGATGGGGTTGATGACAGCATGGGGTCATCGATAAATTGATTTTTTTGTCGAGCGTCAGTAGTGCACGAATGTGTTGCCTGGTCAGCAACAGGTTTCTGTTTATGAAGAATTAATTCCCATTCGGTGGAACTTTTCGTATTTCTTCGTGTAGAGCGTGTTTCTCCACATTTTATGTATCTCATGGTTCTTCTTTCACGCGCACGTGTTTTTCACAACTGTTAGAATGATGTTAGTAAAAAATGTTTGTAGACGAGAGAATATTGTCAAGTGTCAAAGTGAGCGAAGAATTGTGCTTTACAATCTTGCGACAGAGGAGAGAAAGAGGAGATGATACATGTGATTTTTCTGAAGAGGTAATGTACAGTGATTGTTTTTAATTTCAATTATATACTTAAAACGTTTTAAATAAAATTGAGGGAATATTAAGACAAAATTTCGGCGACCGTGAGAAGGGGGTTTATAATATCAATTTAAAATTATTAATTTATTTTATAATGCAATCATATAATGAACAATTAACAGTATAAATAAATTTTATTCTACTTTAAAGGACGTACTAAAGTTCGACCGTTGTTTGAACAATCTATTTAACAAATAATACTTAATAATTAATAATAAAAAAAAATTAAATATGTAAAAATAATTTAACTATATTTTCAGCTGCCAATTTAATCGACGAATTAACTATTACGATTATTAATACCAAACAGAGTTTTGTAACAAGAAATTTTGAAATGAATTTTCCCAAAAGGGTATCGTTATAGGAAATTGTAGAATCGCGATCGAATGCGTGATTATGATTGTCATGTTCTCGTGTACATTATAGAGGGACATGAACAGAATGTTTCGATTTTTCAAACATGCTTCAAGAATATTGCAGTCACAGAGAGGGTTGGAGAATATTTCTTTTCTTTTCAATAAATGATTTATTTTTATTGGAAAACAAGGACATTGTCGCAACACGTCTCAATATAATTTTGAAGAGCACATTCCAATATAATTTTTAATTGCGTTATTTCTTGTGGTATAATACATCACAAATATTGTAAGATCTTTAAATAGTCTCTCGTAGAATGCTCAAATATCGTATTTTGTTTTTATCATTTGAGGAAATTATTTATGATATAAGTTAAATTGAAATATACATCAAATTGAACATTGAATTTTTCATTTTTTTTATACTTACATACATTGGTAAATGTAGCTAGTAATATTTCAATTATTTCGCCAGTAATCTAAAACGCATATGATAATAATTGATCATGCCTGATGTCCTATCCTACAAATTTTGTAGGATAGAAACGCAAGTATGTTTGAAAAATGTGCGAATATGCACGAAAAACAAACGAAATGCTTTCATTTGATTTTTGCATATTTTAGGTGCATAAATCCGCAGCCTATATATCATATACAATTTTTATTTGCAGAAAAATTCCACTTACCTCCTCATCCTAGTCTGATATTTAATGATATTTATGATCCTCAGTTCAATTACTATCTCAGGCATATTCTGACGTGGTATTCTTATCTATCAGCTTGTTCATCTCGTTCATCTAGATTCTCATTGGAGAAACCAACAGAAAAGAAATGTCGTAGAAACAACTGCATAAATAATAAATCCAAACAATATTTTATTAGTTGCAGACTTTTTGTCCGTCGAAAATTATAAAATTCCTCGCAGAGGATTTTTATATTTAATGATCTTATAGTAATGTCGTCAGGGGTGACGATAGTTCCTCTGAGAAAAGGAAGAATCGTCCAGTGGCATAAACCACCGTACATAGTAATCGCAGCGATTACCACTTCTCCTCAGGATCTCCACTTTCGAGCGAAAAATCAGCCGATTCTCCACCGTGGCACTTGCCAAGTTCTCTTTGATCGCGTTCACGCTTTTCTGGATCCTGCTCATTTGCCGCAAGAGAATCGTCTATTTGCAGAACTGCATGATGCAGTTAATAGTCGGTCCCATGATACGCAGTATAACCTTGACGCTGTTCCTTTTTCAGGAACATGTGCATGAGAGGTGGCACCATTATCAAGAGCAGCAGGAAGTACGACAAAACGTTTCTTATTCTGAGTAAAATTCTCGAAAGAAAAGAAGAGGAAGGTGAAACAGGCCACGCACCGATTGGACCTAGAAATAGCTTCACGTACCTCGTGGCGTACTTCAAATCCTCCTCCGCCTTCGTTACTCTTGTGACATATTTTCCATGGTTGAACACAAGACTAACTACGTAAGTGTAAACAATTGGTTCTGATTCGACAGATTGCGCTTGCGTGTATGACCATCGTGATTGTCACGCGTTTGCGATTTTAACATCAAATTGCTGTTATCGGAATGATTTTATTGCACAGAGTGAAGAAATACGCAAATTGATTGAAATTACCCGAGTGAACATTCCACGAACAGCTTCCTCTGAAGTGGAGCCTTGTTTCAAGAAGTATTTGATGGAGTTTTTGAAAGAAGAATTCGTAAGTCTGAAATATATATAAATTCTTTTTTTTTAAACACATTATAATTATTAGCATATAGATTTTCATGCAAATATTTGTTATTTCATGAATTATTATTATATAAATCTGTTGCAAGTCTATTCTTAAATCAATTTTAGTTTCCTGAAGAGTCTTGAATTTTTCATTCGAATGTTTACATAAAAGATTTTCTGTGTATGTAGAAAATTGAAATATTTTATAATCTGATGGTAGGTACACTCCGTTCACGATGCTTGCAATTTTAAACAAGTTTGTCTGTAAAGTTTCGTAGAGGGTAGGGAAGAGTAGAATGTATGAACGAGTTCTCCCCAGCGTTACGTTTCCATTATTAAAAATTCAAAACAGGTAGATCGGGGAGAGCAGACACGGCGATTTTAAAACCACAATGAATAAGTAAATTCGTTATAAATTATAAAGTAAATAAATTCGTTATAAATTATAAATTCATTATAAATAAATTTATTATGAAACAAATGGCCATCTCTACCAAAATAATGTTGATTAATTATTCTTTCGACAGATAATAAATCTATCTGACACATAAATAAATAAATCGACAGATAATAAACCTATCATACCCATAAATGACACATAAGTAAATAATCATTGAATAATTACCTACTTTTATGTTCGCAGATGATGCTCAACCAATAAATCGAAGTTTCCTCCAGTATCTATCAATCTGGCCGTCATTACATCCAATTGAGCACAGGCGTGCATCGCCAGGAAAAGCAGTGAAGCCGCAAGTATCTACCATAACAATATCCAGAAAGGAACTGCGGGGTGAACACGATCTCGTTCACCGAATTGAATTTAAAGCTCGCGTAAAATGGGCATAATAACTGATACATAAAACAATCGTCATTGCTCACGCGAAATACTACTCCTTTAAAGGCCTGTAATCGAATTGTAGAACAGAATGCCGCTGTGCAAACACAGTGCAGACATGCACGTTTCCCGAGTTCTTCGGTATTAGCTCGCAATCGCTGCACGATTCAATGGCCGATTCTCGTCAATAGACAACAGTCTAATCTAATTCACGCATCAGCCAGTGGTTCATTGGACTAACGGCGTTCATCCTTGTCGTCATGATTTCATCCTCACACAGAATATACGTACAACATGCAGTGTGCGACCGTGAAACTGATCAACGAGTGACAGCTTCGTGAATAATTTCTGGATGTCTTGGTAAGTTCTGGCCAGGCTTCGGTTCGTTGCAAACGATTGGTTGCTATGTTCGTAATCACGAAACGTGTTGGATATTGGCGATTCGCTCAGGGATTCATTTCGTACGCGAATCTTTTTCCCGACTATAGATCAGCATGGGTGCACGAGTCGACAAAAAGTAATAACATTCTGTCACTTTTATTTGCCTTCTTTTCTGTTTGTTTCGTACGTACGTAAAGTTAATGAAAAAGAGTGGAAATTTGTAATATGTGGGTTGTGTGATTACCGAAAAAAGTAGAGTTTAGCTTAGAGAGGGTGATTGCTCGGTGAGTGAGTTTAGTTTGATCGCTGGATGTGCGAGAGTCCTTTTGAAATTATTGTTAACTTTTTTAGGATCGGATTTCTTTTTTCTGGCAATTTGCTGGCGAGCTTTCTAGGAAAAGAACATACAAAACAAAGTGGCGAATTTACGCCACAAATTTTTTAATTTGATAATCGTATATAGTGATTTTATATTTATATCGGAGAAAGAGAAAGGTATTTAAATTAGAAAATATACACTGTCTACTCTCTTTATGTACAATGTTTCTCATAGATCTGTAGACTATTCTCAGAAAGCTCCTCAATTATAATAATAAAAAGAACATTTTCTAAGATATAATTCACTAAAATTTAAGCCCATTTTACCGGAAACGAGTACATTTATCATTTAGTATATAGACACTTCTAACACGGCAAGTGTCTATACATTACCAAATATAAATGTCTATGTTACAAAAATGCTCATGTCAATGCTCGCAACATGTTTAAGAAAGCCACCGCCGTTTTAACGACCTATTCGTTTAAGACATACTTGTTAATTTGCAAATTCAGATAAGTAATAGCAACAGCTTGATACTCACATCGCTGAATGTGTTGATAGATAATTCAATCATATTTCCCGCCGTGAACTTCATTGACGAATTGGACATGGCAATGATCAAAATGCATCCAAGTTTCTTTTTGCCCGATAGTCGATACCAGTCGATCATGTACGTCATTTCACCAACTTTTCTACACTATGTTTTAAATATTATTTATTTTTATACACATTTCAAGTCGAACGATCTTTTCTTTTTTTTTTTTATACTAAAAGTTCGTTTTATAAATATGATTGCAGGTACCTGTTCGGCAACTAGTTCGCCTATATAACAAAATATAAAAATATTGAAGGTGAGCGATATGATTAGAGACAGATAAGTTATCGTGAGCATTAAATCTTTCGGATTCCATTCCTATAACGTTAAGCGTGTATTAGTAGATTAGTTCATATTGGCAGAATCGCGTGCATGTTTCATTGACAGTTTTTGTCGCGTGCGTACCACTATAGCGTAATAACCGAGGAGGCACATATTCGCCATGCAGCCCAAAAACTCTACGAACGATATTTGTTGAATCGCTCTTTCGGTGAGTGCCATAAATCTGAAATTGATTAATATAAATTATCAATCGTCGATGTGACACATGAACGAACCGAATGTCGCATATTTAAATTCTCAGATCTTCGAAATTTTTAAGTGTATAAGTTTCAAAAATTTCGAATTTAATGGAAACTGGAGCAAGTATCAATATTTCAGGAATGACGGTTGATCGTGGCTTTTTGATCATTTTCATAGTTGTAAATTCTAACAATAATAACATTGACAATTCTTCGTTCATGACATAATTTATATATATAATATAATATAGTATAATTATATATATTACTAATTATTAATTGTTGACACATGTGTGTGTTAGTGTGTGTGTGTGTGTGTGTATGCACACTATACTATACTGTAATGTAATATACTAATATATATACCCTATACTATACTATACTGTAATGTAATATACACTATACTATACTATAGTATACTATACTATACTATACTATACTATACTATACTATAGTATACTGTAATGTAATATACTAATATATATACACTATACTATACTATACTGTAATGTAATATACACTATACTATACTATACTATACTATACTATACTATACTATACTATACTATAGTATACTGTAATGTAATATACTAATTTATATACACTATACTATACTATACTGTAATGTAATATACTATAATATAATATAATATATAAATATTTATATATATATATACAATTTTAAATTACACACACACACACACACACACACACACACACTATACTGTACTATAATACATAAATATTTATATATATTTATATATATATAATTTTAAATTTTACTATACTATGCTATACTATAATACATAAATATTTATATATATTTATATATATATACAATTTTAAATTATACATATATATTACCAATTACTAATTAAAAGTTTTTAAAAATAACTTCTAGTAAACGTCGCGTATGGGAATCAATATTGACTGTGATACTATATGATATCCTGACGTATTAAGTTTCACGCAAATGAAAAAAAAAAAAAAAAAATCTTTCGAATGAAGAAACTTGCCACGAGAAGCAAGACTACAACTAATAATAAATAAATTTTACTCACTTCAGTACCCGATCGTGTTGGGTGACGATCGTGGCCATTCTTCCTTCCACGGTGTTGCTCATGTCGGACCGGCCGTCAACCAAATGACTCAGCCAATTCATCAACACTTGCATCTGGCCGCAAGCGTGCACCGCGAAAACGGCGGCGATGCTGCATGCCCCTGATGTTATAGCGTGCATCACCACACCTGTCAGGACTTGGATGGTGTAGACGATCTCGTTGCTCGGGCTGCGACGTGTATCGGCGATCAAGCTCGACGCGGGAAATGGCAACGCGATGAAACTCAAGTTTGCATCCTCGATGACGACTCTTCCCATGCTGAGAGGCACGACCAGGTAATAAAACGCGAAAGCGCTGTACATGAAGAAGGTGCAGATGGTCACTAATCTCCTTCCGTAACTCGCGTGCTCTGTCATGATGTTTTTGTCATCTTGGTGCTCGATGTTCTTCCAGTCCCATTCGATGCGTTTCACGCCCTCGCGAATGTCACTCTCGTGAAGTATCAACAGATAGTACTTCATGAACGTCATGGTGAAGAAGCTCAGCGGGCCGATCATTTTGATTTGATTGTACGCTTGTTTCACCTCCATGAGCAGGAAGAGGCCGCAGGAGACGAGCATGAAGCCGATTAAGCCGAAGCAAATGATATTAATCAGCCAGGAGAAGTATTTCCCCGCTATCGATCTACGCAAATTCGGCCAAACGCCGATCGGTATTAGCAACCAACGGTTCCACTGAATGCTCAGCTTCAAGTTTTTCTCGTGGCCGCGCTTCGTCATGACGGACTTTTGTCTTTGCATCGTCGATGCTCAACAGCTCGCCCGCTACTAAACGCTGGTGGCTCGATGACGATTCAAATGGAAAATGATACTGCGCTTGCGCCCGTAATCGAAAGGGAGAACGAAAGTGCATTTAATATTTTTCAAAGAGGGTTCGACCCCTTCTGAGTTGTTGCTTATGCCCTGTATGCATTATGAGTAAGGTGGGGTTGATGACAGCCACGGTCATCGATAAATTGATTTTTTTGCCGAGCGTCAGTAGTCCACGAATGTGTTGCGTGTCCCGCAACAGGTTGGGGAAATCAGTTTGTAAGGGATGAATTTTCATTTCGAGGAGATTTTTCTTATTTTCTTAATCTTACTTTCGGGATGCGCGTGCTTCTACAACTATGAAAATGATGTTAAAGAGAGTAATGTTATTTGTTAAAGTGATCGAAGATTATTCTCTTTACGTGTTCTTGACAAAAGAAATTTTGAGAAATGATGAAAAATCGGTACGTGTGGTGCAATTGGTGTTTGTCAAATTTTTCTTATCAATTGAACACTGGAGACACGTGTTTTTGATACATTATTAAAAAGTCCCGGGATATTGCGACTCAAGAATTCCAAGATTAGAACTGGTGTAAGATATTAATTTAATTTATAACACAATGGCAATGAATAAATAACAATTGAAATAAATTTTATTACGACGTAAAGACGTTACACGGGGAATGTTTAAACTATATTTTACTGTAAGGGACGTTCATGTCAGCGTTCGCAAGACGTTCAAAAATGCGACCGCTGTTTTCACAATCTAAGAAACAAATGTTTCGTGACAAACGTTTTCAAGTGACAAATTTATGAAAATCAATCGAACAGTTTCACACTTACGTCGCTGAAGGTGGTTAGGCAGAGTTCAACCATATTTCCAGCTGTCAGTTTAATCGACGAATTGGCCATTGAGATTATTAGTACGAAACAGAGCTTCTTGCTCCCTGTTAATCGATACCAGTCGACCATGTACGATGTTTCACCAATTTTTTTACACTGGAAAAAATGATATAGAAGTTAAGTGAAAAGATTAATGCAGAGAATGTCTAACCTGTTCCGCTACCAGCTCGCCTATGTAACAAAATATGAAGATGTTGAACGTCAGTGATATCAGTAATATAAAGAATGTTATAGCGCTGGTTAAATGACTCGAACTCCATTCCTGAAACATAGGATCAACTGTGCACCAGGTCAGCGTATGACTTATTGAAATATGTGTCTCATTCTCATACCATAATAACGTAGTAACCAAGAAGGCAGATGTTCAACATGCAACCTAAGAATTCTACGAAAGACACCTGTTGTAGCGTCTTCTCTGTAAGCGCTAGAAACCTGAAATAAGATTTAATATTAATTGAAACGATGTTACCCGAGTTAACTTCAATACGAGTGGTCAATTATTTTATAATACGACGATTTTAACATTTTAATTGTTTCTAATTTTAAATTTAATTTCGATTATTTTAACATTGTCGCAATTTTGAAATCCGGGAGAGGAGTCCGAGTCTCCAAATTTTTACGACCAAAATTTTACGAGGTATTTCGATGCTCTGAATTCAAACTTAATCATATCTCGAACTCACGGAGAGTTAAAAATATTCGCAGTTTCGATTCAGAAGGAAAGAACGGCCGTTTTAATTTTTACCAAAGTCGGAAATTTGTACACACTTCAATATACGAACGTGTTGTCTCACGACGCTGGCGATCCTGCTGTCGACGCTGCTGTACATGTCCGATCGGCCGTCGATCAAGTGTTTCAGCCAGCTCATCAACACCTCCATCTGGCCGCAAGTGTGCACGGCGAACACGGCAGCCAAACTGCAAGCCGCCGACGTTATGCTGTGCATCAGACAGCCGGCCATCAATTGAAGGGAAAACACGATCTCGTTCACGGGACTGTATCGAGTATCAACGATGAATCTCGAGAAGGGGAACACCGCGGGGATGAACGTCACGTTGGCATCCTCCGCGATGATTCTCCCGACGCTGATAGGTATGGCGACGTAATAAAAGGCAAAACCACTGTACATGAAGAACGCGCATATAACGACTAGCTTTCTACCGAAATTCGCGTACGTTATCATGAGCTCTCTGTCCTGAATGTACGTGATGTTCTTCCAGTCCCATTCGATGCGTTTCACGCACTCGAGAATGTCACCCTCGTGAAGGATCAAAAGGTGATACTTCAGGAACGCCATCACGCAGAAGCTCAACGGGCCGAATAATTTGATTCTGTTGTAAACGTCCTTCACCTCGAGGACCAAGTAAAGACTGCATGGGACCAAGAGGAAAAAGATGAGGCTGTAGCAAATGGCGTTTATCAAGCGAGAAAAGTATTTCTTTGCTAAGGAGGCGTCGGTGGCGTTCGGCCAGACGCCGATCGGCTTCAAAATCCAGCGGGTCCACTGAATGCTTAAATTCACGTTCACCTCGTAGTCGTGAACCGTTGTCGCGAGACACGACGCGCTCTTCGCGCTTTCCAATTTTTGCATCATTTGAGCTCGAGTGCACCCCGAGTGATACTAAGGACACGACAGAGACAGAGTTTGATGACGAAACTTCGAAGGGACGAGGTAACGCCACGCTTGCGCTCTTTTTGCGATTACTTTCGTACAGGGGAGAAATAAAAGTTAGTTCCTTCCAATGAATTGAATATCCCCCCACGTTTATGCATTATGAGTGCAGGGTTGGCTGCGGGAGGAATGACGGTGAAATATTGATTGATTGACTTGGAAAACGTCAGTAAATCAATGTTGGAGAGATACTTCTACGAACTGTTCGAAGACAGGGGAAACGTGTGATCAGTATATTTTCTGGTGATTTCTTTTTTTTAATTTTAATGTGACTGAAAGGAAACGAAATGATGAAAAATGGAAAGAGTAATAGGGACATGTCCGATGAAATGATAAATTAAAAGTATTGAAATTACGCGGAGAGTGTAAGAAAATGTCACTTATTCTGGTGACATGGATTAAAACGTGAAAAAATATTCTTTAATTGCAGTCTTCGTTTGTTACGCACGAATTTTTTCTTTCATAATTACACAAAAAGATGAAATTATGAAAAAGATTTGTGGACAGTGTTGTTAAGTCATTTGGTTCCCGTAGGTTTTAACGAAGGCACACGATACTCAAATTTAACAAAAAAGGGAATTATTATTTTTAACAGTGGAACAAAGATAGTAACATTAATTGTTATAACAAATTCTACATCAGATTACAATAAAAATAAAGTTTAATTGTATGTCACCGTACGTAGTACATTCAAGAAAGCAAACGACGTTTTGACCACCTGTTGGTACAAAATATATAACGATATAACGTTCATGACGATGTAAGTATGACGATGATAGTACTCACTTCTGAAAAAGTGCTTATAGACAGTTTCACGATGTTTCCAGCTGTTAATTGTACTGAGCAATTCGACATGGCGATGATCAAAATGCAACACAATTTCTTGTTTCCTGACAATCGATACCACTCGATCATGTACGAGATTTCGCCGATTTTCCTACACTATCGTACCATCTGTTGTTACAACATTCATCACCCGACCACAGAAACTTTTGCATCATCGTGTGATTAACAGAAAATTGATCAAAAATGTATCTCACCTCTTCAGCAACAATCTCGCCTATATAACAATATATGAAAATATTGAATGTAAATGATATAAATAAAATCACGTAAGTAACGACGCTCGTGACATCATTCGACGTTAATTCCTACAATGTCAAACGAAAATTCTGTACTCTGTTTGGAAATCATGGATCATCGTGATTAAACGTTAACATCACGATCAGGTAAAGCAAGCTCATGAAACACTGTACCACGATCAGGTAATATCCGATCAGACATATGATCAACGTGCATCCCAGGAACTCGATGAAAGAAATCTGTTGCAGCGTTTTTTCTGTAAGCGTCAAAAATCTGAAATCACCGGACAATCGTTACCGCCGATGAAAGCGCGGGAAATTAAGTTATCGTTATCGGGTAACAAGAGGAAAAAGTAACAAACAATTACACACTTCAGGATTCGAACATGTTGTCTGACGATGTTGCCGACTCTGCCGTCCACGCGTTTGCTCATGTCCGATCGGCCGTCGATCAGATGATTCAGCCAGTTCATCACCACCTGCATTTGACCGCAAGTGTGAACCGCGAGGACAGCCGCTAAACTGCAAGCCGCCGACGCTACGCTATAGCTCAGGGAGCTACCCATCACTTGGAGTGAGAAAATGATCTCGTTCATGGGGCTGCGGAGTGCATCAGCGTATTTCGATACAGGGAACACCAGCGGTATGAAGGTGATATTCGTATCTTTGGCCGTTACTTTGCCCCGGCTGATAGGTATAACGATATTGTAAAATATGAAGCCGCTGTACGTGAAGAAGGTACAGAGGATCGCCAGTTTTCGTCCGAAATTCGCGTTCGCTATCATGATCTCGCGATCCTTGTCGTTCGTCGTGTTTCTCCAGTCCAATTTGATTTGTTCCACGCACTCGTTGATGTCGGCCTTGTGATCGATCAACGTGCAGTATTTCATGATGCCCATCACGCAGAAAATCAACGGGCCGGATTGTTTCAGTATGATGTACGTATCTCTCACCTCGTAGTACATGAACAAAATGCAGGATATCAAGCGAAAACTGAGAAGACTGTAACAGATGACATTTATGAGCCAGTAGAGGTACTGTTCGAACCTTGAACTTGAATACGGCCAGAGGCCGATGGGCCTTAGAAACCAATGGTTCCATTGGATACTCAGATTCACGTGTTCCTCGTGCTTGTTGTCTGTTGGACGAGACGTTTCGACGTTCAGCTTTGAGTTTTGCATGTTTGATGCTTGAATGCTCGTTCCAACACTAAATCGTCCGACGACGGTTCGAAGGTAAACTAAACGACGCGCTTGCGTCGCCCGATTTTCTCATTTCGCAATCGAGAAGGGAGAACGAAAGTTATTCTCTGCGTTTACTTTGCACCCTTCGAGGAAGTTTGTGTTTCATTATGAATGGAGGAGGAAAGTTGGCGGTGGAACGTCGATAAATTGATTCCTTCGACATGTCAGTGAAACGTCATTAATGACGAGGGTACGGTTTTAAGGAATCAGTTTATCATCAGATGATTGATTTTCTTGCGTCTTTTTCTTTTTCTTTCCGCGTTGCATAGTTTTCAAGAAAGCGACGGTATCAGCGATATTGATAGTGTGAAATAAGTTTCGCACGAACATCTGAACGATGCAGTTATGAGTGTAATATTTCTATCGTCAGTGTTATTCATCATTTAGTCATGAGACTAAAGTAATTATTATTTGGTATATACTATATTTCTAATTATAAATTTGATTGACTTTATAGAACGTTTGACTAACCTTTGAATTAAAATAATGCAGCTCTTCGTGTGACGGAGTAGTTCTCTAAGTTTTCCTCTGTTTTAAAATGGGAGAAAATGGCACTTCTTTTGGCTACTTAATTCCAATATATTAAACTGTATTGTATAATTTTATCATTTTCCTTAGAAACTTCTTTTGTCTAGAAATATCAGTATAAAAGTTTAGAGGTCGGATAAATGCATGTTATTCATCTCTTTTTCTGTATCATACATATCTGTATGCAATACATCTTCAGTCATAATATCACCAACGTCATTCTGAAAAAAATCCTTCATTCCGAAAAAAAAATGTTGAGAGTGTTCGTAGCATATTGGTGACCTACAATGTTGCATGAAAATTTGCAAGAGAAATCGATAATTATAGCAAAAGATTAAATATTGTAGATGTGATGTTACATTACCAACACTACTAAACGTTTGATGACTTTGCCAGAAATGACATCTGTAATCGAAAGGGACATCGAAATATACATATTTCCTGTAAATATCTAAATATGCAAAACAGCGAAATTATAAGTCGCAGGTTATTACATTATGCATTAAATGGAAAATGTTGTTTCATTTTAGGATTGCAGCGAGTATTCAAAATGAAGATACTGTTGGTATTTTCACAAAAAGGTAAAAATCACTATATGAAAAAGGTTCGAATAAGTATCAGTTTCCTTCCAAAATTCACGTTCGTCATAATGATTTCTCTAATTTATCCAATCCCATTCTATACGTTTCACACACTGGCGAATAACACGTTGGACGAGGATCAAGAAATGACACTTTAAATACACAGAAACTCGACAGACAGTATATTTCAGTTCTGTTGTAAACTGTTGTAAACTACAGAAGTCTTCCATTTCGAGAGTTACAAATTTCCAGTTAATGATCAGATAATAATGATTGCTAGCAGATGAAGATATTTATTTTATCGGTGAAATCGGTGACGCATAAGTTGATGTCCTTATTGTAATTTTAATCGATTTTGACAGATGATATGATTTTTCTCGCTTAAAAGCTCCTTCAATATTGACTCAATGCGTGTTCTATGGAAGGGTAGAGCGATTGCGAATGAAAGGGTAGAATAAAAGTTATTATCCCCTACGGAATAAACACTTTCCCGTCTGTAGTTCTTCTCTTGTTGTGCATTATGACTGTGACCAGCGGGAGAGTCGTGTATAGACAGCGGTAGATTGATTCTTTTTTTTTAACGTCAGCAGTCGTCAGTAAATAAAGATATTTCTGGGAATTACACGAAGACAGGGAAAAAGTGTGATCATGTACAATTTTAGTGACTCTTTTCATTATAATGTGACACTGTGATCAAATAAAAGTATTTTGTCGTAAGAATGAGAAAGAATAATAAAGATATATATGATAATGAAAGTAAAAAGTTAAGTTACGGAAAGAGTGGAAAAGTCAGATAAAAAACAACTTTGATGACATGGAATTAATCGACACTGCATTTCTGTTGTGAAACTTGAAAAATGTGACTATCGCGTTCTCCAGCTGCAGTGCACAATTATTACGTACTATCATTTCACTTCTTAAATAAAAATATGGAATTACGAAAAGATTTAGACAATGTTATTCGTAAGTCAGTTCACTTGCTTCGCATAGGTTTTAATTTGACAACACGCACAACACACAACACTCAGTTTTAACAACAAAGAACATTATTATTTTTGAAAGCAACATAGAAAATATCACACGTTATAATAAATTCCAACACCAAATTGCAATTCAAAGAACGTTCAAGTCAACTTACGCAGTACGTTAAAAAAAGCAGCCGATGTTCTCATCACCTGTTTGTAGAAAATGCATCTACATCTCTTCGTACACAAAGATGTAAGTATATACTGATAATGATCTGTCACTTACGCTAGAAAAAGTGCTTATAGACAGTTCCACGATATTTCCAGCTGTTAATTTCGTCGAACTGTTCGACATTGCGATGATTAAGACGCAGCACAGCTTCTTGTTTCCTTGCAGTTGGTACCACTCGATCATGTATGAAATTTCACCCACTCTCCTACACTATGGCGTCATTTTTAATCGTTAAAAGTATTTTTCATCCAGACACAAAGGTTCGCGCGTCGTCACTTGATCGATAGAAAAATCTAAAGCAACTCACCTCTTCAGCCACTATTTCGCCTATGTAACAAAATATGAAAATATTGAACGTGAACGACACAAGGAAAATCATATAGGTCACGGCGTTCGTCACGTCATTCGACTTCAATTCCTATAAATTCAGATTTAAAATCTGGCATCATCGAGATCAGACTTGGAGAAGAAACGCAAAACACTGTATGTACCATGATTATGTAATATCCAAGGAGACATATATCTAGCGTGCATCCCAGAAACTCGGCGAATGAAATTTGTTGCAGTGTTTTCTTTGTCAGCGTCAGAAATCTGAAATCACCCATAATCGTGATGCACGTCGTCATCGTCGTCGGCAGGGAAGCGCGAAAGGAATTAAATTCCTCTGGTACGAAATAACAGCGAGTAAACGAAAACGCCGTGGTGAAACGACAAACAGGTACATACTTCAGGACACGAACATGTTGGCGCACGATGTCAGCGACTCTGCCGTCCAAACGTTCGCTCATGTCCGATCGGCCGTCAATCAGATGCTTCAAACAGTTCATCAGCACCTGCATTTGGCCGCAAGTGTGAACCGCGAGGACAGCTGCTAAACTGCAAGCCGCCGGCGCTAGACTGTGTATCAGATAGACACCCAACACTTGAACAGAGAAAACGATCTCGTTCAGAGGACTGTAACGCGCGTCAGCGAAGTAGCTCGTGAAAGGAAATATCAGTGGGATGAAAGTGATATTCGCATCCTCCGCTGTTACTCGGCCCATGCTAAATGGTATGACAATGCTGTAAAAGACGAAGCCGCTGTACATGAAGAACATGGAGACGATCACCAATTTTCGTCCGAAATTCGCGTTCGTTATCATGATCTCGCGATCACTGTCGTTCGTCGTGTTCTTCCAGTCCCATTTGATTCGTTCCACGCATTCGCTGATGTCAGCCTTGTGGTTGATCAGGGAGTAATATTTCACGAAACCCGTCGCGCAGAAAATCAACGGCCCGGATTGTTTCAGTTTACCGTAGGTATCCTCCATTTCGAATACGACGAACAAACTGCTCGGTATAAAGAGGAAACTGATCAGACTGTAACAGACGATGTTTATGAGCCGGTGTATGTATCGTTTGAATCTTGAAATTGGACTTGAATACGGCCAGAGGCCCATGGGTTTCAATAGCCAACGACTCCACTGGATACTCAAATTCACGTATTCCTCGTAGTTGTAGTCTATTAACCGGGACGATTTCATATCTGTCTCTGACGTTTGCATGCTTGCTGTTTGAATGCTCGTCCAAGAGTAAGCGGTGATCCGATGATAGTTTAAAGGGAGAATGGAAAGCTCGAGTCCGATTTTCTTGTTTCAATTGAAACGGGAGGACGAAAGTTTTATTGTTTGCGTTCACTTTTACCCTTCTAGGGAGTTTGGTTTACATACATTATGAATGAGGAGAGAATGTTGACAGTGGGAAATCGATAGATTCCTCCGACACGTCAGCAAAATATCACTAATAGTGCTGTACGGTTAGATAACTTGTTTTCTCGGTTGCGTGTTATCGTAGAGTCGCGTGAATTTTCCTTAGAAATTTCTTTCCTTTAAAGTAAAATGAAATGTGAACAGGAAGTGACAGAGATTGATCGAACGAGTATCATTTCTTTCTTGTACTTTATTTTTATTTATTTATATTTGTTTCCTTTTTTTTTTTTTTGTATGGCGCATTAGATGTACCTGCATGTAGTATATCTACGATGTTTCATAAAAATTTGCAAACTAAATTGATAACTATAGAAAAATTAAATATTTGCAGATGTTCGCGAGATACTCATTTTATCAACATTATTCGATGATATTGCTAGCAGTGATTTTGACAATCGAACGAGACATCAAAATCATCAACGCATCTATATTGGCTGTAAGTATCTATAGTAAATATGATTATAGCAGTCAATCTATTGCACTGATATTATTTATCAGGGAGTCGGACACAAATCAAGTGGAAAATATATGTTCATTTCATTCACTGGACTTCAACGAGCATCGTTAATAAATTTCAAAGAAGTAAACTTCATGAAATTGGTGATAACATTGGCATTTTTCCAATGCTCAAGACAACGCCACTGTACATGCAGATGAGAGTACTACTTTCATTTTAAAATTTGCACTCGTTGTTATCATATCTTAGTCTTTAGAGTAATATCTTTTCAATCCTATTCTAACACACTCGCGAATGATCAAAAGTCAATATTGTAAAAAAAAGTCATTACGCAGACGCTCAACGAACCGAATACGTTCGAAAGTTACATGAAAACTTTGAATTAATCATCAAATAGCAATGAATGATATTTATTGGCAAATGAACATATTTTTCTCTCGTGAAAACGTTTTGAAAATCGGCTAGACCAATTTGTTTTAAAATTCAACAGCTTCATCAAGTTTATATTCTTGTAATTTAGGTCGGTCGGTAGATTTAATTGACAGGCGATTTGATTTTTTTTTTTTGAAAGGGTGGAATAAACGTTATTATTACCCTCTACGAAACAAACCCTTTCTCGTTTGTACTTTTCTCGTTATATATTATGAATGTGGCAGGACATTCGTATGGAAACATCGATAGATTGATTTTTTTTTTAATGTTAGTAGTACAGAATTTCTGATTCTTCGCGGTAACGCGAGCTTTTTCCTTTATGCGTTATGGTTTAATCGCAGAATTGTCGGAATGGAAATAAAAATTAAAAGATGAAAGTGAAGACTGGTAAATTTTTGTAATTTTTTACGTTCAAAAAAAATTGAAAAACCGGATTCGACGAAACTTTACATATACGCGTAAATATTTCAAATAATATGTAAAATCATATGTAAAATATGTTGATTATAGGATACTTAGATTTCCAGTTTGTTCTTAAAGAAATGCAAGATGAGAGAATATGTATTTTAACCCGAAACTGGATTGAAACAATTTCACAGGATGTAACGTATAGTCTAAAAGCTTTTCAGTTCATAATATTTTTTTTTTATTTTTCAACACCTTTGTAAAACATACATTTTCACTCCCAGTTTAAACAGCACAGACATTGTCACTATTCAAGACAAGTAATGTTTAACATGTAAAAAACACCATGAAACATGAGATATAAAAGTAGTATACATCAACGATTATAAAAAAATCTTCACATTAAAGTTCAAGTTGTTTTACGTAGTACGTTTAAAAATGTGACTGCCGTCTTGACAACCTGTTCGTTCAAAAATACCTCGTTCAGTTGTTAAATGTAAAAGAACTGACGATTGCAATTTGATACTTACGTCGGTAAAAGTGCTGATCGTCAGGTCTACGATGTTCCCAGCTGTTAATTTTATTGAACAATTCGACATAGCGATGATTAGAACGCAACATAGCTTCTTGTTCCCTGGCAATCGGTACCACTCGATCATATACGACATTTCGCCGATTTTCCTACACTGTCGTATCATTTTTTATTTCTCGTTAAAATGTTTTCCATTCAAGCATCGCGACAAGTAGAAAATTAATTTGATGCAACTCACCTCGTCAGCAACCATTTCACCTATGTAACAAAATATGAAAATATTAAATGTAAGTGATACAAGTAAAATCATGTATGTTACGGCGCTCGTAACGTCGTTCGATTTCAATTCCTATAAATGTCAAACGAGAATTTGTGTAGTTTCAGATCATCTGAGATCATCATCGAGATTATTTAGAGTACTAAATTAATCTAAAATCTGTACTATACTATTAATTACAAAACTAAAAATAACACACATACTAATTAATAAATACTAAAATAATAATATTGAAGATAAAAAATGTATACTAATATATACTAAAAATTTAAATGTAACTAATATATAAAATAAATATGTCTTAATTACTAAATAATATACTAGTAATTACTAGTAACTATAAAACCATAATTATAAAAATTATAATGTAACTAATATATAAAATAAATGTATTTTAATTACTAAATAATATATTAGTAATATAATAAATAATATACTAATAATATACTAGTAATTACTAGTAACTATAAAACTATAATTATAAAAATTATAATGTAACTAATATATAAAATGAATATGTTTTAATTTAATTACTAAATAATATACTAGTAATTACTAGTCCAAGATGTTAAAGCAAATTCGTTCTACCATAATTACGTAATACCCAACGAGACATATATCTAGAGTGCATCCTAGAAACTCAGCGAAAGAGACTTGTTGCATCGTCCTCTCTGTAAGCGTGAGAAATCTGAAATCATCAATAATCGTTCGTCCTGTGTACTGTCGTGGCCGAAGTAAATATTCGTAATAAAAGAAATTAATTTTTCCCGTACAAAGCAAATATAAATCAGAAAATAAATGATCGCCACAAGAGCGTGTAACAAACGTTCGTTTCGTACACACTTCAGGATTCGGACATGCTGTCTCACGATATCAGCGATTCTGTCGTCCAAACGTTCGCTCATGTCCGATCGGCCGTCAATCAGATGCTTCAGCCAGTTCATCATCACCTGCATTTGCCCGCAAGTGTGAACGGCGAAAGCAGCTGCTAAACTGCAAGCGGCCGACGTTATGCCATGCATCAGGCAGCCAGCCACCAATTGAATCGAAAAGACGATCTCGTTCCCTGGACTGTGTCGCGTGTCGGCGACGTATCTCGAGAAAGGGAACACCAATGGAATGAAGCTGACATTCTCATTCTCCGTGGCTACTTTGCCCACGCTGATAGGTATGGCGATGTAATAAAACGCGAAGCCGCTGTACATGAAGAACGTGCAGACCATCACCAATTTTCGTCCGAAATTCGCGTTCGTTATCATGATCTCGCGATCTCTGTCGTTCGTCGTGTTCTTCCAGTCCCATTTGATTCGTTCCACGCATTCGTTGATGTCAGCCTTGTGGACGATCAGGGAGTAGTATTTCACGAACGCCATCACGCAGAATATCAGCGGCCCGAATTGCTTCAGTTTGCCGTAGCTATCCTCGATTTCGAATACGACGAACAAGCTGCACGGTATAAAGAGGAAACTGATCAGACTGTAACAGACGATGTTTATGAGCCGGTGTAGGTATCGTTTGAATCTTGAAACGGGACTTGAACACGGCCAGAGGCCCATGGGTTTCAATAGCCAACGATTCCACTGGATACTTAGATTCACGTGTTTCTCGTAGTCTGTTGCGCGGGATTTATCGATACTCGTGTCTGACTTTTGCATGCTTGATGGTTGAACGCTCGTCTGAAACTAAATTGGTCGGATGACGGTACAACGGGAAAGCAAACGGCGCGCTTGCGCCTGATTTTCTAATTTTAACCGAGAAGGGTGAACGAGAGTTATCCTCTGCGTTTACTTTCACCCTTCTGGGGAGTTTTGTTTTATATATTATGAATGAGGAGAGAATGTTGACAGTGGAACATCGATAAACTGATTCCTTCGACACGTCAGCGAAACGTTATTAATGTCGATGCACGGTCTTAGGAAATCAGTTTATAGATGATCAGTTTTCTCTTTTCTGCGTCGCATGTTTTTCAAGAAAATTGAGATTGAACATTAATTTTATATAAAATTTTATATAATATTAATTAATGTATTGAACATTAATTTATATAAAATTTTATATAAAATTAATTAATTTATATAAAATTGTAACGTATCGTAATTAATTTATAAAAAAAATTGTAACGATTCACGGTATAATGTGAAACATTTTACTGAACCATGACGCAGATATGCTGCGTGATTCATAATTTAATCAGATGCAAATAATTATCGTTTGATACTTACTTTGATAAAAGCATTGATAATTATACCATATTTGTGATTATAAATTATACGTTATATTATAATTATACAATTGAACGTATAATTAAAATACTTGTAACGTAATACTTTGCACGATTGAATAATTCTTCAAATTTTCTTGACTATTATAAAGTAGCAAGAACTATTTAGAAGAATACTTTTCAACTATTCAAAGTATAACGTAATAAATTAATTTTCTTTTATAAAACAAAAATATCAACATAGAAAGTGTTAGAGTTTCGCTAAATGAATATTATTCCCTTTTTTCCTTTTCTGTAAAAAACAGATATATCTACATATCTATATATATATATCTACAATGTTCACCCTAACGTCAATTTGTTCACAGGCGATGTCGCTCTGAAAGAGAATCCCTACATCGTGAGTGTTCGCAGTATGTTCAAGTATGCGAACGACGTCTTGATGACCTACAATGTTGAATGAAATTTTACTGGAGGAGTTGATAATTACAGCAAAACTAAATGTTGCAGATGTTAATCGTTGAGACGCTTACACTGCCGAAACTACTGATGGAAAGTTCGATAATTTTGCCAGCAGTGATCTTGTTGGTCGAGCGAGACATCGAAATCATCAAAGCTATGCCGGGGCTCTCCTGCCAGGGCATTCGATACCAATCGATCATGTAAGATTTTTCACTGACTTTTACCGTCTAATAAAATATTTCGTCGCATTTTATACCTTTCTTACAGCCACAATTTTTATAATTACGATATTATTATTGAAATCTGTTTGCAAACACCATGCAAGTACCTCCTCTGCTAAGAGCTCCCCGATGTAACAGAATATAAAAATGTTGAACGTGACGGACGTGAGCAGTATTACGTACGCGAAACCCTTAAGAGGATGCTTCGAGTCCCATTCCTAGAGGAGAAACTGCTAATTAAAATTCCGATTCGCAGTACCCGGATGTTTCTTCGTGAAATTATACCGTCATCGAATAATATCCAAGGAAACATATATTTATAGTGCATCCTACGACTTCTACCAACGATATCTCTTGCAGGACATCCTCTGTGAGAGATATGAAGCTGAAATATTACGACAAATACACCATCTCCTTATAATAAATAAAATTCACGCGAATGCGTAGACGAAAGTATTCGAACGTTTGCAGAAGCTTTTTACGTTAATGCGTAATTTATGCCGATGAACGAGCATTTCTGAAATTTCATTAGCAGCGACTTGTGAATCAGAAATTTCTGCAAACTCGTACTTTTGTGAAAATAATGAATGGAGTACATTTTCTTCTTTCATCTTCGAATTGTCCATAAATTCATAATACTTCAAATATAAATATAATATAAATAACAATTGAAATATAACTATAATAATGTAAATAATAAATAATAATTCAAATATAAATATAATAATGTAATTAAATTAAATATAATAAATAATAGTTCAAATATAAATATAATATAAATTAAAATATAACTATAATATAAATGATAAATAATAATTCAAGTATAAACATAAATAATTCAAATAATAATTCAAATAATAATTCAATAACAATAATCTACAGTCTAGCGATTAGACATTACGTTTGGCAAATTTTCATCGTCGGAAATTTTAAAGATTTCACGTGGCAAGAGAGTTCGAATACCTCCGTAACAATGTATCTCCAACATTTCCTCGCATAACTACGTTCCTATCTTGAAATTTCATTCACAATTTTCATCCCCTGTTAACAAACGGAAAAATGTTCATCTTACTTGATTATCCGAACGTGTTGCTCCACGACGTTGGCCAACCTTTGACGAAGAGTCTCAACGTCGTTCTCCCGTCCATCCACCAGCTTCTCCAGCCAAGCCATTAAAACCTGTAACTGGCCGCAGGCGTGCATGGCGAGAAGGGCGACCAAGCCGCAAGCGGCGACCGTGACATTGTGACAAACGAAGCCAGACAGTATCTGCATCGCGTAGCAAATTTCATTGACTGGCCTGCGACGCGCGTCGGCGATCATCGGTGGGAAAGGGTAAACCAGCCGCGTGTACGTCAGGTTGCCACCCTCTTCAACGATCTTCGGTCGCGTGAGCGGCAGAACGATGTAATAGAAAACCACCCCTCCGTACATGAAGAAGCCGCAGATTATGGTGAGCCGGCGATTGAAGCACGCGTTGTCGAGCATGATCTCTCGATCCTCGCCGTGTTTCACGTTCCTCCAGTCGTTCTCGATCAGGTCCACGCATTTACGTATGCCAGCCTCGCGTACCATGAAAATGAAATACTTCATCACGGCCATCACGAAGAAGCTGAGCGCGGCGGCGACCTCCATTTTGTCGTAAATGTCGGAGATCTCGATGGTGAGGCACACGATCCCCGGGACAAGGATGAACGCGAGCAGACCGTGGCCGAGAAGATTCAGGAACACGTGCTCGATCGTTTCGTGCCAGGCACGATCCACAGATCTCGGCCAGCTTCCGATTATCTTCAGCGTCAGCATGTTCAGTCGAACGTTGAAGCTCAAGTCGTCCTTGTAGCTCGCGTTCTGGTAAACCTCGAGTTTTCCCGTGTTCATCGTCGGATACCAAGTGTCAGGCAATCACTGACGCTACGAGTCTCATCGACCACCGGTCGTTTGATGACTGTTGCGCGCTTGCGCGGTTAAATTCTCTTTGTTGCCATTCTGAGAAGGGGATTTTTCTCTGCCATTGTTTGATGTAATTTTAATTGTGGTCGTTCCTACACGGTTGACCATAATTATAAGTTTCGAAGTGAATTTTTTTCAAAGTCGAAGAAGAGAATCAAAGAACAGGCGAGGGGGAGGGGAGGAATGAATATATGATTACCATGTTCCATGGGGGACACGTACGGGTAAAGCGTACTATAGCGGGATACGAACGTGGAATGTATAGGATTTACATGAACTTATAGGGTTAAGGAATATTCTGTAATTCTAATGATTTTATAGTGTCTAAGCGGTTTACTTGGTCCTTTGGTGGAAAAGGATAGAATACATGCCTGAGTACTAACAGAATAGTTTTAATAAAACACTTTATAAAATACTATCTTTGTCTTTCGACGATTTTGAGAGTCTCGCGACAGCACGGCGAAATTTCAGAGAAACAGCACGCATCTTATCAGCCAAGTCTCATCGATCGACTGTATGTAATAACCAATATATTGATAAATTATAATGTAACGATTGATTTCTGATATTATGTATAGTTGATCAAGAGACGATATCATTCCGATCCAACGGTACTATTAAATATATATTCACCTGATGCTCGTTTTCAATAGAGAACGACAATCGTCTCTCTGTTTTTCGAGAAGATGAATTTCACAGATTTTCAGAACTTTCGACAAACTGACGTTCTCGTGTTACAATGTAAACATTTCTCTGTTTTAATTAAAAGAAAAAAAAAACATATCGACAATCATCATGGATCGAATGGTATTGTTAATAACAAAAGGCAGATACATCTCCATGTGATATATTTGTGTCTCCATGCTCTTTCTGACTTTTCCGTGCGAAAATCGCGATATCGGTCAATTGTCGAAGTCATTCTGAAAGAAAATCCTTACATCGTGAGTGTTCGCAGCATGTTCAAGTATGCGAACGACGTCTTGATGACCTGCAATGTTTCATGAAAATTTATAAGTGGTGATCACAGCAAAACTAAATGTTGCAGATGTTCGTGGGACACTTACATTGCTGAAACTGCTGATGGAAAGTTCGATGATATTGCCAGCAGTGATCTTGGTAGTTGAACGAGACATCGATATCATCAAAGGAACGACGAGGTTCTTCTTCCAGGGCATTCGATACCAATCGATCATGTATGACTTTTGACCGACTTTTACTGTCTAATAAAAATAAATGTCACTTGACTAAATTTAAATTGTTGACAGGTCAGAGGCAATATGCGCGGATGTTTAATGCATATTTTTATATTATGCACGTGACATGTTTTGCATATTTTTGATGAAAGGCATATGCAAGTGTATGTCAATTGATTTTGTATTAATATTTCACTATGTTGGCTGCGATCGTGGATGAACAGAATTATCAAATTGTTACGAAAAATCAATAATCCTAATATAGTATATATTAATACTATAGTATATATTAATATAGTATATAATTTGATTACTATAATGTGATTTCTATTAATATAATAGATAATGATATAAATATATAATAATATATAATAATATAGTAGATAATAATATAAATAATATAATTTCTAATAATGTGATTTCTATTAATATACAATGATATGATTTCTATATTTCGGTATTTTTTCCCGATATTAACATCAAATAATAGGATCAATTGATAATGTTGCAATCGTAGCACAGAATAGACAGCAATAGGTACAAGTTGCTCAAAATTTAACGTTTGTTATGTCATTTTTCCTGTATATTTGCCTATTGTTTCGTCATATTTGTATTTTTGTATTGTCGTCTGTGTATTTTGTGCACAACTTTCGTACATATTCGTATGTATGTGTATGCTTTTTACACATTTTACATGTTTAGTAACACAATGATATATGACGTATTCAACAACATCATTGAAATTTGATGAAAGGTGGATTGAGGAATGACTAAATACCTGCTCTGCTAAAAGCTCGCCGATATAACAGAATATGAAAATGTTGAACGTGACGGACGTGAACAATATTATGTACGTGAAACTTCTAACTGGATGCTTAGAGTCCCATTCCTAGAGAAGAAATTGTGAAATTAAAATTTTCACTCGCTGTTTCCGAGCGTTTCTTCGTAATATTATACCATCATCGAATAGTACCCAAGGAAACATATATTTATAGTACATCCTACGACTTCGACCAACGATATCTCGTGCAGGAGATCCTCCGTGAGAGATATGAAACTGAAATATTACGATAAATACACCATTACCTTCAAACATACGCAGCTCATAAATATAATATATGTTCGAACATTTGCAGAACATCACAATATGTTATATGTGTTACATGAAACGTTTTAAAATTTCATCAACGCTATATCAATTATATCGGTAAAATCTCGAGCGAGTCAGAATTAAAATAAATTTTTCTCAATTGTACAAAATAACATACGTGAAAATTTTTTACAGCAAGTGCCGATGAAGATTGTAAATTAAATTTCCACACATTGACGTGTAAGGATATTGAAAATGATATTGAAATTTAGTGTACAACTTAACACAGAATATACTTGTATTTCAATTTTCATTTCTCACCATCGTGATTATATTGATGAAATCTGAAGCAAATCGTAATTCTTGTCTAACGATTAAATAACATAGTCATTGTTTTTAGTATGAAAGCTTTTTGTAGTGAACGTTCAAATATTTCCACTAAATTTCAACACGTTGACGTACATACACACATACATATATGCACGTTATTTAAAATGGCATTGAAATTTATCCAATTTTCTTATATTATTTTATTTATAATTTTTTTATTAAAAAAAATTCAATTTTCTTATATTATTTTATCTGTAACTTCTCTATCAAAAATATTCAATTTTCTTACATTATTTTATTTATAATTTTTTAAATAATTATAAATAACATTATTACTTACATTATTTTATTTGTAATTATTTAAATAATTATAAATAATTCTATATTGTTTCATTTGTAATTTTTTAAATAATTATAAATAATTCTTATATTATTTTATTTATTAATTTTTTAAAATAATTTATTCATTGATTTAAATTTATTTTAAAAAAAAATTTATTTTAATTCTGACTCGCTCGAGATTTTACCGATATAATTGATATAGCGTTGATGAAATTTTAAATATCATTTCTTAATACCAAAATGTTCATCTTACTTGATGATCCGAACGTGTTGCTTCACAATGTTGGCCAACCTCTGGTCCAGGCTCTCAACATCGTTCTCACGTCCGTCCACCAATTTCTCCAGCCAAGACATTAAAACCTGTAGCTGGCCGCAGGCGTGTATCGCGAGGAGGGCGGCCAGGCCGCAAGCGGCGACCGTGATATTGTGGGCGATAAATCCGGACAGCAACTGAACCGTGTATATAATTTCATTGAGCGGGCTGCGGCGCGCGTCGGCGAGTATTCGAGGAAAAGGGTAAACCAGCCGCGTGTACGTTAGGTTGCCACCCTCTTCCACGACTTTCGGTCGCGTGAGCGGCAGGGCGATGTAATAGAAGACCACCCCTCCGTACATGAATGCGCCGCAGATCGCGATCAATCGACGAGTGAAACTCGCGTTGCGCAACATGATCTCACGATCCTCGCGGTGTTTCACGTTCCTCCAGTCGTTCTCGATCAGGTTTACGCACGTACGTATGTCAGCCTCGCGGACCACGAACACGCAGTACTTGATCACCGCCATCAAGAAGAAACTGAGCGCGCTGCCTAGCTTCATCTGGTCGTAGAAATCGGCGATCTCGAGGGCGAAGCACATGAATCCAGGGATCAGAATGAACGCGAGCAGACCGCAACCGAGAACATTTAGAAACGCGTGTTCGATCGTTTCGAGCCAGGAGTAATCGCCAGATCTTGGCCAGCTTCCGATCGGCCTCAGTGTCAACACGTTCAGTCGAACGTTGAAGCTCAGATCGTTTCTGTAATTCACGTTGCACGGTTTCTCGTCGTGTTCGCTGGTATTCATCGTCGAGCATCGAGTGAGTCACTGATGCTGCCATGAGCTTCGTCGGGCGGTTTGATAAGTTCTGCTGAACTGAACGCGCGTGCGTCATTAAATCGGAAAAATGATGTTGCCCTTGTCGGTTTGATTCGATGGAACACCACGCGACGAAGTATTTCTAACTATGACCGATGTGATTGACGATAATGATATGTTTGGAAATGGATTTTTTTCAAAGGCAGAAAGGAGAAACTCAAGGAACGGGGGAAACGAACGTATGATTATCGTGCTCTCGTGTACACCATGGGGGGGAAAAAAGGCCTTGAGACACGCTTCGTGAATATTTCAGTTGCCGATTGAACGATATTTTTCCCTTCTGACGTGATAAATGATTTTCGAATGTTTATGCGTTCGACTTGAATCAAACGTGACGTGTCGCGTAAATTATACACAGTTAACTGAGTAAGTTAACTGCTTAAAATTGTTTTTACCAACCATCGTGTCTGTTCTGCTTGCTGAGCCTAACATTGAAGCGTGTGCATGTATATCCTATCGTTTTTGAAAACATGTGACATAAATGTATGAATAACTCATATACTAGCATTTAAGGCATTAATGATTAAGTACATTTACTTCACTGTACAGGGAATAAATCTTATCTGAGATTTGAAAGCTTAATAAAAAAAAGAAAAAAACTCTGATTGTAAGAAACACAATAGGACACAAGCTTGAACACCGATGAAAGTTTTTATTAAAAGTCGTCTTGTACATGAAATGTATCTTTTTTTTTTTTTTTTTAATTTTCTTAGGGGAGAGAACGTGCATTGTTTCTATTTTTAGGAAGATTGTAACTTAAATTTTATTTTACTTTCAGCTGTATTTGCATTGGTGAAAATTAAAGGAACTCTACGCGTCTTATCGAGTAATTATATACATAAGATATTAGGATCATGGTAGTGATTGACTTTAGCAGTGTCAGAGAGGCAGTGTTCATTTCAATTCCAAAGTTCCACTGAATGCATTCAGTTGATAACTCTCAAAGGATAACATCGTAGGTTAAATAATATTATTAATTGTCAGGCACAAATAGAAGCTTTCCTTTAATCTACAACATATTACGCATGTGTGATATATTCGTATATTTATGCTCTTTCTAATATTCAATGTGAGAATCGCAGTGTCAGTTTAGATCAATCGTTTCAAACGTCACGTACGTAGCTCTATGTCGTGAACGTTCGTAGCATGTTCAGATACGCGACCGAAGATTTGATCACCTAAATTTGTTCGACGAAAATTTGCTGATAAATAAAAACATAACACGGTGTTTACAGTATGGATAATTATTGGAGCACTCACGTCGCCGAAACTACTGATGGAAAGCTCGATGATGTTGCCGGCAGTGAGCTTGGTGGTTGAACGGGACATCGAGATCACCAAAGGTATGGCGAAACTTTTCCTCCATGGGATTCGATGCCAATCGATCATGTAAGACTTCTCGCCGACCTTGATCGTCTGGTAAATATACACTCTACGTGATATCTTTCACAAATATTTTGTAAATTAAAGATACAAATGATCGAGCAAGAGTCGACTGAATGAATTTATTGCATTACAGTGAATTATATGTACGTGCTATTCGCGAAAGAGAGTTATTTCAAATAATATTTTTGAATCGAAGAGGGATGGTTACCTGCTCTGCTAAAAGATCGCCGATGTAACAGAATATGAAAATGTTGAACGTGACGGATATGAGCAATATTATGTACGTCACGCCGCTGACAGGTTGCTTAGGATCCCATTCCTATGGAAGAAATTGCACAACTGATGACTTTGATTTTCAAACTTCAATGTTGCTTCGTCGAAACGTTCCTACCATCATCGAGTAATATCCAAGGAAACATATGTTCAACGTACACCCCACAACCTCTACCAGTGATATCTCGTGCAACAGATTCTCTGTGAGAGCTATGAAACTAAAAGGTTGTAATAAATACAGTAATTCCTTTAAATATTATAGTTAATAATTTAAATGTATAATATACATTGTGCTCCATATGAAGCTAACCATGCAATTTTCTCACAAATTATTCGCTATAGAGCAAAATGTTTTAAATGTTTTAATATTAACTAACGTTGTTCCGACGGGGATATCTTATAGTGGTTACAAATCTTGTCGAGACGAATTCAGACTGTGTTCCAACGTCATTTAACGACGCTCAAAGCTTACCTTCGATGAGCATCTGTGATGGCCTTGGATCATTGTCAATACACTGATTTATTCTCTATTCTCTAAACGATAGTTGCACGACATTTTTCTTGTCGGGTTTTCTAGAAAATCAGGTATTTCGGAAAGAGCCCACTATTCCCCATATAATATGAAAAATCGTGTAAGGGACGCTTTCTAACAAATTACTTTCAGAACATTAGGAAGGAACTCTTGTTTTATTTGAAATATTAAATATTTGATATTATAATTATAATTAATATTATTATAATGTTACATTTATAATATTTTTATAATTTATTTGAAATTCATAACATTTCAACTTGCAACGTAAGATTTATTTCTAACATTTTTCTCTGTAGCGAATAGCTTAGTAGAAAATTGCGTAGTTAGCTTCGTATGGCTGACATCCTGTATATAATATTACATATCATGTATAATATATGGTGTAATATATATGTACGTATATTATATATTGTATTGCAATACAATATAATATATAATATAATTATAGTATAATATATTGTATTGCATATATTGTAATATCATATATTATATATATATTTAGATTTTATCAAACGATTGACAAATAATTTTCACTCGAATTATCAAAAAAAGTATATTGTGTCATAACTTTGCTTGACTATATTATATATAGTCATATCTATTATATATAGTCATATTATACACAGTTATGACAGCATAAAATATTATAACAGTACAAAAGTACATCGCATGTAATGATAATTATCAGAAAATGTATATTGTATCTTTACTTGATTATCCGGACGTGTTGGTTCACAATGTTGGCCAACCTCTGATCCAAACTCTCGTCGTCGTTCTCCCTTCCGTTCACCAATTTCTCCAGCCAAGACATTAATACCTGTAACTGACCGCAGGCGTGCATCGCGAGGAGGGCAGCCAAGCCGCAGGCAGCGACCGTGATATTATGAGCCACGAAGCCAGAAAACAGCTGTATCGTATAGAAAATTTCATTGATGGGACTGTGCCGAGCGTCCAGGAGAACCTTGGGGAAAGGGTAGACTAGCCTTCTGTAGGTCAAATTGCCGCCCTCTTCCACGATCTTTGCCCGAGTGAGCGGCAGGGCGATGTAATAGAAAATCACCCCTCCGTACATGAATGCGCCGCAGATGACGATCAGTCGGCGACTGAAGCTCGCGTTCTTCAACATGATCTCACGATCCTCCTCGTATCTCACGTTCTTCCAGTCGTTCTCGATCAGCTTCACGCATCTACGTATGTCAGCCTCGCGGGCAATGAAGACGCAGTACTTCATCACCGCCATCATGAAGAAGCTGAGCGCGCTGCCGAGCTTCAGCTGATTGTAAAAGTCCTTGATCTCCAGGACGATGAACATGCTACAGGGGATCAGGATGAACGCGAGCAGGCCGTAACAGAGAAGGTTCAGAGTGACGTGTTGGATCGTCTCGAGGAACGTGTGATTCAGCGATCTTGGCCATGTGCCGATTGTCTTCAACGTCCACTGGTTGAACCTCACGTTGAAGCTCAGGTCGTCCTTGTAACTTGGATTGCGGGATTTCTCCGCGGCAGCGAGCTCTCTCCCGGTCATCATCGAACATCGGGAGCAAGGCAATCACTGAGGCCAGTTTCGTTGATGACTCAGATCGAATTGAAAAGTTTCGAGTTGGATCGACGCGCTTGCGCCGATAAATCGGGAACAAGAGCAGGGAGAAGAGCAGAGGGATGTTTCTCCCTTGTCGTCGATGTACTTTTTAGTCAGTGTACACCGCACTTGACGACAAATGTTATGTCTCGAAATGGATTGTTGCTAGTCGGAAAATCAGAGAACCGCGAGCAAACGTATAATTATCGTACTCTCGTATGCATTGCGGGAGGGGACGTGGATACGACGTGGTTTCAACTCAACAAACACGCTTCGTGGATATTTCAATCGCGGATAGGGATGAGGATTATTTTTTCCACGCGATGAAAAATGATTTTTTCGAATGTTTGTGAAACATCGAGGGAAGCTTGGATCAAATATAGGGTGAAAAACATGCACAGAGAGAGAGAGAGAGAGAGAAACCAAGAAGAAAGAATACCAAGGGGATTAGCTTTTATTGCAAAACTAAGACAGCGTCGCGATTGGGGACACGTTCCTGTATGATTTTTGAATTATCATGAATTACCATCTCTCACGTATTATATCGTAAGTATTCTAACAAGGTACTTTAAACAACCTCGCGTAGAATGTTCAAATATCCCATCGACATTTTCATCACCTAAGGAACATTATCTGTGAAACATGTAACAAGATGTAAGTTAAATTGAAACGTATGTTACTTACGTCGGTGAATGTGGCCAGAGATATTTCAGCCATCTTACCAGCCACCAATTTCATCGGGTGATTAGACATGGCGATAATCAGTATTAGAGAGCGCATATGTTTGGTCGAAAGGTGGTAGTAATTAATCATGCCTGACGTCTGTCCTACAAACCTATTCTGTTAACAGGACCATCACGATAACATTTAAAAAATTGTCAAACAGAGCGCCGAGAGAAACAACAGCGTACTTCGTCGACGAGAAGTTGGCCAATGTAACAAACTATAAAGATGCAGAACATAAAGGATGTTTGTAGCGTGGCATAAATCAACACACCCGCGGTGTTGTTATTCTCCCATTCCTGAAACATGTTTATCCTATATTATTCCAGAAAAAAGAAGAGAAACAGGTAATGTTATTATGTCAGACTACGAATATTCATGTATTTATAATTTCAAGTGAAAAGCGAATCGTACGAAATGTAAATGTAAGTGTAAAGAAATTCAACTCGTTGCGAATTAGTTTTTCACAACTCGTTAAATCAATTAACAATTCAATTACAATTCCAATTATTGTAAATAGTACTCAGGTTACATTTCGTCGTTCCGTATATTCATAAAAATACGAGTTTGCATGAACGTCTGTAGTCCAACACTTACCATGATGATATAATATCCGATGAGACACAGGAGACACGAGCAGCCCACCATTTCGATCAGATAAATGTTCTCTGTAATCGTTTCAATGTTCTTTAAAAATCTGCAAACAAGTGACGAATACAGGCCGTACATACGCGATGTTTTTAATAAACTCGAGCTACGTCCAATTCGCGTTCATTGAATCACGACATATCGTATTCCGCTGCAACCTGTTTCTCCACGCAGAGAACTTTCACTCACCTCATTATTTTCATCTGATATTCGACGATGTCCGCGATCCTCCGTTGAACCATCATCTCGGGCACATCCTTCTTATTCACGAGCCGGTTCATCTTGTTCGCCAAGATCCTCAGCATGCTACACGTATGGAGAACCAACAGAGCGGACATGCCAGAGATACCGCAAACAATTGCATAAGCAACAAATCCAGCGAAAACTTGCAATACAAACAGTATCTCGTAAATCGGTGACTTTTGCTCGTCGAGAATTATGAGGTGAGTCGGGGAGGGTAATGGCCTTATGGTAACGTTGTCTGGAGTGACGATAGTTCCTTTGAGAAGAGGGACAACCGTCCTGTGGCACAAACCACCGCCGTACATAGTGATCGCAGTGACTACCACTATTCTCCTCAGGATCTTCACTTTCGAGCGAAAAATCAGCCGATTCTCCACCGTGGCACTTGCCAAGTCCTCTTTGATCGCGTTCACGCCTTTCTGGATTCTGCTCATTTGCCGCAAGAGAATCGTATATTTGCAGAACTGCATGATGCAGTTAATAGTCGGTCCCATGATGCGCAGTATAACCTTGACGCTGTTCCTTTTCAGGAACATGTGCATGAGAGGTGGCACCATTATCAAGAGCAGCAGGAAGTACGACAAAACGTTTCTTATTCTGAGTAAAATTCTCGAAAGAAAAGAAGAGGAAGGTGAAACAGGCCACGCACCGATTGGACCTAGAAATAGCTCCACGTATCTCGTGGCGTACTTCAAATCCTCCTCCGCCTTCGTTACTTGTGACATATTTTCCATGGTTGAACGCCTCGACAAGACTGACTACGTAAGTGTAAACAATTGGCTCTGATTCGACAGATTGCGCTTGCGTGTATGACCACCGTGATTGTCACGCGTTTGCGAATTCAACATCGAATTGCTGTTATCGAAACGATTTTATTGCGCAGAATGGAGAAATACGTAAATTGGTTGAAATTACCCGGTTGAACTTTCCACGAACTGATTGCTTTCCCGGAGTGGAACGACGGAGGGTTCTTTTCCTGAGAAAAGAACTTATGATCTATAGTGTCTGTAATGTAAAGGTACACAATGCAGAAAGAAGCGTGTCTTTTAAAACTCGTTTTAATTATTGAAATACGAATTTCTACATAAGTATTTTGCATCACGCATTTGTCATTTGTCATTTTATGCATTTATTAATTCATTGGTTATATCACGATATCCGTTGCGAATTTGTTTTTCAAGTCCATGTCAGTTTTCCGAAATAATTCAGACGGTGCTCCGAATTTTTTTTCATTCAGACGATTATACAAAAAGATCCTCTGCATTTTGTAAAATTGAAAATTAATGCGTCTCGAGATCTGATGGTAAACGTTCACAAAGCTTGCAATTTCAAACAGATGTCTGCAAAGTTTCGCGGAGTATAGATCGAAGGGGAACGAGTTCAACCGGGAGTTGCGCTTCAATTATTAAAAATCCGCGTACGTCGGGGAGAGTAAACAGGAGAACGACTTCAAAACCCTCCGATACTGCGTTACGAAATAAATCGAACAATGCTGCGAATATATGGAAATATACTACTATCTACCTATTTTATATCGTATACTGTACACCACATTTAACCTGTAGCAAAGTTAAACTATTGAACAGTAGTTCGCAACATGTTTAAATATCCCACCGACGCTTTCATGATCTGAAAATAATATTTTTCAGGACGTCACAGAAAATTCGAAGGTGCAAAATTCAAGCTGCTCTCTACTTACGTCCGTGAAAGTGGCTAAAGATACATCTACAACTTTGGCAGCGGTGATTTTTATCCGATAATTTGATATAATAATCACCAGCACGAGGTATCGTGCTTTGTTCATGGGAAATCGGTACCAGTTCAGTGTTGTGCACGTTTGCCTAACTGTTTCGGACTGTCAAAGGTAAAATTTATTACATCATAAATTTATTATTGTACATTGTATTAATAATAATATTAAACGTTATGTATTGTGGCGCGATAGTTGGACAAGGAATTGTAAAAAATTGTTAACAACGTACTTCGTTGATGAGAAGTTGACCGATGTAACACATCGTGAAATTGACGAACACGCAACATGTCTCTAATAACAGATAAACTACTATAGCGGTAACATTGTTATTTTCCCATTCCTGAAATATTATACGGACATTATGATTACGGTCATTTGGAACTTTTAATGAAGTTTTACCATGATAATGCAGTATCCGACTACACAAGCAACTAACGTGTCGTTGATCATCTCGAAGAAACACATGCTCGGGATTATTCGATCGATGTTTGTCGAAAATCTGAAATTAAATCTCTGAATGAACGAAAAGGAAAAAAAGTCAAGACGTCACTTTAACGGTAAATCTAACGACACAAGTGAGATGTAAAGTTTGCGAAAAATTGAAACAAAAAGTAGATGAAGAACAAGTTTTCACTCGGTATACTTTACAAGAAAATTCGTTCCATTTTCAGCACTCTAATGTTAATTCCTCGTTATTATTTCTCTCATTAATTTGTCCTCAGCTGTTTTTTATTTCTTCAATTTCACAGTATATTTATTAGCGAATGAAAAATTTATAATTCACCGTTTGATCATTGTCCGATGCTCAACGATGTCCGCGATCTTTTCTTGCACGGCATTCTCGCTTAAGTCAAGCTGATCGGAAAGCTCTACCATCTTGTTCGTCAGGATCCTCAACAGACTGCAGATATGCAAACAAAACATCGTGCAAGCTCCCATTGTGGCGCACAATGTCGTATAGGTGAAGAATCCGCCGAAAATTTGCAGAATATAGATAATTTCGTAATTCGGCGTAACCTGTTCGTCGAAGAATACAAAATAACTTGGACAGGATAACAGTCTTATGGTAGTGTTATTTGGTAGGACAATTCTTCCTTTCACAAGTGGTATGATCGTCCGATTAGACAGACCGCCGCTAAACATGGTGACCACTAATCCTATTACCACTTTGCGTCCGAAATTCGCGTACGTGCGAAAGATCTCTCGATTTTCTTCGGTTGCGTTCAACCAGCTGTTTCTTATCTCCTCTATTGTTTCTCCGAATTCCTTCATCCGACGAATCAGTATGGTGTACTTGATCAGCTGGCACAAATTGTTGACGTGAGGCATGAGCAGTTTTATCCGTCTCCTGCCATTGTTCTCCTTCGTAAATGCGTATAGAATGCTCGGGACCAGCGTCGCCAATTGCAGGAAATAAGATATAAAAATAATGCAGGTTTTTAGGAGTACCGAGGACAAGGAGGATTTGTTAGGATTAGACCAGGCACCGGTTATTTTCAACATAGAATAAAAAACGCTCATGGAATCCCTTAGCTCATCTTCCGCGTTCTTTGCCAGGGACATTTTTTATTCAACGAATTCACGATGGTGACTGACCACATTGGGGATAGACACACGTCACTTTCCACAGCCACCTCGCGCTTGCGTAGGTGAAATGTAAAGTTTTACGCGAATTTAGCGTCGAATTATTGAAACGATCATTATACGCGAAGAGATTCGAACAGAAGGACGGGGAAATTGATTGAAATTGCACGTGTAGACTGTGTCTATACCGAGCGACTTCCCCTCGCGAACGTGAGGTTTTATCGTTCACAGTATTTTCTCTTGCAACTTAGTTACAAATTACCCCGTTGAAGGGGTGACCTTTGTAGCAATTATTTAAAGAACAGGATTTCATATGCGAACGGGGCAGATCGTGCTTGTAACTTCAGCTCTTACAAAACAGCATAAAACGGAGAAAATAACGCGACGATGATTTCAAAACCTATCATTGTAAAATAGGTATTACAGAATCGAAGAGAATTTTTCGCAAGTTAAGGGGACAAATCGTGCTCGCGGTTCCAGCTGCTAGAATTCAAAGTTTTACGGCGAAAATAACGTGACAATGATTTTAAGATCTACGATTGTGAAATATATTGAGAACATTCACGGAGAAATCAGTAGCAGCTATTTTCCAAAAACAAATCTTTATATCGTCTATAACAAACTGTCGTTCACTTTCACAATGTATCTCATATTTAACAAGTTCCGCAATAAGCATAAAGGTACGTTCATAGATTCGAAATTTACTTTTGAAGTATTGATTAGAGAGCGGTTCGTAATACATTCAAGTAGCCCATCGATGTCTTCATAATCTGAAAAAATCATTTTGCAGGACGTTCGAAGATACGACGATACAGAATTCGAATTGCTTTGTACTCACATCGGTGAAGGTGGCCAACGATACCTCCACAACTTTGGCAGCGGTGATTTTTATCCGATTATTTGATATAATAATCATCAGCACGAGGTAACGTGCTTTGTTCATGGGGAATCGATACCAGTTCACTGTTGCGCACGTTCGCCTAACTGTGTCGGACTGTTAAAGGTAAAGTTTATTATATTATAAATTTATTATTGTATATGGTATTGATATTAATATTATACTTTATGTATTGTGGTGCGATATTTAGATAAGGAATTGTAAAGAAATTGTTAATAACGTACTTCGTCGATAAGAAGTTGACCGATATAACACATCGCGAAGTTACTCAACGTGAAGCTTATTTGTATCATAAAATACATTGCTATACTCATGACATTGCTATCTTCCCACTCCTGAAATATTATGGATGTTATGTATACGATTATCACTTTGTTTGAACTTTTAACGAATCTTTACCATGATAATGCAGTATCCGAGTGAACAAACAATTAGCGTATCGTCGATCATCTCGAAGAAACACATGCTCGGGATTATTCGGTCGATGTTTGTCGAAAATCTGAAATTAAATCGCTGAATCAACGAAAAGAGAAAAAAGTCAAGACGCCATTTTAATGCTATATCTAACGACACAAGTTAGGTGAAAAGTTTGCGAAAAAATGAAACAAAAGATACAAGTGAAAGACAAGTTTTCACTCGGTATACTTTACAAGAAAATTCGATCCGTTTTCAGCACTTTTAATTCTAATGTTAATTCCTCGTTATTATTTCTCTCAAAATTAATTTGTACTCAGCTGTTTTTTGTTTTTTCAATTCCACAATATATTTATTAGCGAATGAAAAAATTTATAATTCACCGTTTGATCATTGTTCGATGCTCAACGATGTCCGCGATCTTTTCCTGCACGGCACTGTCGCTTATGTCAGGTTGATCGGAAAGCTCTTTCATCTTGTTCGTCAGGGTTCTCATTAAGCTACACGTGTGCAAACAGAGCATCGCGTAAACTCCCATAGTGGCGCACTGAACCGAATAAGTGAAGAATCCGCCGAAAATTTGCAGGACATAGATTATTTCGTAATTTGGCGTAATCTGTTCGTCGAAGAACACAAAATAACCTGGACAGGCTAATATCCTTATGGTGGTGTTGTTTGGTAGCACGAGTTTCCCTTTTAGAATCGGAATGAGTATTCGATAAGACAGACCGCCACTGAACATGGTAACTCCTACTCCTATTACCGCTTTCCGTCCGATCATTGCGTTCGTACGAAAGATTCGTCGATTTTCATCGGTTGCGTTCAACCAGCAGTTTCTTATCTCCTCCATCATTTCTCTAAATTCGTTCATCCGACGAAACAGTATGGTGTACTTGATCAGCTGGCACAAATTGTTGATCTGAGGCGTGAGCAGTTTTATCCGTCTCCTGCCATTGTCCTCCTTCGCAAATGCGTATAGAACGCTCGGGACCAGCGTCACCAATTGCACAAAATAAGATATAAAGATAATACAGGTTTTTAGGATTACCGAGGACAAGGAGGATTTGTTAGGATTAGGACAGGCACCGGTTATTTTCAACATAGAATAAAAAGCGCTCATGGAATCCCTCAGATCATCTTCCGCGTTCTTTGCCACAGACATTTTTTATTCAACGAATTCACGATGGTGAATGACCACATTGGGGATAGACACACGTCACTTTCAACAGCCACGTCGCGCTTGCGTAGGTGAAATGTAAAGTTTACGCGAATTTAGCGTGGAATTATTGAAGCGTTCATTATACGCGAAAAGATTTGAGTTTTAGCAGAAGGATGGGGAAATTGTTTGAAATTACACGTCTATACCGTGCGACTTCCCCTCGCCAACGTGAGTTTTTATCGTTCACAGTAACTTTGTATTTTCTCTTGCAATTTACCGTCGAAGGGGTAATCTTTGTAGCAATTATTTAGAAAACAGTGCTTCATACGTGAACGGGGCAGATCGTACTTCTAACTTCAGCTTTTACAACACAGAGTAAAACGGAGAAAGCAACGCGACGACGATTTCAAAATCTATGTTTGTAAAATAGATGGAAAAGTTTTACATAATCGGAGAGAATTGTTCGCAAGTTAAGAGGGCTAATCCTGCTTGAGGTTTCAACTGCTAGAATTCGGAATTTTGCGGAGAATATAACGTGACAATGATTTTAAAATCTATACGATTGTGAAATATATTGACAAGGTTCACGGAAAAATCAGGAGCAGTTATTTTTCAAAAACAAATCTTTATATTGTCTTTCATAAACTGTCACATCACAACACAATGTACCTCATATTTAACAAGTTCTGCAATAAGCTTGAAGGTACGTTCATAGATTCGTAAGTCACTTTTGAAGTATTGATTAGAGAGCAGTTCGTAATACATTCAAGTAGCCCATCGATGTCTTCATAATCTGAAAAAATCATTTTGCAGGACGTACGAAGATGCGAAGATACAAAATTCGAATTACTTTGTACTCACATCGGTGAAGGTGGCCAACGATACCTCCACTACTTTGGCAGCGGTGATTTTTATCCGATAATTTGATATAATAATCACCAGAACGAGGTAACGTGCTTTGTTCATGGGAAATCGATACCAGTTCAGTGTTGCGCACGTTCGTCTAACTGTGTCGGACTGTTGAAGGTAAAATTTATTATATTATAAATTTATTATTGTATATTGTATTAATATTAATATTATACTTTATGTATTGTGGTGCGATATTTGGACAAGGAATTGTAAAAAAATTGTTAACAACGTACTTCGTCGATAAGAAGTTGACCGATATAGCACATCGCGAAGTTACTCAACGTGCAGCTTGTTTGTAATATAAGATAAATTACTATACTGATGCTATTGCTATCTTCCCAATCCTGAAATATTATGAACACGATTATCACGTTGATTGAACTTCATCGATCAGTTAGCGAAGTTTTACCATGATGATGCAGTATCCAATCGAACAAACAATTAGCGTGTCGTCGATCATCTCAAAGAAACATATACTCGGAATTATTCGATCGATATTTGTCGAAAATCTGAAATTAAATCACTGAAAATCAAGACGTCATTTCAATGCTAGAATCTAACGACATAAATGAGATGTAAATTTTTCAAAAAATTGAAACAAAAAGATATATGAAAAGCAAGTTTCCACTCGGTATAGTTTAGAAGACAATTTGAGCCGTTTTCAGCACTTTCACTTATAATGTATATTCCTCGTTATTATTTCTCCCTCTATTAACTTGCCCTCAGCTGTTTCAATTCTACAGTATATACTTATTAGCCAATGTAAAATTTAAATTTCACCGTTTAATTTTCGTTCGATGCTCAACGATGTCCGCGATTTTTTCCTGCACGGCACTCTCGCTTATGTCAGATTGATCGGAAAGCTCCTTCATCTTGTTCGTCAGGGTTCTCATTAAGCTACACATGTGCAAACAAAGCATCGCGTAGACTCCCATAGTGGCGCACTGAGCCGAATAGGTGAAGAATCCGCCGAAAATTTGCAGAACATAGATTATTTCGTAGTTCGGCGTAACCTGTTCGTCGAAGAACACAAAATAACCTGGACAGGATAACATTCTTATGGTGGTGTTGTTTGGTAGGACGATTTTCCCTCTTAGAAACGGTGTGAATATTCGGTAAGACAGACCGCCGCTGAACATGGTGACTGCTATCCCTATTACCACCTTGCGTCCGATCTTCGCGTTCGTGCGAAAGATCTGTCGATTTTCTTCGGTTGCGTTCAACCAGCAGTTTCTTATCTCCTCCATCATTTCTCTGAATTCCTTCATCCGACGAAACAGTATGGTGTACTTGATCAGTTGGCACAAATTGTTGATATGAGGCGTGAGCAGTTTAATGCGTTTCCTGCCATTGTTCTCCTTCGCAAATGCGTATAGTACGCTTGGGACCAGCGTCATCAATTGCAGAAAATAAGATATAAAAATAATACAGGTTTTTAGGATTACCGAAGACAAGGAGGATTTGGTAGGATTTGGCCAGGCACCGGTTATTTTCAACATAGAATAAAAAACGCTCATGGAATCCCTCAGATCATCTTCCGCGTTCTTTGCCACAGACATTTTTTATTCAACGAATTCACGATAGTGACTGACCACATTCGGGATAGACACACGTCACTTTCAACAGCCATGTCGCGCTTGCGTACGTGAAATGCGAATTTAGCGTCGAATTATTGAAACGATCGCGAAGAGATTTAAGTTTTAGCAGAAGGATGGGGCAATTGATTGAAATTACACGTGTAGACCGTGTCTATATTGAGCTGCTTCCCCTCGCGAAAGGGAAGTTTCATCGTTCACAGTAACTTTGTATTTTTCCTTGCATTTTATTTGCAAATTACTCTGTTGAAGGGGTGATCTCCAGTATCTACCATGATCTGTAATAATTATTTAAAAGAAAAGAAGATTTCATACGCGAACAGGGAAAATCGTTCTTCAATTCTTAGAATACGTAGTAAAATAACGCGACGATGGTTTCGAAGTCTACCGTTGTGAAATTTTACAGGGTCGGAGAGGATTTTATGCAAGTTGCGAGGGCAAATCGTGTTCGTTGTTCCAACTGCTAGAATTCGAATTTTATACGAGGAAAATAACGTGATAATGATTTTAAAATCTACGATTGTGAAATATATTGGGAAGTTTCACAGAAAGATGTGGAACTGTTGATTTTCAAGAACAAATATTTATATCGTCTATAACAAACTGTCGTTCACTTTCACAATTTCTTTCATATTTGACAAGTTCTGTAATAAGCTTAAAGGTACGTTCATAGATTCGAAATTTACTTTTGAAGTTTTGATTAGAGAGCAGTTCGTAATACATTCAAGTAGCCCATCGATGTCTTCATAATCTGAAAAAATCATTTTGCAGGACGTACGAAGATGCGAAGATACGAAATTCGAATTACTTTGTACTCACATCGGTGAAGGTGGACAAGGATACATCCACAACTTTGGCAGCGGTGATTTTTATCCGATAATTTGATATAATAATCATCAGCACGAGGTAACGTGCTTTGTTCATGGGAAATCGATACCAGTTCACTGTTGCGCACGTTCTTCTAACTGTTTCGGACTGTTAAAGGTAAAATTTATTATATTACAAATTTATTATTGTATATGGTATTGATATTAATATTATACTTTATGTATTGTGGTGCGATATTTAGATAAGGAATTGTAAAAAAATTGTTAATAACGTACTTCGTCGATAAGAAGTTGACCGATATAACACATCGTGAAGTTACTCAACGTGCAGCTTGTTTGTATCATAAGATAAATTGCTATACTGACGCCATTGCTATTTTCCCAATCCTGAAATATCATGGACATTATGTACACGATTATCACGTTGTTTGAACATTTAACGAAGCTTTACCATGATAATGCAGTATCCGAGTGAACAAACAATTAGCGTGTCGTCGATCATCTCGAAGAAACACATGCTCGGGATTATTCGATCGATGTTTGTCGAAAATCTGAAATTAAATCGCTGAATGAACGAAAAGAAAAAAAAGTCGAGACGTTATTTCAACGCGAAATCTAACGACACAAGTGAAGTGTAAAGTTTGCGAAAAAATGAAACAAAAGATACCGTAAAAGACAAGTGTTCGCTCGGTATACTTTACAAGAAAGTTCGATCAGTTTTCAGCACTTTTAATTCTAATGTTAATTCCTCGTTATTATTTCTCTCATTAATTTTATATTTCTTAGCGAATATAAAATTTATAATTCACCGTTTGATCATTGTTCGATGCTCAACGATGTCCGCGATCTTTTCCTGCACGGCACTCTCGCTTATGTCAGGTTGATCGGAAAGCTCCTTCATCTTGTTCGTCAGGGTTCTCATTAAGCTACACGTGTGCAAACAAAGCATCGAGTAAACTCCCATAGTGGCGCACTGAGCCGAATAGGTGAAGAATCCGCCGAAAATTTGCAGAACGTAGATTATTTCGTAGTTCGGCGTAACCTGTTCGTCGAAGAACACAAAATAACCTGGACAGGATAACATTCTTATGGTTGTGTTGTCTGGTAGGACGAGTTTCTCTCTTAGAATCGGAGTGAATATTCGATAAGACAGACCGCCACTGAACATGGTAACTCCTATTCCTATTACCGCTTTGCGTCCGATCTTCGCGTTCGTACGAAAGATTCGTCGATTTTCTTCGTTTGCGTTCAACCAGCAGTTTCTTATCTCCTCCATCATTTGTCTGAATTCCTTCATCCGACGAAACAGTATAGTATACTTGATCAGCTGGCACAAATTGTTGATCTGAGGCGTGAGCAGTTGTATTCGTTTCCTGCCATTGTTCACCTTCGCAAATGCGTATAGAACGCTCGGGACCAGCGTCACCAATTGCACAAAGTAAGATGTAAAAATAATACCGATTTTTAGGATTGCCGTGGACAAGGAGAATTTGGTAGGATTTGGCCAGATACCGGTTATTTTCAACATGGAATGAAAGACGCTCATGGAATCCCTCAGATCATCTTCCGCGTTCTTTGCCATAGACATTTTTTATTCAACGAATTCACGATGGTGAATGACCACATTGGGGATAGACGCACGTCACTTTCAACAGCCACGTCGCGCTTGCGTAGGTGAAATGTAAAGTTTCCGCGAATTTAGGGTGGAATTATTGAAGCGATCATTATACGCGAAGAGATTTAAGTTTTAGAAAAATGATGGGGAAATTGATTGAAATTATACGTGTAGACTGTGTCTATACCGAGCGACTTCCCCTCGCGAACGGGAGATTTCATCGTTCACAGTAACTTTGTATTTTCTCTTGCAATTTACTTGTAAATTACCCCGTAGAAAGGGTGATCTCTGTAGTAATTATTTAAAAAGGAAGAGGATTTCATACGCGAGCGGGGAAAACTCGTGCTGCAACTCTTAGAATACGTAATAATAAAACAACGCGACGATGATTTTAAAGTCTAGCATTGTGCAGTTTTATAGGGTCGGAGAGAATTTTATGCAAGTTGCGAGGGCAAATTGTGTTCGTGGTTTCAGCTGCTAGAATTCCAAGTGAAACGGACAAAAATAACGTGACAACGATTTCGATATCTATCAATGTGAAATATGTTTAAAAGTCTAATGGAAAAATAAAGAGCTGTTATCTTCTGAGAACAAATCTTTATATCGTCTTCAACGAACTATCGTACAATACACCTCATATTTAACAAGATTTATAATAAGCGTAAAGGTACGTTGGTAGATTCTAAATTTACTTTTCAAGTTTCTATTAGAGAGCACTTCGCAGTACGTTTAAATAGCCCATCGACGCCTTCATGATCTGAAGAAAATCATTTTGTGGAACGTTCGATGATAGAAAAATTCGAAATTCGAATTACTTCACACTTACATCGGTGAAGGTGGCCAATGATACCTCTAGAATTTTGGCAGCGGTGATTTTTATTCGATAATTCGATATAATGATCACCGGTATCAGGCATCGCGCCTTTTTCGAGGAGAATCGGTACCAGTTCAAAGTTGCGGACGTTCGGCTAATATGTTCACTCTGTTGAAGGTAAAATTGATTACTAGAAGAGAATTGTATGCACTTAATGCTTGTAACACACATGAATACCTAACATAAAATAGCTATTTTATAATATATAAAATATCTAGATTACAGTATATATTTTATAATATATAAAATTATATAAAATATCTAGAGTACAGTATATAGTATAATGCAATTTTTTTTCAAATGCCGTTTCTTTAGTGATGTTCATAAAAATTTTAATTCAAATTCTGAGAAATAGGAAATTGAAAAATGCACGCAACTCATACGTAAAAGTACGCAAAATATCGAAAAAATTTGTAAAATTTATCAGAATAGGCTATGTCATAAAAATTTAAAAATAGAAATACTCGTCCGTATATTCCACTACTAAAATAAAGAACTTTTTAGGAAGCGGATGAACGATGGACTAACATTGGCAAACAATTGATAGTTACTTCGTTGATAAGGAGCTGACCAATGTAACACATGGTGAAATTAATGAATATGGTACTCATTTGCAACGAGATGTAAACAATTAAAGCAGCGGTGTTGCTGCTCTCCCATTCCTGAAACACGACAACAACGACAAGGTAAGCAACTATGGCACATTTGTTTTCAATTTTCAACGAAATTTAAAATCAATTTCAATCACTTACCATGATAATGCAGTATCCGATTGCGCATGTGATCAATGTGTCGTTGATGATCTCGAAGCAACATATGTAGGGTGTAATCTCTTCGACGTTGTTTAAAAATCTGAAAATTAATTCACGCACACGCACATACGCGCGCATCGTGCTGTAATACCTGACACATTCTAGATTATATATCAGCAGGGTGTAAGTTATTACTTTTTGATCTTCGTCCGATATTCGACGATACTCGCGATCTTCTTTTGCACGGCATTCTCACTCACGTCGAGCTGCTCTGAAAGTTCGGACATCATGTTCGCTAAGATCCTCAACAGGCTGCACATGTGCATGCACAGTAACGAAGAGACACCCATGGTGCCGCACAGTATCGTGTAGATGACGAATCCGCCAAGAACTTGCAGAGCGAAGATTATCTCGTAGTTGGGCGTACGCTGCGCGTCGAAGAACACGAAGTAACTCTGACTGGACAGCAGCCTTATAGTAGCGTTATTCGGCAAAACAATTCTTCCCTTCGAGAGCGGCATCACCGTACGATTACACATACCGCCAGTATACATAATGATTGCTATTCCCAGCACTACCTTGTATCCAACCTTGGCGTTCTCGCGGAAAATTTGTCGATTCTCATCGGTGGCGCTCAGCCAGTCGTTCCTTATATCCTCCATCGTTTCCCGGAATTCTTTCATACGGCGCAACAGTATGGTGTATTTGATCAGCTGGCTCAAACCGTTAATATGAGGCATCAGCAGTTTAACTTGCTTCCTGCTGTTCGTCTCCTTGCCAAATATGTACATGAAGCTCGGGATCAGTAGCAGTAGTTGTAAGAAATAAGAGATCGATATCGTGCACCATTTGATGATGGTCGAGGATACGGTGGTTACGGCAGGATCTGGCCAGGCGCCGATTATTTTTAAAAGTGGATACAACAATCTCATGGAGTGTTTCAGGTCTTCCTCCGCCTTCCTTACTCGGGGCATTTTTCTTTTTTTCTATTTTTTCTTTTTAAGAGGGTGAAACCTCTCTGCGCGACTGCTAGGCCACGCAACACACAGTGGCACTCGTTCCAACCTCATTGCGCTTGCGTATGTAAAATGTTAAGTATCGACAGGGGATCGCGAGATAGCTTGAATTCGCTGTTGAATTTTTATGAAACGACAGGGAAATTGACTGAAATTACACGCGCGGGTTTTCCTTTCTCTACATTATTTTTACCCTTCACGGGTAAAGTTTCATCGTAATAGAAACTTCGATATCTCCTCGGTTTGCCTTCCCGATCAGAGCGAACGCAGTTTTCATCGTGATCGATTCGATGAAATGTCATTTTACGTCAGGAGCAGTGCTGGTGTAAATTATTTGCATTTTGTTACACAATTAGTTAATATTATACACGGTGTGCGAAGTGAAACGAGATATTGTAAAATTTTTTTGTTGTAATTCAGTTGCGAATTGAAGTAAATGTGAAATGTGTTTCAATTATTAGTCGATATTAGTGGAATTCCATTTACAGTTCATATAATTGAAGTTTGTACAATAGAGAGAAATGCATACGGTAATTACAATTTTTCTAAAATGTCATTTTACGTCAGGAGCAGTGCTGGTGTAAATTATTTACATTTTGTTATACAATTAGTTAATATTATACACGGTGTGCGAAGTGAAACGAGATATTGTAAAATTTTTTTGTTGTAATTCAGTTGCGAATTGAAGTAAATGTGAAATGTGTTTCAATTATTAGTCGATATTAGTGGAATTCCATTTACAGTTCGTATAATTGAAGTTTGTACAATAGAGAGAAATGCATACAGTAATTACAATTTTTCTTACTATTACTTTTCGTTTATACAATACACACTACTGTTCAGATAAGTGGATCAATTAATCGGACAGTCATCAAAATTTCCTTCTAATAAATGAATGGAAATAGAGTTCCAATAAATATACGATAATTTTGTAGCAATATTATATTAATTTCTATACTTAACACAAGTTAATCTGACTGGGTAGAACTCTATATTATCAAAAGCGTTTACCTTCTCACCTTTTGACTTTTGTTTAACAGGCAACAATGTTCGATATCTTCCGATATCATATCTTCAACAAAGCACTAAAGAAAGCACACTGCTCACGCCAACGATGTAGATGAGTAATTCATTCAAAATTTCCTAGATAAATGCTATTTAATACGGAGTGGATTTTTCATTGGCGAAAACGAAATGAACAGGTAATGATAATGTTCTTATGGTCATGTTACTTTTTTAAAGTTCGATAAATAAAATTTGTACATTGCGACGTGACAATAGATAGTAATAATAGTAGTCTGTATTCAATGTTTCTTCTCATACGTAAAAGAAAAATTTAAGCATAAGAAATGAAAATTAAACACCATTTTAAAATCTTTGAGAGATCGCCTCTTTCAAAAAGTATGTGAAACCTTTTTTCGCGTTCTTTAATCGGGATAATTTTTCAGTTGGATAGGAAGCTCGTGCATGACTAGCCACTATACTACGCACGTGAAATCATAAATCCAAGCAAATTCAATGACTAGTTACTGTTATCGAAACGATGACAGCGCACGAAGGCTATACCAAAGTTTCAGGTTTTTATAAATAAATGCATGGGGAACTTGGAGTTGAGATTATTATTTAGGATTGAGACTTACTACTTACCACGCTGTAGCATTCCCTTTTCCCCTTTGGGATTAACATTTTTAATCGAATGTGTTAGGTGAACAATAAGTAAAGATATTCTTTAGAAAAAGATGTTTATGAAGGAATGAAATATCTCGACATTTTATGACAATATGGTTACAATGTAACTCAATTAATTAGTTAATTTTTTAGAAAAGTCCATTGTCGATTGAGGATCATTAGAGTGGATAGTGAATAAACGTAATGCGAAAGAGTCAGAATCCAATTATTACATACAATTGCGGACAAGTTTCGAGGAATTTTAATAAAAAAAACAGACTTATTGCTGTACGATGGGGGTCGCATAATTTCATAGCAGAGTGTAAGAGTGCGACAATCGAGAAATTCCGCTTACCTACTGGTGCATGATCTACTATAATCAAATATCGGTGAATCGTTTTTATCAAATATTCAAATAGTGGATCGTAACACATTGAAATATCCCATTGCTGTCTTTATAATCTAGAAAAGAAATTGGAACATGTGCAGGACGTGGAAAACACAAGTCTATAGTCATTCACAAAAATCTTCGTACGCTCTGTAAAATGTCCTTCGTCAATTGTGAAACTCTAACTCGTTGATCATCATCATTTGACCGGTAAAAATGAATTTCTGATTCATGTGCACACATTTTGCTGCATTCCATAAACATGAATTTCGTCTTGGTTATTGATGAAATACGAAGTTTGTTATTTTTCAATTACGTTGTTCCCTTAATTAACAAAATGATGGTCCAAGTTCGTTTAAAACGAGATTTTCGTTTCTCCGAGAGGAAACATATTTTTTTAGAAGCGTGACCGTTTTGTCGTGGCAAAAGGAAACATAAAATAGTCCTTTTCATAAACTGTATGAAGAACTCTTGTGAATGACGATGCTGTTGGTACTCACATCGGTGAACGTAGCTAAAGACATATCAGCTATGTTTGCAGCTGTGACTTTTATTGGACAATTCGAAGAAATAATAATCATTATCAGACTGCGTGCTTTTTTCACAGGGAGCCGGTACCAGTCCAACGTGTTAGATACTTTTTTAACAATACTGGCCTGTCAAAGTGAAAGTACGCAATGAACATCTCGGTCGCGTGAGAGAAAATTTTGTTTGTAGTAGTCAATGGTATACTTCGTCGATGAGAAGTTGACCAATGTAGCAACTCGTGAACATGGTAGTAACATTTGTCATTTGTAACAAAAAGTATGTTACTAAACTTGCGACGTTGCTATTTTCCCATTCCTGAAAAGCGGTCATTGGCAAATTATAAAAATGGCCACTGTGTAATGTTCTCAACAAAGTTTCTACGGTCATTTGTTCCTACCATGATAATACAGTACCCAAGTATACACGCGATTATCACTTCGTCGGAAATCCCGATAGAATAAAAATACGACGTGATGCGTTCAGCGTCATTGAGAAATCTGAAATCAAATTCCGACCGCGATAGATTTTCTATCAAAGTTTCTTCGCGTTTTTATCTTTACTCTATAATATAAACTAATATAAATAATTATATTATAATTATAAATTATATTTATAATAATATTATATTTATAAGTATATTTTATATTTAATATAATTCATTATTATTGCTATATAATAATGTAATATAATATAAATAATATAAGAATTTATTATTATATTATAATTTTATAATATAACATTATTACAATAATAATATAATAATATTTATATAATATTATCATATAATTTTATATTATAATATTATAATTTATTATTACATTATTTATATATTTATAAATAATTATAAATCATATTATTGTTATAAAATAATTATATTGTAATGTAAATAATATAAAAAATTAATATAAAACTAATATTTCAGCGAATGTAATAGCAAAAGGTACGACGTATACAATAAGATGCAGAATGAAAGTAAGCTTCAATAACTGAAGGGAGATCAATCATAAATCCAAACTAAACAAGTTACACCAACCGTATGGTTTCCAGTTTCTTTCGTAGCAAATGGTACATTTTCTTGTACACTATTTAAAAAGAAAAACAACTCACCTTTTAATTTTTATTTGACGTTCAACGATGTCGATGATCTTCTCCTGTACAGCCTTTTCGTCTGAGTTCGACTGATTCGAAAGCTCGATCATTTTGTTCGCCAAGATCCTCAGCATGCTGCACATGTGTAGACAAAGCATTGCACAAAGCCCGACTGTTCCACATACCGTGGTATAGTTGACAAGTCCACAGACAACTTGCAGGACAAAAATTATCTCATAATTCGGTGTAAGTTGTTCGCTGAAGAAAACAAAGTAACCTGGACACGGTAGACGTCTGATGGTCATGTTATTCGGTAGAACGATCTTGCCCTTTAAAAGCGGAATGATCGTTCGTAAGCTGACACCGCCGGTGTATATCAAGATTGCTATTGCCATCATCACTTTATGCCCAATGCTGGATCTCGTTCGTAAGATCCATTGATCATCTTTCGTAGCACTCGACCAATCCTCCTTCATGTTGTCTAACAATTTACGGAATTCGTTGCTCCGTAGTAGCAGTATAGTGTACTTGCACAGCTGGCACGCGGAGTTAAAATGCGGCATTATCAGCTTAATCCGATTTCTGCCGTTCTTCACTTTCAGAATTACGAACAGCGTGCTCGGTATCATAACAGCGAATTGTAGGAAGTAAATGAGAAGAATCAAACACCATTTCAGACTCTTCGAGAGCACTGACGATGTAGCGTTGACCGGCCAGGCACCGAGCGCGTTTAACAGCGGATGCACGAACCATGTAGCATGCTTTATACCTTCTTCTGCGCTTCGTGTTCTGCTCATTTTTTTCGAGTGGCAGCTTGAACGGATGATGAAGCCTGATTGGCCACGTTCCGGCTGGAGGGAAGGTCATCGATTCCGTGAAACTCGTCGCGCTTGCGTGCATAAAATTTTTAACATCCGTGAATTTAGTGTTAAATTGCTGTCGTCGAAGGGATTGCGGAATTGTGATTCTTTTTTTTTTTTTTTTTTAGAAAATTAGCTGAAATTGCTTTTATAGTAGTTGTGTTTACAGCTAATCGTCTCTCCTATCGATCGAGAAGTTTTATAATGCTAGCTGTTTATTTTTCTTTGCATGCTTTACTCGTTCAATTCAATTTCTGGTGGTGATAATTTTAGAAAATTCGCTCGTAAACTGACAAGTAGCGTGTTGATATATTTTTCAGAAATTTTTAACTCATTATATTCGGTGTTAGCAACAAAATTGTTTATTACTTACTGTAAGCCTCGCAATGAAGTTTCTTTCATCAGTCTCAAAGTTTGTAATTGAAATGGAGATTGTAGTAAATGTAGAAGGGTTCCATAAATGTAGAAGGGTCCCATGCGCGAGGTTATGAGTTTGAAATCGTCTGTTATTGTGCAGAATATGTCTCCACAGAGTGAAACCGAGTTGAGTCGCAGAACAGAGTGTAATATCAGTTTTAACGTTCACTGTTTTTGACATGTATTCATAGTGCTCGTCAGGAGTATTGTCAGATTTTGTTGCAACCCAGTAATATTTTTTATATATTTTAAATATAATATTATTATATTTTTTAAATACAATTCACGATACTGTATTATACATAATTTCGTAATTATATATAATACAGGGATAAAAATGGAGAAGATTAAATCAATTAATATTTTATTTCAATTTTTATATACCAGCTTAACGATATACGTATACACAGGTCAATAGATTCAAAGTTTTCGTACTTTGCTATACTATATATACTTTATTATACCGTACTTGCTTTTCTCGATTGCTGAACACGCAATTGAAACGACTCAAAGCAAGATTTTACACATGTTTCTGATGGTATTCTTTCTTAAACGTATTTAGCTGTGAAATTTTGATTTGTGCAAACATTTTCGAATATTTGAAACACGTGACGTGATATATTACTAAGGTGCACACTCTCTACACTTTCAGAATACAATTTCAGAATACAATAATCGTTTTATAATTTTAATTTTTAATTTTAATTATAATATACGACTAATATCTTTAATAGACGTTCAAGTTTCTTTTTAATCACTCTCCTTGAAAAATGACAGTATTTTCTAAATGAACATATCATTTCGTCCTCCCTTTACTGATCATTTTTAGAAAAATTTTGTAACCGCTCACAATGATAGAGTCAGTGTTTGTTGCGCAATACTTCAATATTTCTCCGAAAAAGATAGCTCTAATTAAATTATAATCGCAAAGTAATAGAACAAGTGAATCCGCCGATTGTTAAACGCGTGCGTTAACGATCCTTTCTTTTGCATTTTTTCTTGCTCAATATTCGTTTTCGGTATTAGAGTGCTCAAGAGGATAAGGTCTTTTCAGAAAATCGAGATCGTTAGCAGTTTTATACATTGTATCTCAATTTATTCAATTTTTCAAATTTAACAACAAAGTATAATGTCTGACGTTTGTCGTTTGACAGATGCTTCACAGCGTGTTTGGAAAAAATCTAACGGTGGCCCTAAAGCCAAGAATATAAGAATATTTCATTATCTCCATCTTAAGATAGAGCATGAAATACAAAATTTCATCAGAAGCTTGGTCTACTTATAAACCTAGTATATGACTATATGAAATATCGGCAAACTGTTCCAACAAACATTCAAATAGTGGTTCGCAGCACATTGAAATATCCCACTGTTGCTTTCATAATCTGAAAAAGAATTTGGAACATGTAGAAGGAACAGAAGATAATATTTACAGTCATCCACAAAAATCTTCGTATGCACTGTAGAAACCCCTCTTCTTACACAAATGTTTCTTTTTCAGATAAAACGCTGCAGTACTTCGCGACAGAGATTGTGAATTTTACGTAAATGTCATTTCGTTATAGCTCCACATTTATTAGTGTTGGAAACTCATTTATTTTATAACAGGGGCACAGTGAGCCAAAAACAGAGCCACATTAATTAATAATTTATCGAAGTCAGGTGCGTTAGGTAAGTATCACTCTTTTGCGACGAAAGTGTTACGACTTAAACAACGTGATTTTCGACTCATCACTGCAAAACTATTGTAGCAAAACTTCATGGTCAATTATGAAACTCTGACTCATTGCTGTTCATGATTCAGCTGGGATTTCTGACACATTGATCTTCATAATTCATCTGGGATTCAGCCGAAAAGGAATTTTTGATTCATATGACATTCTATAAGTATGCTGCTTTCTGTAAGTATGTATTTCTTATTATGAATGTATGTACCTCTTATTACGTAAGTATGTATTTCTTATTATGAATTTTGTCTTGATTATCATTGTGAAGAGATACACATTCATAAGATAAGGAGTGAAAAACTCGCAACTAAGTAGTTTCCTTAATTAACAATAGAATGTTTAATTCTTTTAAAACCAAATTTTCCAAACAAACTTCTTCAAGCTGTTCCACAATCGTCGCAGAGGAGAGACATGTGCACAATCGGGAAGTTGGAATAATTAAATACAGATGTTTTTTTCCGTAAAATGTTGTTTTCAGAGACTTTTATGGACGACACTGTTGCATATACTCACATCAATGAACGTAATTAGGGACAACTGTACCATATTTGCTACTGTGATTTTCATTGGATTATTCGACATAATAATAACTAAGATCAAACAGCGTGCTTTCTCCACAGGCAGCTGATACCAATCTAACGTATTAGATATCTTTTTAACAACATTGCCCTGATGCGAAAAAATTTGACAATGAAAATCGTAATACTGTGATTTCAAAGAAAATTCTGTTTGTAATAATCAATGCTATACCTCGTCGATAAGAAGTTGGCCAACGAAGCAATTCGTGAACATGCCGATTATCATTGTTATTTGCAATGCAAAGTACGTTACTATAGCCGTTGTATTACTATTTCCCCATTCCTGAAATATGGTCATTAACAAATTACTAAAATAGACGATGTGCCATGATGCATCATTAGCAAACATTTTTGCAATTGTTTGTTACTACCATGATCATGATATATCCAACTATTAACATGATTATCACTTCGCTGGTCATCCCCACAAAGTAAATATACGATGTAACGTATTCGGAGCGATTAAAAAATCTGTAATGAAGCTTTCACTAGAGTCACGATTATTGGATTTACGTTGAATAAATTATTATCTAAGATAACTCTCTAAATAGATTTCCATATTTAAATATCTTCTTTCCCCATTCACATTAATTATATCAGAGACAAACTACCGAAGAAAGACAAAAATATTTGAACTGTACGAAAAGGGAAAGCTCCATGGAAAAATTACTCGCATCTATTTCTGAGTTAGAACAAATATATAGAATGGACCAAGCATTACTTTTAGATCAAATATTTCCGATACTACTAATGTTAGGGAAAAAGTTGATATTAGAGATATGATATATCCTTTCATTTGATGTTAATAATATCTGAGGCATTTGTGGGAATAGATATTGGTCTGTATTGTGTATATATATATAAAAGCAAACTGCATAATAGCTAATGATTCATTATGCTTAGACTATTATTTAAAAAGGAAGACTCACCTTTTGATTTTCGTGTGATACTCAACAATATCCGCGATCTGCTTCTGCACAACGTCTTTATCCGTTTCCGACAAACTCGAGAGCTCCCTCATTTTATTCCCCAAGATTTTCAACATGCTGCACATGTGTAGACAAAGCGTGGTGCAAAGCGCGAGACCTCCAGTATATGTCGTGTAATTCATGAACCCGCAGAAGACTTGTATGAAAAAAATTATCTCGTAATTGGGAGTAACTTGATCGTTGAATAGGACAAAGTAACTTGGACTAGGTAAAGGCCTTATAGTCGTGTTATCCGGTAGAACGACCTTTTCTCTCAAAAACGGAGTGACCGTTAGGAAAAGCGCACCGCCGATGAACAAAAAAATGATGAGCGACATCATCAATCTGTGTCCAATAGTAGCTCTAGTCTTGTAAATCCATTGATCATCTTCCGTAGCATTGTACCAGTCGTTTCTTAAGTCATTTAACAATTCACGAATCTCGTTATGCCGCCATAAGAAAATAGTATACTTGCACAACTGGCAGAAATGCGTTAAGTGCGGCATTATTAACTTAACCCGGATAGTGGTGTCCTTCACAAACAAAATTACGTACAACAGAGCCGGTGTCATGACCCCGAGTTGTATGAAGTAAACAAGAACGATTTGAATACACTTTCGTATCTTCGAAAGCACAGAAGATCTAACGTCCGTTGGCCAGGCACCGAGTGCGTTCAATAGTGGATGCACTACTTGGAAAATGTGCTTTATACCTTCTTCCGCATTTTGCACTCGGGCCATTTCTTACGTGGTGGCTTGAACGGATGATAATACCTGACTGTCCACATTGATACAAGTTTCCGAGTCCAGGACACTCGTCACGCTTGCGCGCATAAAATTTTAAACATCGACAAATTGGTTAAATTGCTGTTATCGAAGGGTTCTTAAAGCTTGCGGGAGTAGCAAAAATGTGTTTTGACTCTTTATGAAAAAGTTATGGAAAATTGCTTGAAAATACGCACTCTTATACACAAGATTGCGTTTATCGTTTCCACTATCGATCGAAATGTTTCATTACTTTAACTCTCCATTCTTTTTCCTCGATTTATTTTCTCAATCGCTTGGAAGAAGATTTTGTTTCTCTACAATTTCAGAAAATTTGTCCAGATGTGATAATGAAGAATTTGAATTTTCGGGAAAATTATAACATATTCTATGTTTGGTGTTTCTAACGCAATTTCATTTTCTAATATTTATTGAAGTTCTCTTTTCATCAGTTATGGAGTTTGTAATAGCCTTGATTACCGTAATAGTACGTGAGTATAGGAAAGTTTCATCTGCGAAATTGCGATCATGAAATCATCTCTTATTGTACAATAAAGGGAATCTTTTCTCGGTAGAAGTTCAGTTACAATATTCTACAAATTTTTAAAGAAATGTTTTATCCATTGGACAGGCTGCATTTGTTATTACCTGTGCACGAAAGGGTTCCGTATCCGAGGGGAACGAATCGAACGTACATTTACAGTCTATTTACCAAGTATCTACAAAAAGTGACGACGGAGAGGAAAATACCACGGTTCTGTCCTCCATATTATCCATAATTTTAGGTTTCAAGGTGCATCAACTCCTTACAACTGTATGTTAAAGTAAAGATTTATCTACAACTGTATGTCACGGTAAAAAAATATCAGAGTTCATATCACTGTGCATTGTGCATTCAAGAACGTCACACGATCTGAAAAATATAGGTATGTATTTCGTATCATATATAACGAATAAAAAGTACAGATGCTTACGAATTCTTTCTCGGAGAAATTGCAAGGTAGCGTTTAAAGTCTTCTGAAATGAAAACTTTTTCTATTAAATTTCAACATACATTTTCATAGTTCCTTATCCTCATGGAATTCACGATTTTTGTTACCGAAGAATTTTTGTGCGGGTATAAATATTTTTGCAGGAATGTTAGACAATGTCAGATTTAATTAGACTACATGTGGACTTAAATTGGGTAATGTATTGTTTTTATTGTTGTTGTGTTGTATTTTTTTGCGTTATTTTAAAATTATATTCACGAATGCATGTTTTAAATTAGTAGATTTTTGTTCGAAAAAGAAGAGTGGGTGAGTCGCTGTCAGTGGGTCTTTACTCGCAATACATCCACTTTGTGAGACCTATTATATTATTATCGGTATTACTTGATATATAATTACTAATTGCATTATTATATAGTTAAATAATGAATTATATAACTGATACGATTATTAATTATATGGCAATTAATAACGAGCTGACTGAATGCGATTTCGGTTTGTGTAGATGTACGTGTCCATTAGATTAACGAATAATATGATGTACTTTATGGGTAATTAATTTGTGAGTATGGAAAATACTTCATGTGAGTATGGAAAATACTTCATCCGAGTCTGTATATTTTTCGCACAAAAATATTATACAAAATCTAGAATCAATTATTTCTTCTACAATGATATATTTGTAAAGGAGAGGGTGGTTTTTTATTCTCCTCCATAATTTCTCTCATATTATATCGAACCTTCGTTAAAATTTACTTGATTTGATAGATTATTTAATATTTTATCAGTAACTATAGAATTTTAATTTATTGCGTGAATGGAAAACCGTCATCATGCGGTGAGAAGTGGATATAACTGTTCTACAAAATTCTGATATATAGTAAAAAAATTCGGTTAGTTAATAGTTTCACATTAACGATGGTGAAAATTTGACAAATCTGTCAGTGGATTTTTAAAATGTTTCTGATCATTTAGTACTTCGGTCGTTCTACTTGATGAAACTCCCCAATTCATCGTCGTTTAAGCATAATTTGCGCTAAGAAATAAAAGTAATTTTTAGTATGTGCATAGGTATTTTAGAGCATGAAATACGAAATTTCATACGAAGACTGGTCTATTCATATTCCTAGTTTATGACTACATGCAATATTGGAAAACTGTTCTAGCAATAAATACATATTCAAATGGTGTTTCGTAACACGTTGAAGTATCCCACTGTTGCCTTCGTGATCTGAAAAAGTATATGGTACATGTACAAGGAACAGAAGATACAAAATTAAAGATATCCACAAAAATCTTCGTAAACATTGTAAATACTCTATTCTTACATAATTGTTTCTTTTTTAGATAAAACGCTGCAGTATTTCGCGACACAGATTGTCAATTTCACGTAAATGCCCTTTCGTTATAGTTTCAAATTTATTAGAGTTGGAAACTCATTTATTTTATAACAGGGGCACAGTGAGCCAAAAAAGAAAAAAAAAACTAGGGCACATTAATTAATAATTTATCGAAATCCGGTGGGTTAAATAAATATCACTCTCTTGTGACGAAAGTGTCACAATATAGAAAACGTGATTTTCGACCCATCACTGCAAAAATATTGTAGAAAACTTCATGGTCAATTATGAAACTTTGACTCATTCCTCTTCATAATTCAGCTGGGATTCAGCCAAAACGGAATTCTTGATTTATGTGACATTCTATAAGTATGCTGCGTTCTATAAGTATATACTTTTTATTATGAATTTTGTCTTGATTATCATTGAGAACAGATATATATTTATACATAAGAAATGCAAAACTCGCAATTAAATAGTTTCTTTATTTAACAAAATAATGTTTAATTTTTTTAAAACCAAAATTTTAAAACCAAATTTTCGTTTTTCCAAACAAACTTTGTCAAACTGTACCACATTCGTCGCAGAGAAGAGATATGTGCACAATTGGAGGGTTGGAATAATTAAATACAAATGTTTTTTCCGTAAAATGTTTTCGAAGACTTTTGTAGTCGACACTGTTGCATATACTCACATCAATGAACGTAATTAGAGACAACTGTACTATATTTGCTACTGTGATTTTCATTGGATTATTCGACATAATAATAATTAAGATCAAACAGCGTGCTTTGTCCACTGGCAGCTGATACCAATCTAACGTGTTAGATATTTTCTTAACAACATTGCCCTGGTACGAAAAAATTTGACAGTGAAAATCGTAATACTGTGATTTCAAAGAAAATTCTGTTTGTAATAATCAATGCTATACCTCATCGATAAAAAGTTGGCCAACGAAGCAACTAGTAAATATGCCGATCATAGTTGTTAATTCCATTGATAAGTACGTTACTAAAGCTGTGGTATTGCTATTTTCCCATTCCTGAAATATGGTCATTAACAAATTACTAAAATAGACGATGTGTCCTGATGCATCATTAGCAAACATTTTTGCAATTATTTGTTACTACCATGATAATGATATATCCAACTATTAACATGATTATCACTTCGCTGGTCATCCCCACAAAGTAAATATACGATGTAACGTGTTCGGAGCGATTAAAAAATCTGTAATGAAGCTTTCATTAGAGTCACGAGTATTGGATTTACTTTGAATAAGTGATTATCTAAGATGATTCTCTAAATAGGTTTCCATATTCAAATATCTTCTTTCCCCATTCACATTAATTATATCAGAGACAAACTACAAAAGGATGACAGAAATAATACAATTGTACGAAAGGGAAAGCTCCATGGAAAAATTACTGGCATCTATTTCTGAGTTAGAACAAATATATAGGATGGACCAAGCAATATTATTAGATCAAATATTTCCGATACTACTAATGTTAAGGAAAAAGTTGATATTATATATCCTTTCCTCTGACATTAATAATAGGCGGAGGCATTTGAGGTAGGAAAAGATATTGGTACGTACTTTACATATAAGAGCAAACTGTATAAACGGCGCTTTAATAGCTAATGATTCATTATACATATATACTACTGTTCAAAGAAGAAGACTCACTTTCTGATTTTCGTGTGATACTCAACAATATCCGCGATCTCCTTCTGCACAGTGTCATCATCCGTTTCTGACAAACCCGAAAGATCTCTCATTTTATTCCCCAAGATTTTCAACATGCTGCACATGTGTAGACAAAGCGTCGTACAAAGCCCGAGAGCTCCAGTATACATCGTGTAAGTGATGAGACCGCAGAAGACTTGAATAAAAAAGATCATCTCGTAATTGGGAGTAATTTGATCGCTGAATAGAACAAAGTAACATGGACTAGGTAAAGGTCTTATGGTCGTGTTATCCGGTAGAACAACCTTTTCTCTCAAGAATGGAGTGACCGTTAGATAAAGCGCACCGCCTGAGAATAAAAAGATAATGAGCGACATCATCAATCTGTGTCCAATAGTGGCTCGGGTTGTGTAAATCCATTGATCATTTTCCGTAGCTTTCATACAGTCGTTTCTTAAGTCATTTAACAATTCACGAATCTCGTTATGCCGCCATAAGACAATAGTATACTTGCACAACTGGCAGAAGTGCGTGAAGTGCGGCATTATCAACTGAATCCTGATGCTGGTGTTTTTCACAAACAAAAATGTGTACATCAGAGCCGATGCAATGACAGCGAGTTCTATGAAGTACACAAGAACGATATGAATAAATTTTCTTGTCTTCGAAAGCACAGAAGACTTAACGTCCGTTGGCCAGGCACCGAGTGCGTTCAATAGTGGATGCACTACTTGGAAAATGTGCTTTATACCTTCTTCCGCATTTTGCACTCGGGCCATTTCTTACGTGGTGGCTTGAACGGATGATAATACCTGACTGTCCACATTGATACAAGTCTCCGAGTCCAGGACACTCGTCGCGCTTGCGCGCATAAAATTTTAAACATCGACAAATTGGTTAAATTGCTGTTATCGAAGGGTTCTTAAAGTTTGCGGGGGTTGCAAAATTGCGTTTTGACTCTTTATGAAAAAGTTATGGAAAATTGCTCGAAAATACGCTCTCTTATACACAAGATTGCGTTTCCCCTATCGATCGAAATGTTTCATTACTTTAACTCTCCATTCTTTTTCCTCGATTTATTTTCTCAATCGCTTGGAAAAAAATTTTGTTTCTCTACAATTTCAGAAAATTTGTCCAGATGTGATAATAAAGAATTTGAATTTTCAGGAAAATTATAACATATTCTATGTTTGGTGTTTCTAACGCAATTTCATTTTCTAATATTTATTGAAGTTCTCTTTTCATCAGTTATGGAGTTTGTAATAGCCTCGATTACCGTAATAGTACGTGAGTATAGGAAAGTTTCATCTGCGAAATTACGGTCATGAAATCATCTCTTATTGTATAATAAAGAGAATGTTTTCTCGATGGAAGTTCAGTTACAATATTCTACAAATTTTTAAAGAAATGTTTTATCCATTGGACAGGCTGCATTGAAAGTGGAGGACGATTATTACTTCCTGTGCATGAAAGGGTTCCGTATCTGAGGGGAACGAATCGAACGTACATTTACAGTCCATTTACCAAGTATCTACAAAAAGTGACGACTGAGAGGAAAATACCACGGTTCCGTCCTCCATATTATCTATAATTTTAGGTTTCAAGATTCATCAAACTCCTTACAACTGTATGTTACAGTGAAGATTCATCTACAACTGTATGTCACAGTAAAAAAATATCAGAGTTCGTATCACTGTGCGTTGTGCATTCAAGAACGTCACACGATTTGAAAAATATAGGTACGTATTTCGTATCATATATAACGAATAAAAAGTACAGATGCTTACGAATTCTTTCTCGAAGGAATTGCAAGGTAGCGTTTAACGTCTTCTGAATTGGAAACTTTTTCTATTGAATTTCGACATATCACATTTCATAGTTCCATATCCTCTTGGAATTCACGATTTTTCTTACCGAAGAATTTTTGTGCGGGGTTAAATATTTTTGCAAGAATGTTAGACAATGTCAGACTATTTTTAATTAGTCTACATGTGAACTTAAATTGGGTAATGTATTGTTTTTATTGTTGTTGTGCTGTATTTTTTTGCGATATTTTATATTCGCGAATGCATGTTTTAAATTAGTAGATTTTTGTTTGAAAAAGAAGAGTGAGTCGCTCTCAGTGGGTCTTTACTCGCAATACCTCCACTTTTGTGAGACCCAATCGGTATTACTTGATATATAATTACTAATTGCATTATTATATAGTTAAATAATAAATTATATAACTGATACGATTATTAATTATATGGCAATTAATTATATGGCAATTAATAAAACGAGCTGACTGAATGCGATTTTGGTTTGTGTTGATGTACGTGTCCATAGATTAATGAAAAGTTAATAATATGATGTACTTTATGGGTAATTAATTTATGAGTATGGAAAATATTTCATCCGAGTCTGTATATTTTTCGCACAAAAATATTATACAAAATCTAGAATCAATTATTTCTTCTACAATGACATATTTGTAAAAAAGAGGGTGGTTTTTTATTCTTCTCCATAATTTCTCTCATATTATATCGAACCTTCGTTAAAATTTACTTGATTTGATAGATTATTTAATATTTTATCAGTAACTATAGAATTTTAATTTACTGCGTGAATGGAAAACCGTCATCATGCGGTGAGAAGTGGATAGAACTGTTCTACAAAATTCTGATATATAGTAAAAAAATTCGGTTAGTTAATAGTTTCGCATTAACGATGGTGAAAATTTGACAAATCTGTCAGTGGATTTTTAAAATGTTTCTGATCATTTAGTACTTCGGTCGTTCTACTTGATGAAACTCCCCAATTCATCGTTGTTTAAGCATAATTTGCGCTAAGAAATAAAAGTAATTTTTAGTATGTGCATAGGTATTTTAGAGCATGAAATACGAAATTTCATACGAAGACTGGTCTATTCATATTTCTAGTTTATGACTACATGAAATATTGGAAATCTGTTCTAACAATAAATACATATTCAAATGGTGGATCGTAACACGTTGAAGTATCCCAGTGTTGCCTTCATGATCTGAAAAAATATATGGTACATGTACAAGGAACAGAAGATACAAAATTAAAGTCATCCACAAAAATCTTTGTAAATATTGTAAATACTCCACTCTTAAATGTTTCTTTTTTAGATAAAACGCTGCAGTATTCCGCGACACAGATTGTCAATTTCACGTAAATGCCCTTTCGTTACAGTTTCACATTTATTAGTATTAGAAACTCATTTGTTTTATAACAGGGGCACAGTGAGCCAAAAAAAAAAAAAAAACTAGTGCACATTAATTAATAATTTATCGAAATCCGATGAGTTAAGTAAATATCACTCTCTTGCGACGAAAGTGTCACAATTTAGAAAACGTGATTTTCGACCCATCACTGCAAAAATATTATAAAAAACTTCATGGTCAATTATGAAACTTTGACTCATTCCTCTTCATAATTCAGCTGGGATTCAGCCAAAACGGAATTCTTGATTTATGTGACATTCTATAAGTATGCTGCGTTCTATAAGTATATACTTTTTATTATGAATTTTGTCTTGATTATCATTGAGAACAGATATATATTTATACATAAGAAATGCAAAACTCGCAATTAAATAGTTTCTTTATTTAACAAAATAATGTTTAATTTTTTTAAAACCAAAATTTTAAAACCAAATTTTCGTTTTTCCAAACAAACTTTGTCAAGCTGTACCACAATCGTCGCAGAGAAGAGATATGTGCACAATTGGAGGGTTGGAATAATTAAATACAAATGTCTTTTTCGTAAAATGTTTTCGAAGACTTTTGTGGTCGACACTGTTGCATATACTCACATCAATGAACGTAATTAGAGACAACTGTACCATATTTGCTACTGTAATTTTTATTGGATTATTTGACATAATAATAATTAAGATCAAACAGCGTGCTTTCTCCACAGGCAGCTGATACCAATCTAACGTATTAGATATCTTTTTAACAACATTGCCCTGATACGAAAAAATTTGATAATGAAAATCGTAATACTGTGATTTCAAAGAAAATTCTGTTTGTAATAATCAATGCTATACCTCGTCGATAAGAAGTTGGCCAACGAAGCAAGTCATGAACATGCCGATTATCATTGTTATTTGCAATGCAAAGTACGTTACTATAGCCGTGGCATTACTACTTCCCCATTCCTGTAATATGGTCATTAACAAATTAATATCTTCAATAAAATAGATGATGTGTCATGATGATTTTTAGCAAACACTTTTGCCATTGTTTGTTACTACCATGATAATGATATATCCAACTATTAACATGATTATCACTTCGCTGGTGATCCCCACGAAGTAAATGTACGATGTAACGTGTTCGGAGCGATTAAAAAATCTGTAATGAAGCTTTCACTTGAGTCACGATTATTGGATTTACGTTGAATAAATTATTATTTAAGGTAACTCTCTAAATAGGTTTCCATATTTAAATAACTTCTTTCCTCATTCACATTAATTATATTAGAGACAAGCTACCAAAGGAAGACACAAATAATTCAATTGTACGAAAGGGAAAGCTCCATGGGGAAAATTACTGGCATCTATTTCTGAGTTAGAACAAATATATAGGATGGACCAAGCATTATTATTAGATCAAATATTTCCGATACTACTAATGTTAAGGAAAAAGTTGATATTATATATCCTTTCCTCTGACATTAATAATAGGCGGAGGCATTTGAGGTAGGAAAAGATATTGGTACGTACTTTTCATATAAGAGCAAACTGTATAAAGGGCGCTTTAATAGCTAATGATTCATTATACATACATACTACTGTTTAAAAAAGATGACTTACCTTCTGATTTTCGTGTGATACTCAACAATATCCGCAATCTCCTCCTGCACAATGTCTTTATCCGTTTCCGACAAACCCGAAAGATCTCTCATTTTATTCCCTAAGATTTTCAACATGCTGCACATGTGTAGACAAAGCGTCGTGCAAAGCCCGAGAGCTCCAGCATAGATCGTGAAAGAGATGAACCCGCAGAAGACTTGAATAAAAAAGATCGTCTCGTAATTGGGAGTAATTTGATCGCTGAATAGAACAAAGTAACTTGGACTCGGTAAAGGCCTTATGGTCGTGTTATCCGGTAGAACAACCTTTTCTCTCAAAAATGGAGTGACCGTTAGATAAAGCGCACCGCCGATGAACAAACAGATGATGAGCGACATCATCAATCTGTGTCCAATAGTGGCTCTGGTCTTGTAAATCCATTGATCATCTTCCGTAGCATTCAAACAGTCGTTTCTTATGTCATTTAACAATTCACGAATCTCGTTATGCCGCCATAAGACAAAAGTATACTTGCACAACTGGCACAAGTGCGTTAAGTGCGGCATTATCAACTTGATCCGGATACTGGTGTTTTTCACAAACAAAAATGTGTACAGCAGAGCCGGTGCAATGACCGCGAATTCTATGAAGTAAATAAGAACGATATGAATAATGTTTGTTATCTTCGAAAGCGCAGGAGACCTAACGTCCGTTGGCCAGGCACCGAGTGCATTCAACAGTGGATGCACTACTCGGAAAATGTGCTTCATATCTTCTTCTCCGTTTTGCATTCGGGTCATTTTTTCCATGGTGGCTTGAACGGATGACAATACCTGACTGTCCACATTGATACAAGTCTCCGAGTTCAGGACACTCGTCGCGCTTGCGCGCATAAAATGTTAAACACCGACAAATTGGTTAAATTGCTGTTATCGAAGGGTTCTTAAAGTTTGCGGGGGTTGCAAAATTGCGTTTTGACTCTTTATGAAAAAGTTATGGAAAATTTCTTGAAAATACGCAGTCATATACACAATATTGCGTTTATCGTTTCGATCGAAATGTTTCATTATTTTAACTCTCCATTCTCTTTCCTCGATTTATTTTCTCAATCGCTTGAAAGAAGATTTTGTTTCTCTACAATTTCAGAAAATTTGTCCAGATGTGATAATAAATAATTTGAATTTTCAGGAAAATTATAACATATTCTGTTTGGTGTTTCTAACGCAATTTCATTTTCTAATATTTATTGAAGTTCTCTTTTCATCAGTTATGGAGTTTGTAATAGCCTTGATTACCGTAATAGTACGTGAGTATAGGAAAGTTTCATCTGCGAAATTACGGTCATGAAATCATCTCTTATTGTACAATAAATAGAACTTTTTCTCGATAGAAGTTCAGTTACAATATTCTATAAATTTTTAAAGAAATGTTTTATCCATTGAACAGACTGCATTGAAAGTGAAGGACGATTATTACTACCTGTGCATGGAAGGGTTCCGTATCTGAGGGGAACGAATCGAACGTACATTTACAGTCCATTTACCAAATATCTACAAAAAGTGACGACGGAGAAGAAAATACCATGGTTCTGTTCTCCACATTATCTATCATTTTAGGTTCCAAGGTTCATCAGCTACTCCTTACGACTGTGTGTTACAGTAAAAAAATATCAGAGTTCATGTCACTGTGCGTTGTGCATTCAAGAACGTCACACGATCTGAAAAATATAGGTATGTATTTCGTATTATATATAACGAATAAAAGGTACAGATGCTAGCTACGAATTGCAAGGTAGCGTTGAAATGAAAATTTTTTTCTATTAAATTTCGACATACGACATTTCGTACTTCCTTTTCCTCTTAGAATTCACTATTTTTGTTGCCGAAGAGTTCTTGTGCGGAGTCAAATATTTTTGAAGAAATGTTAGACCGTGTCAGATTTAATTAGGCTGCATGTAACCTTAAATTGGATGACGTATCGTTTATATTATGTTGTGCTGTATGTTTAAATTATATTCACGAATTCGTGTTTTAAATTAATATGGCTTTGTTCGATAGAGGAGAGTGGGTGGGTTTCTGTTAGTGGGTCTCTAGTCGCAACACTTCACTTTGTCAGACTTATGCAATCCATATTACTTGATATATGATTACTTATTGCAGTATTATATATTTAAATAATGAATTATATAATTAATACGATTAATAATTATATGGCAATTAATAACGAGCTGATTAACTGCGATTTCGTTTTGTGTAGATGTACATACGTATCTACCAGATTAATGAAAAATTAGTAACAGGTAGAACTTTATGGGTAATTAATTTGTGAGTATGGAAATTATTTTATCCGAGTTTGTATATTTTTCGTACAAAAATATTTTACAAATTCCAGGGCTAATTACTTCTTCTACAGTGATATCTGTAAATGAGAGGGTGGTTTCTTTATTCGTCTCCTTAATTTCACTCACATTATATACGAACTTCTGAGAAAATTTATTTGAGTTGATAGGTTATTTAATATTATATTAATAACTTATTATAAAATAGTTTTAATTTACTGCGTGAAACAAAAACTTATAATACGGTGAAACGTGGGTAGAACTATTCTACATACTCTAATTTTATAGTAGAATGATTTCGGTTATTTACTAGCTGCACATTTCTGTATTGAATAATTGTTAATACTAATTGACTTCAAAAGTGTTTCTGGCTCATTCACTACTTGAACTGCTTCGATCGTTTTACGTAGTCCAGCAAATTACCATTGTTTAAGCATAGAGTGCGCTAAAAAACCACTGATTTTTTTTTTAATACCCCGGTATTTTAGAGCACGGATTACGAATTCTTATACGATGCTTGGTCGATTCATGTACCTAGTTTGTGACTACATGAAGTATCGGAACAATATTCTGACAAATATTCAAATAGTTGATCGTAATACATTCAAATATCCCAGTGCTGTCTTTACAATCTGAAAAAGAATTTGGAACATGCAGAAAGAATAGGAGATATAAATTTACATTCATCTACAAAAATCTTCGTACGCTTTGCAAAAACTCCATAAATGTATATTTTTCAGATGAAACGCTGCAGTATCTCCACGACAGAGTATGTGAATTTTAGGTAAATGCTATTTTGTTATTGTTTTATATTTATTAATGGTAGAACCTCACATGTTTCACAAATGGAGCACAGTGACCCAAAATTAGAGCACATTTATTAATAATTTATCAAAGTTAAGTGTGTTAGGTAAATATCACTCACTTGCGACGAAAAAGTCATAATTAAGAAAACGTGATTTTCGAGTTATCGCTATGAAAATATTGCAGAACAATTTCATCATCAATTATAAATTTCTGACTCATTGATCTTCATAATTCAGCTGGTAAAAGGGAATTCCTGATTCATATGACATTTTACAAGTATACTGTTTTCAATAAGTATTATATACCTCTCGTTATGAATTTTGTCTTGATTATCATTGTGATACATATTCATACGATAAGAAGTGTACTATTTCCAATCAAGTTCTTTCCTTAATTAACGAAATACTGTTTATGTTAAATTCAAATTTTCGTTTCTGCAAACTTCTTCGAGTTGTTCCACTTTCGTCGCGAGGAGCCGCATATGAACAATCGGGAAGTCAGCAAAATTAAATAAAGATATGCTTTTCGTATAATGTTGTTTTCGAAGACTTTTGTGGACGACAATATTGCTTATACTCACATCAGTGAACGTAATTAGAGACACATGTATTATATTTGCTGCTGTGACTGACATTGGATTATTCGACATAATAATAACCATAATCAAACTACGTGCCTTCTTCACAGGCAGCTGAAACCAATCTAACGTATTTGATATCTCTTTAACAATATTACCCTGAAACAGAGAAATTTCACAATGACAATCGTAATAGTGTCATTTCAAAGAAAATTCTGTTCGTAACAATCAGTGCTATACCTCGTCGATAAGAAGCTGTCCAATGTAGCAAATCGTGAACGCGGCGATAACAGTTGTTATTTCCAACAGCATGTACGTTATTAAAGCTGTGGTGTTGCTATTTTCCCATTCCTGAAATATGAACACTGACAAATTCCCAACAAAACTGCAGGGTTATAATGTATCATTAGCAACACAATTGCAATTATTTGTTACTACCATGATCATGCTGTATCCTATTACACAGATGATCATCACATCGCCTGTGAGCTCCAGAAAGCAAATAATCGATGTGACGTATTCAGAGCGATTAAAAAATCTGTAATGAAGCTTTCACTAGAGTCACGATTATTGGATTTACGTTGAATAAATTATTATCTCAGATAACTCTCTGAATAGGTTTCCATATTTAAATATCTTCTTTCCCCATTCACATTAATTATATCAGAGACAAACTACCGAAGAAAGACAAAAATATTTGAACTGTACGAAAAAGAGAAAGCTTCACCGAAGAATTACTAACATCATTTTCTGAGTTGCAATAAATATGTAGGATGGACCAAAGATTTCTATTATTTCAAATATTTTCGATACTACTAATGTTGGGGAAATTGTTGATATTAGAGATATGATATATCCTTTTCTCTGTCATTAATAATATTGGAGACATTTGAGGTGGCAACAGATATTAGTCCGTACTGTGTATATAAGAGCAAATTGCATAAAAGCCGCTTTAACAGCTAATGATTTATTTTGCTTATATATTATTTCAAAATTACATTAGTTTAAAAAGGAGTACGCACCTTTTGATTTTCGTTTGATACTCAACAATATCCGTGATCTTCTTCTGCACAGTTTCTTCATCCGTTTCCGACAAACCCGAAAGCTCCCTCATTTTATTCCCCAAGATTTTCAGCATGCTGCACATGTGTAGACAAAGCGTCGCGCAAAGCCCAAGAACTCCAGACATTTCTGCGTAACTGAGAAACCCGCAGATGACTTGTATGAAAAAAATTATCTCGTAAGTGGGAGTAACTTGATCGTTGAATAGAACAAAGTAACCTGGACACGGTAGAGGTCTTATAGTCGTGTTATCCGGTAGAACGATTTTTTCTCTCAGAAATGGTGTGATTGTCCGTAAACTCGCACCGCCGGTGAACAGAAAGATCATGAACGGTATCAACAATCTCTGCCCAATCGTGGCTCTGGTTCTGTAAATTCTTTGATCCTCTTCCGTACCACTGAACCAATCGTTTCTCAAGTCATCCAACAACTCACGTATCTCGTCACGCCGCAGTAAGACAATAGTATACTTGCACATTTGGCAGAAGACGTTACACTGTGGTACCATCAACTTGATCCGTGATCTGGTGCTTTTCACTTTCAAAATTATGTACAGTATACTCGGTATCATGACTACAAATTGTATGAGATAAACAAAAAAAATCGTAAACCATTTTCTTATCTTCGAAAGAAAGGAAGGTCTAACGTTCGTTGGCCAGGCACTGAGTGCGTTCAATAGTGGATGCACCACCCGGAAAATGTGATTTATACCATTTTTAGCGTTTTGCACTCGGGTCATTATTTGCGTGGTGGCTAGAACGGATGATGATACCTGACTGTCCACATTGTTACAAGTCTCAGAGGCCAGGTCACTCGTCGCGCTTGCGCGCATAAAGTTTTAAACATCGACAAATTTGCTAAATTGCTGTTGTCGAAGCGTTCCCGATGCACGTGAGGGTTGCAGAATTGCATTTTGATTCTTTATGAAAGGATTGTGGTAAATTGCTCGAAAATACGTACTCGTATACGCAAAAGGTTACGTGTATCGTTTCCCCTATCGACAGAAATTATTTATTTTAACCCGT